CCTTCCCCTCCTCCCACATGCACACGCACACCCAGAGTGGGGAAAGGTAGGGAATGGAGAGGGTCCGGTGCAGCCCCAGATCTGTCCAGCATTCCTTAGAGCCACTCCTGGGGACAGGAGGAGTTAGGGACCCCAGAGGCTAAGACCCATCAAACTGAAGGCTCCATTCAGCTAAGAGCCCAGCCAGTGCCCCTCCTCTCTGTCTCCCTTCTCCCTCCTTGTCTGGCAAAGACAGAGAATGCAAACCCCCAAAGGTTCTGCCCACCTGGGAGACAGGTGGGCGAGAGGATGGAGCTGGGCTGCATGGGAGGTCCTGGCCCGGCCCACCTCCCAAGGCAGGCAAAGATGGAGGGCGGGAGGTGTCAGTGTACGGAAGCCCCAGAGGCAGCACAGAGGATGGGGAGACGCAGCCCCCAGGATGCATGCCATCACCCAGGGTCCACACAGCCTCTGTCGGCACTCCAGACACTCCTTGGTGCTTCCACGAGGCACCCAATGCCCTCTTCCAGGACCCAGCAGGGGCATGAGAGGACAGGAGGTGACAGGCCCTCACACCTCCCTAGAGTCCCTTTTACCTCCAGTAGCCCCCCCTCCACCACCACCATCCCCTCACCCCGGCCAAGGAGTCAGGAGCTTGTGCCCCAACCCACAGAGCCCATGGGCATAAGGACCAGCCCCTTCCTCCCAGGCAAGGCTTGGGGGAAGCCGGTCCAGGGCCCTGCAGCTTCCTCTCTGCCTGCAGCACGCCCTGACCAGCACCGTGTCGCCAACCACCCCCGAACACACACACACCACACCTCTGCCCCAAACCCCCTCCCCCGGATTTCCCAGGCTCCCTCCGTCTTCATCCCAGCCTCCCTCCACCCCGACCCCGCAGGCTCCCTCTGCTCTCCGGCCCCCATCTTGCCCAGCTCCCTACCTCACAGATCCATCTCTGTCTCCAGCCCCTGGGCATCCTCCCCTCGCTGCTTCCCTCTAACCTCCCCTTCCCTGGGCTCCCCTCCCCCAGGGAAGCCTGATGCTCGGCCCTTGGCCTGGCCCCTGCTCCTCTCCTCTCCTCTCCACTCCTTTCCTCGCCTGCCTCCTCTTCTCTTCCTCCCACGAAGCCCAGTTCCTCGCAGGTCTCTCTCCCTCGCGGACCCTCCCTCGCACCACAGCTCCCCAGACCTTCGGTCCAGCACATCTGGCAGCCCCCACCCTGGGGTGGGGAGCGAGCACAAACTGGGGACCTCCTTCAGTGCTCCCCTCACAGCCCTCCGGATGCCCCTCCTTCTCTCCATCCCTTCCCCCCAACGACCCTCCCTCCCTTCGCCCCAGCTCAGGACTAATGCCCCTTCCACAGGGAGCCTCGACCACCCACCCACTGCCCGCCCCTCAGCCCCTTCACCTCTTGCTGTCACCCAGCCAGCCCTTTCACCACGGCGCCCCCCCCCCCGCAAACCTTCCTGCCTCCCCCGCCCCTCCGATCCGCTCCCCTCCCCCGATCGGCTCCCGCCCCCCGCCCGTCTCCGCCGCAGCCCCCCTTCTCCCATACCTGGTTCTGGAGGCGTCAGGAGCTGGAGGGTAGAGAATAGGAGCCGCAGGGCCGTCCCGTCTCCGGCGGGTTGGCAGAGCCGGGGCCAGCGGCGGCGGCGGCCGCCTCGCGCCTCTCTCGTTCCCCGCCGCGTCCCCGCCCGCCCCGCTGCGGTGCCGCTCCGAGGAGGATGCTCCGCGCGAGTCAGGGCGGCTGCTCCCGCCGCCGCATCCCTGCAACACCGACTGACGGCAGCATCAGCACCAGCGCCCGCCCCCCGCACGCGCGCATTGGGCCACGCGGCGCTAACGGGCGAGCGGCGCCGCCAATGGGAAGGCGCACAGGCCGCCAGCCCAGCGGCTCCCCGGGTCCTCCTCCCTCTCCCGTGCGAAACCCAGGCGTCCGGGCCGCGGGGCATGGAGCTCCTTCCCCGCCTCCCCAGGGCCGTGAGCCCCGTCGCCCCGACTCTCCAACCAGGCCCAGGCCGCCGCCACCCCAGCCTCGGGGTCTTCTCCCGGAACCCAAGCGCCTTAGCCCGTCGCCCATCAGATCGGGGCCCTGACTCCCGCACCACCTCCCTCCCGCCCCGGTGGCGGGTCCGTGTGGCAGCGCCCAGGGCTAGGACAAACCATGGCAGAGGCTGTGCGCTCAGACCTGGGGCTCCGAGGGAGCAGGACTGGTGTGTGGGGGGGGCGCAGTGCCCTCTGCTGGTTGCGCCCCGGAGCCGGCTTGGGCTTAGAGGAGGCTGAGTAACAAGACCCCCACACACACCCGTCTCACTGCTGGGGGGCGATCGGGGGCGGGCTTTTCCCAGGCCTCCAGTCCCGAGCAGAGCTAGGGCTTTGCTGGGGGAAAGACCAATGGGACTGACCTGGGAGCTTGAGGCTTCCCAACCATACCCCGTGGGAATCCAGGTTTGTAGTCAGCCTGCCACCTGTAGTAACCCTGGGCTGGGGTAGGAGTAGATTTGGGGATGGGTTGCAGCTGCATGCGTGGTCGCTGAGAGAAGCTAGCAGCAGCCCCTTCCTGTGTTCTCTTCACTGTGTAGGATGAGGGTACAGCTCTTCTTGGTAGGGGTGTGTGTGGGGGAGGGCACCCTTTCACTCCCTCAGCAAGGTGCACCCCACACCAACCTACAAAGTTGGCCACTGGGCTTCTGAAGGAGGCAGGGTGTGTGTGGAGGGGTGGGGTGGTGGCACGGGGTGCCAGGGTATTCTGCTGGCTTCCTCCCGGCCCCTCTCTCCCACTACAGGGTCTGGGATCTGCACAGCTGTTGGGAGCTGGCTTTTCCTCAGCAAGAGGCAATAGGTGGGGACGTGTCTGTTTGACCACGCGTGTGCGCACGAGGACACCCACGCACAGCCATGCACAGCTCTGCATGTCCCCCAGAGGGACACCCAGAAATGTCCCCACTGTGGTAGGACACCCATAGGAAGACCCAAGAACACATATACACAACTTGTGCACACAGGATCAAGTCTGGCACCCGCCCCAGAGGCCCTGCCCAGGGTGGTCAGTCACCAAGGGCAGAAACACAGCTGTTCTCTGCCCCACCCCCAGCCCCGGGGAGCAAGGATTCCTTCCCCAGTATGTGACGGGGTGCCTGGAGGGAGCCAGGTGGCAGGGACTGAGAAGGGGGGACCACAAACCAGGTGCTGGACTAGGGGCTCACACTGACCTTGAAGAGACCATCCCCACAAAGGCCACTGGAGGAGCCAAAGAATCGGAATTGCTGAGTCAGGGCCTGTGGACATGAAACTGCCTCGCTGGCCTACCACCCCCACCCCAGCCCGCTGCCCTGCCCACCCCCTACCGCGCCTCTTCTCACTGCCTACACACACACCGACTGTCCATCCAAGTGCCAGCACGCAGGCAGGCAGACACAGGTGCAGTGACTCAAAGAGACTTACTCAGGCATGCCCTGGGATTGCACAAGGTGTGGGGATGCACCTGCTTCCGGCCCCACCCCCAGCTTTGCCCATCAAGGGCAGGAAGGTCACCTAGCAGGTGCTGCCCCTCCCCCAGCCCCTGTCAGGTCCAAGGTTCAGACCCCTGATGCAGCTGAAACCTCCCCCTTAGAGAGACCCCCGACCCCATGCACAGGGGCACCCACCCACTGGAGACACTGGAGTGACGAGCTGAATACCTTCCCTTCTGCCATGTGCACACACAGTATGCGTGTCTGTGCACAGACATGCACGTACCACACAGGTGAAGCTCACTCGGGCAACCATGAAAAGGCAGTCACATGCCAGCTGGGGCAGTCCTGGACACACACATCCAGGGAGAAGCCAGGCTGGGGCGGCGGGGGCAGGGGGCCGTGGGGCCGGGAGCCGACTGACCGGGCTGCAGGCAGGGACAGAGGCAGTGCGGGAGGCGGGCCGTGCAGGAGCAAGCTGCTCTTCACAACACAATCGCCGTCTGTTGTTATAGCAACTCAGCCCCCAAATCATGAAATGGATATTACAGCCTCAAGAGGGGGAAGGGCAGGAGGGGGCTGAGGACCAGAGGGGCACAGCAGGGAACCCACTGAGGGGACAGGCCTGGGGAAGCCACGAGGGGGACCAGCTGCAGTTGATACCTCATTGGGAGCAGAGCTGGGGGCCATCCGAAACAAGAACTGGGGGGCTGAGGGAGTGGGGTCCGGGCTGAGCTGGACAGGTGCTGCTTTTATGTGGATCTGAGGCCACTGACGGGTATTGTAGAATCTATGCTTTCTAGGGAGGAGCTGGGGTGCCCTGGTCTCCACCTTTGCAGGACAAGCCCATAGCTGCTGTGGACAGTCCCGGGCTTGGGACGCACCCCTCTTCTGGCCCCCCACTTCTCAGAGCTGGGTCCTTCAGAACCTTTAGGGGACTCCCAGCCCAGCTTCTCCAATCAGCCAAGCTTTTCAAAACAGCCTCAGCCTTCTCCAGGTAGCGGTGACACCCCCACACACACCTCGCCATAGGAAAGAGCAAGCAGGGCTGGGAGGGGCAGCCAGAGGCTCAGAGCTGGATCGATAACTACTTCCCCTGGAAGTCCTATCCTTCCGGCTGGCAGCAGCCTCGGGCCAGGCGGTTGTGAGGTCCCAGAGCACAGCACCCCCTGCCTGAGGTGTCCAGGCCTCCCTCCCTACCTCCCTGCCCTGGAGATCAGCACCCAGGCTGCCCCCACTCCCAGCACCCCAGAGCTCCAGCCAGGAGCACCCCATCGCTGGAAGTTCAGAGTTCACACGTCAAGGCAGCTCTGTTTATGCACGGCCATGGGGCCCAACAAAGCTGGGGTACAGTCTCATACCAGGTTCAAGTTCCACATCCTCAAGCTTCTGGATTCTTCAAGACTCTAGACCTTCGAACAGGTCCCTGGTTCTAAGCTTCCATCTCCCGAGGTTCCAGACACACACAATTCCAGATCTTCCCGTTCCCAAGACAGAAGTCCCTGCGAGTGCCTTCCCTCCTCCTCCCACCACTACCGGCCCCAGGATTCTAGATTCTGAGGGTCCAGGTTAGTTACAGGGGCCGTTTTATTCCATCTGGAAAAAAATTGCAAATATTCACAAGAGTCTATACAATCTTAGGGACACCAGCCCTAGCCATGGCCCTCCTGGGTCGGTCGGTTGGTCGGTCAGTCGCATGCCACCCTCACACCCTAGTCCCACCCCCAACCCTCTCCCCAGGCTCCCTGCTCTGCTTCAATATGATCTCATCTCCAAGGCAGGATCAAGTCCGGATCCAGTCACAGCTGGGAAGAGAAAAAACAAAGGAGGTAAGAAAGATATCTACTGCCCCCAGCCCGGCAGGAGCCCACCACCCCAACATTCCACCCCAGCCCCCCAACTATGGCAGGATTCATCAGCCTTGAGAGGACTCACCAGCTGTCACAAGTGGATGTCAAAAACTCCGTCCTCCACCGCCTGCACCTCCTCCTCCTGGATCTCTATGAGGGTTTGGGGGGCATGAAGGGGGCAGGGTGATCACAGAGCCCACCCTAGGACCTGGGACCTCGGCATCTCTCCCTGCTCCTGCTCATGGAGGGTATCCTCCAATCTGGAAGCTGACCCCCAAAGCTCAGTTCCCCCGAATGACCTAAATGAGCTGAATGAGGCTTTTCTGACCAGTTTTTATTTTGCCTTTTTTTTTTTTTGGCAGTAATGTGTTTCGCTGGCATCTGTGTGGGCATTTCACCTCCTTGACCCCCAGCACTTTCAGAAGGCCCAATGCAAATGGGTTTTTTGTTTTTTTGCTTGTTTTCTCTCTGCCTCTTTTCTATTTTGGAGGCCCCCTCCGCCCCAGGTCTGCCTCTATTTTTGAAGTCTTACTGCAACCCAAACGGTTGTGGTCAACTGCCTTACCCCTAGTTTCACACAATCATTCAGACCCTTCTCGGCAAAACTGTCAGCTGGTACATGGCCAGGCAGCAAACTGATCAAACACTGGCAGAGACCATCCTTCGCTGCCCGAGGGCGGCCCACCCGCCCGCCTGCCCGAGAGGTTAGCAGGGCTCACGGGGCTCAGAGTTCCCGGATGCACTGCCGATCCCTCTCACAAAGTGAGAGCATGGCTGCAATCGCCAAGCCTCTTTGGCCTCGCATTTCCTCAGGAACAAGGGTCGCTCTCCAGCCTCGTCCAGGGCCCATGAACACTGTGTTACCTGTCCTAGCCATCACTGTTCCTGCACCTGGACGAGTTCCCTCTCTGTGGGGTGGGTGGTCCCGCCACGCCCCCTCCCTCCTCGGCTCCAGGCACACAGCTGTCCCCCATGCCATCTTACCTGGAGGCCTGGAGCCTCGCCTGCCAGGTCGGGGCAGGGAGAAGCTGAAGGCACGATGGTGGCTGTGCGTGGGTGAGGGTGAGGGCGCAGAGCCCTCCACACTCACGCTCTGGGCCCGGCGCCGACACTCCACCGACAAGCGGTCCTTACACTGCTTGTGGCAGTTCACACCACAGGCTGGAAGCGGGCAGACAGGGCACCCCGGGGCCAGCCAGGGGGGGAGACGGGTGGCATCGGTTAGCACACCTTCCAGGCCAGCCTGCATCCCACGCTTCTCCCCAAATTGCTTGCAACGCAGTCAGTCTCTGCCCGTTCCAGGGCTTTCTGTGCCTGGGCAAGCTGCCTTACCAAAATAAACACCCCCTAGGAGGCTAGCCCAGGCACCTTCATTGGTCTCCTTTTCCAAGGGGCACACTTGCTTGGTCGTCGCCCCACCTCACAAGTAAGAATCCCCACCCACAAAGTAAGCCAGCCTGGCGGGGGGTGGGGGGGAGCCTGCATGTCTGGCATCTCACCTCGGCATTTGAGGCCCTGCTTGTAGATACCCAGGATCTGCAACAGAGAAGGGGGCCGTACTGGTGGGCGGTGTTGGGATTTAGGGGTAACAGTTCTACCTCTTCCGGACAGAGGGGCTTCGGAGTCTTAGAACCCAACTCAGGGTCACACTGAAGGGCAGGTGGAAATTACAAAATCTGCTGGGCGGTGGCCGCTCCAGCAGGGGCGGGGCCTAGGGAGGAGGGGCGTGACCGAGACATCGGGGCGTGGCCAACTCTGGGAGTGGGCGCGTCCAGTCTGCGGAGGGCGGGGCACGGTGTCGGATGGGCGGGACCAGGCCCGCAGGTGGCGGGGTCAGACCTGAGGTGGGTGGGCCCGGGCCATGGTCTGAGATGCGCGGGGCCAGCGGCGCGCAGGGAAGGAAGCTCACCAGGGCTTTGCAGTGGCGGCAGGCGACCGGGCGTAAGGAGTTGCTCTCCTGGAAGTTGTGCACGAAGCCCATGCGGCCGCCCAGCACTGAGCTGGAGCGCAGGAAGTAGGAGATCATCTCCTCCCTGCTGATGCAGCCGTCCCTGCGGGGCGGGGGAGGGGTGCCTCAGTTTGGGTGCGCTTCGGGACCACCTACCACCAAGGCCCTAGCCCACCCCCCTTGAAAAGGCCCCGCGGACCACAAAAAAAAAAAAAAAAAAAGCGGGGAGGGGTGCGTCCTGGCCCAACTCTGATGTGGGGGCCTCCCGTACCCTCGATTGGGAAATACAGGGCTGCAGGGCTGGAGCAGCGGCCACCAGATTAGCTGGGCAAGCCGCACACGCTGGATCTCTCCCAAAGCAGCAGGGACAGGGGTCCTGCCTGCCCACTTCACGGTTATCAACGCCCGCGGAAGCACCAAGCGTGTTCCACACAGGACGGATGGGAGACAAGCGCTAGGGCCTTCTCGGGAAGTGGGGGGAGGGAGGCCTCTGCTGGAATTTGGCAAGACCACAACCGGGTCGCTCTTGCTTCTCCCTTCCGGAAGGACCCCCAGAACGCAGGCCAGCCCACTCGCCCGGTTCCGTCTCTGTGTTTCAAGGACAGAAGGAGTATGTATTCTGCACACAGTTCAACTCCCAGCGCTACCTCCAGCCACCGGACCTGTGCTAGCAGGTATGTTTCCCTGGTGAGCAAAAGGAACATTCCTGAAGCTTACGGGATTGTGGGAGTCATGCATGTAGTGGGCTTGGCCGCAGTGTCAGAGCAGTTGGCGGGGAGCTACTCCCATAAGGACCTGGCCTTATTTGAGACCCTCCACGCACTGCGTTTGGGCAGCCAAGGGTGGTGAGATGGCTCCTCCAGACCAGTGGGCACTGGGGCAACTGGCCACTTGGAAAAAAAAATAGATTCCTACCCTGCATTATAGAATTATCAAAACATCTGGAGAACGGGAATAATCTGGTCACCTTAAAAGGCTGGAGAAGGAGGAACTGGTTTCTATACAGAACACAAATCCAGGAAGCCAAAAAGGAAAAGACTGACATATCGAACACACGAGTTTTCAAATTTTATATGGAAAAATAAAAAGACAACATAAATGACACACGGGGAGAAAATATTTGCAAGCACATTGAACAGCAAAGGGTTAATACATATCCATTAACAGAGATTCTCTAGAAAAATCAATGAGAAAAAGACCAACACACCCGGTAGCATAATGGACAAAGAATATGAACAGGCAATTAACAGAAGACACATAAGTGGCCCATAAATATGTGTAAAAAGATACCCTACCCCCATTAGTATTAAAGAAATGCAAATTTAACCAAGATACCACTTGCCAAGGAGACTGGCAAAATTGTAAAGCTTATTATAGCAGCCGCTGTTGGCACAGAGAGTGGGAAAAGCGGGCACTTGTACACTGCTGACGAGCGTGCAAGCTGGTACAACCCCAGCCGAGGTCAGCTTGGCAGCCGCCCCCTTATTAAAAATGTGCATGTCTTTGGATCCAATTATCCCACTTCTAGGAATTTTCTGCTACAGGAATACTGGCCTGTGTGCACAGGGCCCAGGAGGGCCACGGCAGCCCGGGATAAAGTCACAACAAACGCCTGGCAGAGCCCCCGTGCGCATGTTACCAGGAGGGTGCTGGGGGGACACGGGGCGCCGACCCCGTGGGGAGAAGCTGGGCTACCAAATGAGCTCATTCTAGGTGACCTCCCATGGGAAAGACATCCCCAGGGACAAAGAGTTTAGTGGAAAAGAAAAACAAAGGCCATAAGAAAAAGGAAATAGACCACAACGCTACAAATGCCCAGGTGTTGAATAACAGTACACCAAGAGTGGCGGGCAATGCCTAGGTGACGTTGCAAGAGAGAAACCTCTCCACCCAACACTCACACACACCACCACCGAGTTCTAGAAGCAAGGAAGAAGCTTCCAGTTGAAGCAGGGAGCAGAGCTGGTCCTGGAGGGGCTGCGTGCAAATCTTCCTCCCAGAAGGACACAGCTGTTGGCTGCAATGCCCGCCCAGGGGCTGGGCACGAGGCCTGCATGAGGTGCAGTTCAAGCCCGAGAGTCCTACCAGCCTCAAGGGTTGCAACCTCCAGTCCAGGAAGCTGATCTGAATCTAGGATCCTGGCGCTACAGCACAGCAAGTTAAGACGCTGTGTGTAATGCTGGCATCTCATGTAAGCACTGGATGGAGTCTTGCCTGCTCCGCTTCAGATCCAGCATCCAGCTGGCCCACGGGCTTGGGGCTCTGCCCACATGGGGGACACCCAGATAAATCTCTTGGCTCCAAGCTTCAGACCAGCCCAGCCCTGGGCTAGCCTGCCCCTTGGGGAATGACCAGCAGATGGAAGAGCTCTGTAATTCTGCCTTTCTAATAAATCAGTTAATTAATTTTTTAAAATCCTGAGTTTGTCTATCCCCAGGAAATGAGGGAAAGAATTTACCTTTTTTTTTTCACTTTTTACTTTCAGTACTTTGTTCATCATGACTGTTTTACCACCTGGATGTTTGTTACCATGGCTTTGGAATGTGGGAGTTTCTGAAAAGCATGTTTTGAACATAGAGCAACATTTTAAAAATTCATCAACCTGGGATGGATTATAAATTTGGACTGGAGTTTTGTCTATTCAGCAAAACTAGGGGCACATGGTCAAGGTCACAGGGGGGCATCCTGTGTAACAAGGCCTCAGAGAGCCAGCTGTTTTCCCAAATTCTGGCATGTGAACTGTTGATAAGCTAATTCCAGGCCTTTCTTATCTACTCATTAAAACTGGCTGCCCACAAGTTGAGCTTGCCCACCCCGTCTGCCAGCTGCAAGCTTCACATATAAGGAAGCCCCTAGGCCATAGTCTTCACAAAATGCAGGTGGAGGTTCTCCCACCTGAACCGGTAAGGTTATACCAAGCCTCCCTCTGCCCAAAAGAACCAGGACCCTGAGGCCTGTACTGTGTGCGGTACAGCACCATCCCGTGAAGGGGCACCAGTTCAAGTCCCAGCTGCTCCACTTCTGATCCAGCTCCCTGCTCACACGCCTGGGCCCCAGGTCCAGGATTCTGGCTTCAGTCTGGACCAGCCCAGGCTGTTGTGACCACTTAGGGGGATGGACCGACACTGATGGAAGATTTTTCTCTTTCTCTGTTCCTCTCTTTGCCACTCTGCCTTTCAAAGACATCTTTTTTAAAAATAGTAATAATCAGAACCATCCCCACAGCAGGAGCTTCCCTGGCCAGGCCGAGGTCGCCGGATTCAAAGGCCTCCACTGGCCTAGAGGGGAAGTGAGCCGGGCTGCCTCGCCCACCCTCGGGGGCCCCCAGCCCTCCTCACTGGTTCTGGTCGAGGTCCCCAAAGGCGCTGAGATAAGGGAAATTCCCACGGATGATCTGGAACTCTTCTTGCGAGATATGGCCATCACCATCCACATCAAAGTTCCGGAATACAGACTGGGAGGGGGCAGGGAGAAGGCAGAATGTTCCAGACCTGGTTACCAAGTGTCCCCTCCACCTCCACTTCCACCCCCAGGGGCAGGGGCCTCCGTCCACACAGCTCACACTTCTTAGGGATCAAGCACTGGCTCTTGCAGGTGGCCCCTGGACTGGCTCTCAGCAACCTGACCCTTTCTGACCAGGACATTCACAAGCCAACTTTGCCCTCCACCCTCTACCAGCCCAGGCCTCCGGACAGTCTTACCTCCACCATCTTCTCAATGTGCTCCACCACCAGGGCCTGATCGAGCTTGGGCTTGGCTGTGGAGGTCCATGCCTCAAGAAGCACAGCGGGCCGGGGAGGTGGAGTGCAGCTAGTGGGGCTGCTCGGCTGTAAGGAGTATGGTCAAGGGCTGAGGGAGGGCCAGAACAATACAGACAGGGAGCACCCCAGGCCACTACCCCCCCACCCCAGCAAACCAGACACGTGGGGTAAGCTTCGAAGCTCTGGTGCTATCCCTCAGGCGGGGCGAGTGGGCAGGCTGAGGGACCCCTCTTACCGAGGACTTGGAGCGCGGCTCCCGCTGCAGGGACAGCTGGTACAGTTCGTCCTCCGTCTGGTACTGATCCAGAGACACCTGTGACACATGCCTCAGCTCACAGCCCCGCCTCCTTCTGGAACCCTCAGCCCCGAGTCTAGAACCCACTGCTCAGCCCAGACCCAGGGCAAGGAGCTCAAACCTTGTTCAGTAGCCCCAGACCATGACTAGAGAGCACCGCTGGGACCCTTGTAACAAGCTAATCCTCTGCCTGAGCTGCCGGCATCCCACAGGGGTGCCAGTTCAAGTCCCAACTGTTCCACTTCCCATCCAGCAACCTGCTTGTGACCTAGGAAAGCAGCAGATGGGCCCCTGCACTCATGTGGGAGACCCAGAATAAGCCCCTGGTTTCTGGGTTCTCCTGGCCCTGCTCTGGCTGAGGCAAACCACGTGGGGCCTGACCCAGAGATCCGTCTCTCCCACTCTCTGTAACTCAAGTAAACTCCCAATCTTAAACACAGCCCACTGCCAGCCACCCAATCCAGGACCCAGTCCACATCTCCAGCCAGAGCCTGGAGCCAGCAGCTAGTGCCCAAGGCCAAGGCCACATAGGCAGTACCAGGCGTACCTGCCCTCTCCCCCTCCCCCAGCTGCCTGCCATGGCCACTCACTGTGAGCAGACTCAACAGGTCTGGGTTGGCTTGCACAGGTGGCCGCAGGCTGGTCACCATGGCCAGCTCCTCTAGGATGCTAAAAAGCTGCTTCATCTTGGCCCCATTGAGCCGCGTTCGTGCAGGGTCCAGCCAGTCGGGCAGGGCCAGCTGCAGGGCCACCAGGTCCTTGAGGTGCACACCCAGGATGGGGAAGCGGAAGCCCACGCACGCTGCCAGGCGGCGCCGGTAGTTGCCATAGTTGCCTGTGGCCGTCACCAACTCAGTCAGTGCTTCCCAGAGCTTGGGGGGAGGGGAAGAGGGAGAAGGAGCAAAGATTCATGGTCATGCACACACGCACGTGCGCGCGCGCACACACACACACACACACACACACACACACGCAGCCTTGGCCATGAAGGGAACAGAGAAGTCAGGGACAGGAACGGGGAAAGGAGACCCCTGGGGGTCAGAGTTCACTCCAGGCCCTGGGTCCTGGAACAGGCTAGCAGGGAAAACCCAAGTGTCCAACACAATAGCATCCCGGCTGTTCCACTTCCAATCCAGCTTCTTGCTGATGTGTCCAGAAAGGTCACAGAAAATGGCCCAAGTGCTCCGTTCCTGCCCTCCACAAGGGAGACCACGACGCGGCTCCTGGCTCCTGGCTCCAGCCTGACCCAGCCCTGGCTGTTGCAGCCATTTGGGGAGTGAACCAATATATGGAAGATTCTCCCCACCTCTCTACTGCCTTTCCAATAAATAGATCAATCTTTTAAAGTTGAAGTCGGTGTAAAAAGCAAGCTTTCGCAATCCATGCACAGCTTTTTCATACTATATTTATTCCAAGGATTTCTGAAGACTTTTTATATGCAAGGACTTCCAAGTATCTGCACGAAAAATCAACTTCTCCACATTTTTATTTACTCGAAAACAGAAAGAGATGGAGATCCCAACACTGTTCACTTCCACCCCCCCAAGATAGTTCCAGAACCGCCAGGGAGGAGCCAGAAGCTCCACTGGAATACCGCCGTGGGAGGACAGGGCCCACGTGCCTGAGCAACACACCCTCACCTCCCAGAGCCTGAGCTGGGATCCAAATGCAGCCACCTGACATGGCAGGCGGGCATCCCAGCAGAGCTGCAACTGCTGCAGCCAGCACTGTGCCAGGTAAGTAAACTTCTCAAAACTTAATTCTGGGCCCGGCGCGGTGGCGCAGTGGTTAAGGTCCTCGCCTTGCATGCCTGGGATCCCATATGGGCGCCGGTTCTAATCCCGGCAGCTCCACTTCCCATCCAGCTCCCTGCCTGTGGCCCAGGAAAGCAGTCGAGGACAGCCCAAGGCTTTGTGGACCCTGCACCCGCATGGGAGACCCGGAAGAGGCTCCTGGCTTCGGATAGACACAGCACCGGCCGTTGCGCTCACTTGGGGAGTGAATCATGGGACGGAAGATCTTCCTCTCTGTCTCTCCTCTCTGTATATCTACCTTTCCAATAAAAACAAAATAAATCTTTAAAAAAAAAAAAAACCTTAATTCTGAGGTGGCCTGGCATTAACCACTTGAGCAAAACAAAAAAGATAAAGAAATACAAGCCTTGGCGTCAGGCAGGCCTGAGAGTCCTCATTCTGTTCCTATCACTGGGCAACCTGGGAAAGGCACTGATCCCCCCCCGAACCTCAGCTGCCCAGCACAGACAGCAGCAGAACCCTCCTCTCCCCTCCCACTCTCTGCCTCGCGAAGCTCCCCTCCCTGCCCTGTCCCAGGCACCTTGATGGTCTCAGGGCTCAGGTGACTGTGGGTCTCCTTGAGGCGCGAGATGGAGCTGTGACTCAGGCCCCCGACCACGGCCATGAGCGTATTGAAGTTCTGCAACTCCAGCAGCTTCTGAACCATGGATGGGGAAGAGGGGGCAGGGGCGTGAGCGAGGGGGGCCATCCTGGCCTGGAGGTAGGGGAGGGGAGCGTGGGAAAGGGAAGAAGGGGTGGGCACCTCTGCCACGTGGACGAAGTGCGTGATGACCAGGGCCCGCTGCGGGGCGGTGGGCTTGCCAAGGATCATGAGCTGTACCCACTGCGAGACGCTGTTGAAGAGCGAGATGAAGCGCTCCAGCACAGGGTTGTCCACCGTGCAGCCATGGGTCACGAAACTGTGATAGTCCTGGAACTGCGGGCGGGTGGGCAGGCGAATGGGCAGGTGCAACTCAGGCCTGGCCACCCTCCAAACCTCCCAACAACCCCCAGTGCGCCCCTCCTGAGTCCCAGCCCACCCAGAGCCCTGGGCCCAAGCCTTGGAGCCACACCAGGATCTTGCAGAAGGAGCGATACTCCAGGTAGGTGAGGTGTTCCGCCAGCTCCAGAGGCTCCAGGTGGTCGAACAACAGGGACATCTTGCGTTTTTTTTGCTCCACTGGGTTCCGCTGAGTCACCTGCCGCTTCCACTTGTAGGTGGGGCTGGGGTAGGGGAGGCGCAGGAGTAGTGAGCCCTTCGCTGGGACATGCCCTATGCCTGCTGCCTCCACACTCACACAGACAAGCCACCCAAGCAGACTGGTGAGCCACCGCTCCATGACTAAGGTCCCAGTCCTGCAGTTCCTGCCTGTGCCTCTCTGATCACACGTTCTGTGTTGGGCGCTGGGGAGGGGACAGAGAGGAGGCACCAGACCTGCCCTTGGAGGAAATCAAGAGTCCACGGAGGGACACAGACGCACAGGTCGGGGTGGAGTGGGAGTGCTTGGGACAGGAGCTGCAGACTGCCAAGGAATCTGAGGGCACCAGACAGCCTGCCCTGGAAGAGCCCTGAGGCTGCACATTCAGAGGGCGGCCAGCAGCGAACAGAGCAGAGAGCCACGGTGGGAACGGACTCAGCAGCTCACGCAACAGGCCCATGCAGCTGCCATGACGGAAGTGCATGTCCCGGGCAGTGGGCTCGGGGGACGGAGCCGGAAGGCCACACTGGGCCAAGCCGCTAAGCATCTCTGAAGGCCAGGCGAGGTACTCCGCAGGCAACAAGCAGCCACGGGCAGTTTTTCAACAACACAGTGACGTAACCCCTCACTCATTCAACACACATTTATTAGGTGCAGGTTGCGTGGGATGCTGAGCCCCAGCCCCACGGCTCCGGTTCTGCCCCCACGTACACGCTCTCAATGTCGATGAGGCTACTGTGCCGCCGGTTCCCTTCCTGGTCCAGCAGAGCCTTCAGTTCTTTAATCTGCTCAGCCAACTCCGGGTTCAAGTCAAACTCGGCAGGGAAGGCTGAGATCCAGTACCTGGTGGTGAGAACAGGGTCACTGGGCAGTGGGGAGAGGACGTCCTTCCTCCACCAGCCCCTTCCCACTCCCCTGCGACGCCAGACTGGACAGGCCCCCAGAGAGGACGAGGGTCCAGCAGCAGAGCACCCAGCAACCTCCTCCCACAGCTTCCTTCTCGTCCACAGGACTCTACATCCCCCGCCAGCTCTCTGTCCTTTCTCCTGGGGTCAGTCTGAGACCTCCTCACGAAGCAGGAGCCCCAGGAGAAGGGCGACTCACCTGACCAGGTGGCAAGTTTTCACCTGCAGTGAGCTGGAGTTGTCCTTCCGGGACTGTTGGTAGGTGCCGGAGAGTTAAGGATGACAAGGATGGGCAGGGCAGAGTTCCGAGGGAGGTGGGAAGCGGGGCGGGCCTGAGTAGAAGTTCTGGAAAAGGGTTCCGGGAGGAGGGAGCAGGTGGCAGTGGCTGTCCAGGTCCCACGAGAGGCCAAAAGCAAGCCCTCGCGCCACGGGGACGGGAGCAAGGGGCCAGGAGCAGGGCTGAGACCCAGGAGGGGGGCGGAGCCCGAGTCACAACGGGGAGGAGCCCGGGCTGGACCCGGAGCGCAGCTCGTCCCCCTGCCCCGCCTGGGCCGTGCGCGAAGGATATATGTGGAGCAGCTTGGCGGCCAGCTGCGAGGAGGGGATGTACCAGGGGTGCATCATGAGAAACATACGCACCAGCTGCGGGTCCCGCACCTTCCCGGAGTCATCTAACTCGCAAGGGGCAAAAGGCAGGGGGTTGGCCCGTAGTCCTGCAACGTGGGCTCCTCCCAGCCCCCCAACACACACACACCCCTGCGTCCACTCCCGACCCCGGGCACCCATTGCTGACCTAGGAGCCCAAGCCAACAAGCGCATTTGAAGGGAAAAGCAGAGTTGGGGGAGGGGAGCGGGTTAGGGCAGGGTTCGAGGCTTGGGAGCGGAACCAGCTGGAACGGAAAGGAGCCTGGGTTCCCCTGGGTCAAGAATCCAGAGGTCATTACTTCCTGAGTGCTGGGGGAAGGGGCACCCCCTTCCCCTGATAAGCCGCCACCACCTCCCACCATCCACCCCCCTTTGCATCAGCCGGAAACAGCTCCCAGGCCGGAGATGGCGAGTTCCTGCGGATCCCCCGGGGAGACCAGATAATGCCCCTCGAGTGCCTTCGGAGACCGGGAGCCGACTCCTTCCCCGCCCGCTGGGAAGGCTGCAGTAGTGGGCACTTCACCTGCAGCTGCGTGTGCGTCTCTCAAGCCACTGATGGGAGGAGGGCACTCCTCGCAGACGCTGCGTGGGGCGAAGCTGGGGGGGAGCGGGCGTCCGGGCAAGAGGTCCGGCCCGGGAGCGGCGTGCGCCCCCCATGGCACTCACCGAAGGCTTCGATGCAGCCGCGGAGCAGCTCCTCCACCGTGCAGCCCTTGTCCAGGTCCAGGGTGCACGCCATGGTGGCCGGCGCCCGTGGGCGAGGCCCAAGCGGCTCTGTGCTCTCGGGAGGCCCCCCGGCCCCGACCCCTGTCCGGAGAGAGGCAGAGGCGGGAGTCCGTGCCGAGGCGCGCTTCGGGGAGACCGGGGTGAGCTGGGGGTGCTGCGGGCGGGAACGGGGCGGGGCGGGCACGCCCCCTGCCGGGCAGGGGCGGAGTTGCCGGCTGCGGCCACTCCCGGGGTTAAACGGTCCGGCCTGGGATGCTGCAACCGCCGGGTTGGGAAACGGACCGCTGAGACGCTTCCGGCCCACCCGCCCTCGGAGCCGCGGAAGGGTCAAGGGGCTCCACCGAGAAGGGGGCGCGCCGGGGTGTCCCGCCCGCCGCAGGCCGCTGCTCTCCCGGAGGCACCTGCAGCAGCACCCCGCAGCTCCGCTCCGCGCCCCTCCCGCTTCCCTCCCTCCGCAGCCTCCCCTCCCCCGCACGGTTATTTTGGGAACCCAGAGCCTGAGGGGACCTCGGAGGAATTTCTCCCCGGGATGGGAGAAGGGGAGTGGAGAGGAGGAAACCCAGGCGTCCTGCCCGTCGCGCTGCCTCTCGGGGCGCCCTAAGGGGAGGGAGGCGGGGCTGGAGCGGCCCCCAGGGGCCTGCCTCTGGGGAAGCGGGCTGGAGTGCAGGGCAACATTCCTGGGGCGGGTGAGTAGGGAGCGGGCTCTCCGCGCCTCCGCCGGGGTGCCGGCTCGGCCTCTGCACGGACCTGCCTGCTCCCTAGCCCGGCCAGGGCCGCAGCTCCCACCCCACCGCCACCACGCCGCACCAGGGAACTGGGGGCGCACGCGGAGTAGGGCGCCCGGAAGAGGGCGCTAGTGCCGTGGGTGGGGAGGGAGAGCCGGCCACGCCAGCAACTCGGGTCGCCGGTGCGATCCTGCACATTCCTGCTGGGACACACACTCGCGTGAGAGCCTGGTTATCCACCAGAGACCAGGGACCTACCCTGTGGGACAAGCGAGCCCCTCTGGCCTGCTGGCCGGGCTCCGGGCATTTGCCTGCTGTCGGGCTGTGTGGCGTGCACAATGGCACCCACGCCAGGGCACATGTCCCCGGGCACATGTCACCCGTGCACGGGGTCGCCCCCGGGACCTGCGGTGCACCTGAGCCAGAGCCAGCCATCCCCCACCCCCTATCTCCGCCCACCCGGGTCTGCATCCAGAGCAGCGCTGACACCCGCACACGTGTGCACGCAGACAAGCCGGTGCACTGCAGCGCGCACACGCCCCCCACACGGGCACACACCCCCACTGGGACTCACACCCCCCCCCCACACACACACTGCGCGCACACATCCCTGCAGCTCCCCACCCCTGCACCCCGGGGGGGCTCCAGTGCCCTGGTTCCCCCTACTCCCAGACCTAGCAGAGCCCGGCCCCATGTTAGGGTACCCTCCCCCACACGTGTTCCACACACCCCGCCACCAGCGCTGGGGGTTCAGAGAAGCCCCTCCAGGGAGCTGTCAAGTCGACTTGTACGGCCCGCCTGTTCCTACCGCTCCCTTGCCGTGTGACCTTGAGAAACACTTGGCCTCTCCGAGCCTCTATTTTTTTATCTGTCAAATGGGGGCTCACGGGGGACGGCCCCATGGAGGAGGAGCCCCATCCCGCGCGCGGATGGTCCAGAATGCCTGGGTCCTTTAGGACATCTCCCTCCGACCCCACGAGCCGAGCCGCACAATGCCCACCCACCCGCAGCCCGAGCCCATCCTCGGGGTCCGTCCTACGAGTTGGGGATTAGATGGGGAGGGGAACCCTAGGGACCGCGCCCTCCTCCAGCCGGCGCCCCGCCGCGCTCGCTCGCTCGCTCACTCACTCTTGGGACCCATGGCCAGGAGCCCGCAGCCGGCCCCGCCGGCGCCAGCTCGCCGCACTCCCGCCCGCCGGCCTCGCTGCGGCTGCGGCTCCCGCCCGCTCTCCGCGCCGCGGCCCCGCGCCCCGCCTCCGCGCCGCGGCCGCCCCCTCCCCGCCCCTGCGCCCGGCTCCGCACTGCCGGCCGCGCCTCCCGCCTCCCCCGCCGGGGGCTCCCCGGCCCCGCACGCCCAGGTCCCTGCGGCAGCTTAACCCCTCGCCCGCCTGCCGCGCAGCCCGGGACCCGAGGCGGGCAGGGTGCGGGGGGCTGCGCCACCGGCGGCACCCGGGGTGGGTGGGCGGAGGCCGGGCTGCGCAGGACGCGGAGAGGGGGAGCTAATCCGAAAGCTCTCTTCCCCTCCCCCCCAGCACCCCTGTGGGCGCCACTCTGCACACCCCCCACAAACACACCCCGCCCTGCCTGGGTGTCAGGGTAGGAAACCGGGAGGGGCAGGAAGCGGACTGCGGTGGGGAAGGGGCGCCCCGCCCAGCCCCCCGGCCCGGGTTCCTGTTTTCAAGACAAATCGTTCCCACGGGGCTAACCCATCCCCGGGCCGGGCGTCTTCCTGCGGCTGGCCCGCCGGAGGCTCAGGGCCGCTGCAGGTCGCTGCCTTGGGCACCGCTGGGCCTTGGCCGGGGGAGAGGGGTGGCATTTGGGGCAGAGGAGGCTGGGGGAGGGAGATGCGAAATGGGGATTGCCAGAGCTGCGGCCTGGACTTGGGGGGCCTCTCCACTGCTCCTCCCTCGCCACGCTGCAGCCCTGGACCAAAGAAGGGGCAGGGGCCAGCGGTGGCCGGCTCTGCGCAGCTGGGGCACAGTCCCTGCAGGGAGGAACTTGGGGAGGGGCGGCGGCCTGCCGGCGGTTGGGGTCCCCACAAGCCATGCCTGGAGGAGCAGGCACCAGTTTCCGGCCGTTAGGGTTCAGACACACTGCGAAACCACGAGCCCAAACCTCCCCTCCCAGGCTGGCGCTGCCCCTCCCTCCAGCTCCCTTATGTGAAAAACACGCCCTTTCTGGTCCTCAGTGGCCCCTAATAGTGTGTGTGTATGGGGGGTGACACTGGCCTAGCCCAGATCACCCGGGCGGGTGTGTGCTGTGCTCAAGCTCCCCCAGGCTTTGTCAGGGCCGCAGCCACCTGCTAAGAGACCCCTCCACGCTGCAGGGGTGGGGTGGGGCGGAGCCAAGGAGGTGCCGCGCCTCCCCAGGCCCTGCCCATGGCAGCGTGGATGCTAGGTAGTCCCGGAGTCCCCAGGCCAAGTCCAGGCTCCCAGCTCCGGGGAGGAAGGCGGGCACCAGGCAAACGCTCCGCCCCTGCCCAGCCAGGCTGGCCGCTGACCTAGTATGGACACGGCACTCAGAAGAGAGGCGTGGATGGTGGTGCGTGGCAGGGAGGGAGGCAGGAGAGTCCCAGGCGCTGTCCCCACGGGGCCACCCTCTCTCCTCCTCTCCCACCCAAGGGATCTACCTGCCCCGAGTAGGTTGGGCATAAGCGGGTGATGGCGCAGCTGCTGGTGTGCCAGCCAAGGAGCTAAAAATACCTGCCAACAGAGAGAACAGGAAGCAAGCTCCTAAGGAGGTTCTGTTTATTGGGGAGTGGGTGCAGTTGGTCAGAGCCCATAAACAAGAGGGGGCACCGTGTCCCCAGGCACCGGGACGTGGGGATCTTGACGCTGGGGGTGGGGGAACTCCAGGAAGGGATTGAGAACTCTTAACTGCAGGCCCTCTGTGCTGCGGATGAGGAGGCCTGCAGACTGAGGGCGGGGAGGGCCAGTTTGGGATCCGCTCTGGTGGCTCAGATCTTCTCATCCGGGGCTGGCAGTCTCTGTCGCGAAGGTTCCACGCCCCAGATCTCGCGAGCATACTGGGCGATGGTGCGGTCACTGGAGAACTTACCCGAGGTGGCTATGTTCCGGATCACCATCCGCGTCCACTCTCGGGGGTTCTGTGGGACCCAGGAGGGGTTGTGAGGTCTCCCTGCCAGCTCCCCATCTTTTGGCTCCACCCCTGGGGCGGGGCCACTGGAACACCACCCATCACATGCCACCCTCAGGTCCTCTCTCACCTTGTACAGCGCACTGACTTTCTCCTGGCATTTGATGTAGTCTTCATAATCTGCAAAGACTTTAAACCTGTTGGGGAAGAAGGGAAAGCAGCTCTGTGAGGTCGAGGTCAAAGGTCAACGGCCCCGCCCCGCCCACAGCTGGAGATCCCACCCCCCGACCCCGGTCACTGTGGACCCCCACTCTGGTCTCATGGTTTTCCCCCAACCCGACCTCCATGGTCTCCCCCACCCCAGCCTCGGCGGACCCCCCAACCCCAGCCTCCGTGATATCCCCCTACCTTGGCCTCAGTGGGCCCCCTACCCCTGCCTCCTTGGACCCCCACCCCAGCCTCCGTGGTCTCCCCAACACCGGCCTCCGTGGTCTCCCCTCCCCCCAGCTTCTGTGGGCTCCCCACCCCAGCCTCCGTGGACCCCCGGCCCCCCACCCCTGGCCTCTGTGGACCTCCAGCCCCCCACCCCAGCCTCCGTGGGCCCTGACCCCCCACCCCAGCCTCCATGGACCTCCAGCCTCCGTGGACTCCCAGCCTCCCACCCCTGGCCTCCATGGACCTCCAGCTCCCCACCCCGGCCTCCGTGGACCCCCGGCCCGCCACCCCTGGCCTCCATGGACCTCTGGCCCCCCACCCTGGCCTCCGTGGACCCCCAGCCCCCCACCCCGGCCTCCGTGGACCCCCAGCCCCCCACCCCGGCCTCCATGGACCTCCAGCCCCCGACCCCGGTCTCCGTGGACCCCCGGCCCGCCACCCCTGGCCTCCATGGACCTCTGGCCCCCACCCCCGGCATCCGTGGACCCCCAGCCCCCCACCCCTGGCCTCCATGGACCTCCGGCCCCCCACCCCAGCCTCCATGGACCTCCAGCCCCCACCCCGGCCTCCGTGGACCCTGGCCCCCCACTCACCGGTCGTGGTGCATGAGCATGTTGACGATGTCCTTGAACAGGTCTGGCTGCTTCGGGGAGAAAAACCCACTGCTCAGCTGCTCGATGATCTGCCGCAGCTCAGGGATACGGTCATAGTACTCCTGGGCGTTGTACCTGCCAGGCCAGCCCAGGGCTCAGCTCCTGTGCCAGTGTGTGGCTGCCACCTTCCCTCCGCCTCCCTTGCTGCAGGGAGAGTCCAGGAAGTCCCTGGCAGCCTGACCACACCTCCGGGAAGTCCTCCCAGCATCCTCCTCCCTGCTCTGCCAGTTCTCCCCCTGCCCATCCCCGTTTCCGTAGATTAGGGCTTGGAGGCCTGAAGGAGACCCCCAGAAAGACAGGGACGGCTCCCCAGGGGTCAGGGCTGAGCATGTCAGACTTCCCTCCCTCCTGCCCAAGGACTGAGCCACAGCTTTGGTTTTTCCTCTCATGGAGATTTATGCGCGAAAGAGAGTCAGAGCTGCAGATGGCCCATCCACTGCTTCCCTCTCCCAATGCCCACAACAGCTAAATGGACAGGCCAAAGCCTAGAACTGCATCCCCGTCACCCACACAGGTGGCAGAGAGCCAAGCATGTGAGCCATCCTCCGCTGCTTGCTGGGCACAGTGGCAGGGAGCTGGAGTGCAAGTGGAGCCGCCAGGGCTCCCACTGGCACTATGACATCGGACTCCATGCACAGCACCAGCCTTTAGCCTGAACTGTCAAGACTTCCAGGAGAGCGCCTGGCACAATGGCTCAAGTGGCTAGTCCTCCCCTTGCAAGCACTACCATCCCCATGGGCACTGGTCCACATCCTGGCTACACTGCTTCCCACCCAACTCCCTGCTTGTGGCCTGCAGCTTTGGGACCCTGCACTCGCATGTGAGACCAGATAGAAGCTCTTGGCCTCTGGCTCCTGGCTTCAGATCGGCTCAACTCCGGCTGTAGCAGCCACTTGGGGAGTAAACCAGCCAGCAATGGAAGATCTTTCTGTCTCTCTCTCTGTAAATCTGCCCTTCCAATAAAAATAAATTAACTTTTTTTAAAAAAACTATATGTATAAAATTCGAAATTGTCATGGAAATGGAGGGTTTTTTTTAAAGATTTATTTATTTTTATTGAAAAAGCGGATATGCAGAGAGGAGGAGAGACAGAGAGGAAGGTCTCCTGTCCAATGGTTCACTCCCCAAGTGAACGCAACGGCTGGTGCTGCGCCGATCCGAAGCCAGGAGCCAGGAGCTCCTCCGGGGCTCCCACGCGGGTGCAAGGATGGCTTTGGGCCGTCCTTGACTGCCTTCCCAGGCCACAAGCAGGGAGCTGGATGGGAAGCAGGGCCACTGGGATTAGAACCAGTGACCATCCGACCATTTGGGCAAGGCAAAGACTTTAACTGCTACGTTATCTTGCCAGGCCTGGGAAATGGAGTTTAAAAGTCATTTCAGGGCCTGACACGGTGGCCTAGTGACTAAAGTCCTTGCCTTGAGGGCGCCGGGATCCCATATGGGCACTGGTTTGTGTCCCGGCAGTCCCGCTTCCCATCCAGCTCCCTGCTTGTGGCCTGAGAAAGCATTTGAGGATTGCCCAAAGCCTTGGGACCCTGCAACAAATTTAATTTTAAAAATTTATTATAAAATTTATTTTTAAAATGTATTATAAAAATTTGAGAGTCAGAGACAGGGAGAAAACAGAGTAAGCGAGCGAGAGGAGTGGTTTACTTCCCCAAATGCCCACAGCACCCACGCCTGGATCTGTCAGTAGCTTAGAACACTATCAGGTCCCTGTGGGGCAAAAGGTCAACTTCCTGACCCATCACCACTGCCTGACAACAAGAGGCGGGACCAGAAGCAGAGGAAGTAGGGGCCCACGTGGTGGTATATGGGCTAAGCCTCTGCCTGTGGCACTGGCATCCCATGTGGGCACTGCTCAAGTCCTGGTTGCTCCATTTTCCGTTCAGCTCCCTGCTCATGTACCTGGGAAAGCCACAGAGGCCGGCCCAAGGCCTTGGACTCCTGCACGCACGCGGGAGGCCCGGACCTGGTTTCGGATTAATTCAGCTTTGGCAGTTGTGGTGGCCATTTGGGAGTGAACCAGAGAATGCAAGATCGCTCTCTCACTTTTCAAATAAGATATTTTTTATTTTTTCAGATTATTTATTTATTTATTTATTTTTGGAAGGTCAGATATACAGAGAGGAGGAGAGACAGATGATCTTCTGTCCGATGATTCACTCCCCAAGTGGCCGCATGGCTGGAGCTGAGCTAATCCAAAACCAGGAGCCAGAAGCCTCTTCTAGGTCTCCCCGGCGAGTGCAGGGTCCCAAGGCTTTGGGCCGTCCTCAACTGCTTTCCCAGGCCACAAGCAAGGAGCTGGATGGGAAGTGGAGCAGCCAGGACACAAACCGGAGCCCATATGGGATCCCAGCACATGCAAGACAAGGACCCCAGCCACTAGGCTACTATGCTGGATCCTCAAAATAAATTTCATTTTAGGTTTTTTCTTTTTCCCCTCAAAATAAATTTTAAAATAATTTTAAAGGATAAGCTGTGGTTTTAAATCTGGATGATGAAATTATAGGAGGGAATTATTTCATTGCCATTTTTTAGTGAGCATATATATATAAATATTTATTTATTTCTATTGGAAAGGCAAATTTATAGAGAGAAGGAGAGACAGAGAAAGATTGTTCCATCTGCTGGTTCACTCCCCAAGTGGCCACAACAGCCAGAGCTGAGCTGATCCGAAGCTGGGAGCCAGGAGCTTCTTCCAGGTCTCCCACACAGGTTTAAGGTCCCAAGGTTTGGGGCCATCCCCAACTGTTTTCCCAGGCCACAAGCAGGGAGCTGGATGGGAAGTGGAGCAACTGGGACACGAACCAGCAAGTGTTTGGTTGGGATGCTGGTACTGCAAGTGAGGATTAGCCAGCCCCAGAGCATATATTTCTTATAACAACAACAATAAAATAATATTAAAGATAGCTTTTCTAAAATTGGGGCCATCATTGTGGCACAGCTGTTTAAGCCAACGCACACAACACCAGCATCCCATTCAGGCACTTGAGTCTGGGTTGCTTTACTTCCAACACAGCTCCCTGCTAATGCTCCTGGGAAAGCTGCTAAAGAGGGTCAGGACACTTTGGGCCCCTGATCCCACCTGGGAGACCTGGGGTGCTGGCACCGGCCTGGCCCCGCCCTGGCTGAGGCAAGCACTGACGGAGTAAAGCAGTGGAGAAAAGAGATCCACTGCAGAATCCACCTGTCACCCCACCTTTCAAAATCAATGAAAAAAATGAACTAACATTTTTACAAATAATGCCAAGGAAATACATCCTTGAAGGAACGTGTTGGCTACAAGCACAGTTGTAATTACTCTGTATTTCTCTTTTTGTCATGGTTTCCCAGGAAACTAAGGATTCAATTTTGCTCCCAATTCCAGAACAGTAGTATTTCTTAGGATAGACATAATGCCTCCGTCTCCTTCCCTTCAGTTTCTGATTTGCTTCTTTCACATCCTATTTCATTAACCTTGTTTGCTGTGAGCGACCTCTAGAGTGTCCCAGAATCTTCAGGCTTTTAACTCTGATAAGGCCCAGGCTGGGTCAGCCTAGCCGGCACACCTCCCCTTCCCAGCCCTGCTCTGGGCACCCTGGGTCAGCCACAGCACCCTGGGGCCTCCTGACCAGGCACCTTGAACTTGGTTCCCATACCCTCTCTGATCAAGCCTGTCCACATCTTCCACCCGCATGCCAAAGATGAAGAAGTTCTCCTCTCCCGCCTCTTCCGCCATCTCCACGTTGGCGCCATCCATGGTGCCAATGGTCAGTGCACCATTGAGCATGAACTTCATGTTCCCGGTGCCTGAGGCCTCAGTCCCCGCCGTGGAGATCTGCTCGGACAGGTCAGCGGCCGGGATCACTGTGGGCCAGCAGCAAGGGCATGTGGTCATCTTGGGCCAGAGCCCGGTTCACAGCCTGGAGATGAGGCTGGCCTCCTGGACAGAGCCAGACCCAGGGAACCCCACCCCCAGTTCCAACTCCACAGGCTTTACCAACAATGGCCCCCTTTGGCCCCACCCCACCCCGCCCTCTCTCCTTGCACATCCAGGATCTCCCAAGATCCCCCTCCACCACCATCCAACCTGAAGGAAACCCACAGGCCCCGGGGGTCCCCCGCTGTCCCCTCCTCACAGGGTTCCTCTGGCACAACCCTACCTTTCTCAGCCAGTGAGACCCGGTAGTTCTCCAGGAAGATGACACGGAGGCGGTCTCCCACCACGGGGTCATGGTTCACCACGTCCCCAATGGCCGTGATGAGCTTGATGATCATCTTGGCCATGTGGTACCCAGGCGCAGCCTGCAGGACACAGCGTGGGCTCAGCATAACCGTCTTACACCACCTCCCCGCCAACACTCACCTCTGACCCTACCCCCCAGCCGCAGTCCGAGAGCCCTGGTCAAGCCTCGTCTTCTCACCTTCCCTCCAATCATCACGGTCCGAGGCACGAAAAGCTTGTTGGGCTCCTTCTTGATGCCTACCGAGAGAAGAAAGGAATCGGCAGGCTGGCCCCTTCCTGCCTCCCTCTGGAGGGGCGAGCCGGGGAGCCAGCGCAGGGCCCCACCACTCACGGTTGTACAGCGTGATGACGTGCAGACAGTTGAGCAGCTGCCGTTTATACTCATGGATCCGCTTCACCTGGACGTCGAACAGCGAGTTGGGGTTGATGTGAACTTTGTATTCCCTCTCCAGGTAAGCAGCGAACTTCAGCTTGTTTTCCTGGAAGCAGAGGAGGGGGAGGGCTCACTGTCACTCAGGCCCTGGGAAAGCAGATCACCTGCTACCTTCCTGCACCAGGGCAGCCATTGCTCATCAACACGTCCCGGATGCTAGGATCATGTGATGCCTTCTCACCACCGGCTCCAGGCAACTTCCACCAAGAGCCTGGGGCAGGCAGGAAAGCTGAGCGCTCTTAAACCTTCCTGCACTCCCATCACCACCAGCGCCACATGCCAGCCAGCTGTACCAGGTGTACCGGGTAGCCGCTCTCCCTACCTGCTTCACTTTGGCCACATCCCGGATGAAGGCTTCGTCATCCACGTAGGAGAGCAGTTTGCGCAGCTGGTCCAGGTCTGAGATGTACTCCTCCCCGATGCGCTGAGAGAAGATGGCTGTGGGTCAAGTCTGGCCCCTGTCCTCCTGGCTCCCAGCACACACGGATTCCTGTCTGGGTCAGCCACGCTCCTGCTACCCCGCCTCCACGTGTGGCGTGGGACATCCTTGTCCATCGCTCTCCCCTTCCCTGACCCGGACCTCTGGACCCAGCAGGACTTCCTGGCCTTTGCCTCCAGCTAGCGTGACCTTGAGACCTCCTCTAGTCTCACTTTAGGTGTAACCCAATGACCCCCCTCGTCACGTGGTGGCACCCGCCAGGCCGGCTTCCAGAGCCAGGGCTGCCATGACCGCACAGGGCACCCAGGTGCCAAGGAGGAGACAGCATCCCTTGTAGGCAGAGGAAGATTTCTGGTCTCCGCTGGGGACCCTCTGTACACAAACGAACCACATAACTGTCCCTGGCTGACCCCAGCACCCTGCGTCGACTCGGTCTTCCTACCTCGGCAATGACCTCTGCCAGCCCGGGGTTACACAGCACCAGCCAACGCCGGGGGGTGATGCCGTTGGTCTTGTTCTGGAACTTATGAGGCTCCAGCTCGTAGAAGTCTTTGAAACTGTAGTATGGGTGATGTATGGGAGGCAGGGGTCACCACTCACCCCCTGTGAGATGGGCATCTCCCTCTGAGACCCTTGCCCCTGTTTTTGCTGAAGGGGAGTGGGGTGGGAGCTGCGTGCCCAGGTGGAGGAGGGTGTGGGCCCTGCAAGGAGGGGTAAGGCAGGGCTCACATGGTCTTCTTGAGGATCTCGGAGTGGATGCGGGCCACGCCGTTGACCGCATGTGAGCCGGCGATGCACAGGTGTGCCATGTTGATGCGCTTCACTGCACCCTCCTCCACCAGCGACATGCGCCGCAACCGGTCAACGTCCCCTGGGAATGCAGCCGCCACGCGCTGTGGCAGCAGAGTCCAGAGCTGCTACTGGGACCCAGTTGGGTCCTGAGGCCCCCTCCCTAAGCCCCTTCCCCACTCCCCGGCCAGCCTCACGTTGAGGAAGCGCTGGTTGATCTCATAGATGATCTGGAGGTGGCGTGGCAGCAGCGTCTCCATGAGGTGCACCGGCCAACGCTCCAGCGCCTCAGGCAGCACCGTGTGGTTGGTGTAAGCGCACGTCTTCACCGTTACTTCCCAGGCCTGGAACGCACATGCGGGGGGGCGTGAACAGGGCTGCCAGCCAGTCCCTGCCACTATCTTCCAGTGCCCACCTCCAGCTCACCTGCTGCCCTCAACCTCATCTCCCCATCCTCCCAAGATCAGGCAGAGAGAGGCTCAACTAGGACTGGGGGAGGGAGGCTGCCAAGCTCACCTTGTCCCATCCCAGCCGTTCCAGGTCCACGAGAATCCTCATGAGCTCAGGGATGGCCAGCGAGGGGTGAGTGTCGTTGAGCTGGATGGCCACCTGTGAGCGAGAAGCAGCGTTTTGAGGTCACTCTCCTCCAGCCCCCAGGATAACCCAGCCTGGCTCTGTGGTTGGGGGAAGGGGAAGTAAGACGGGCAGTGGGGAGGGCCAGGGTCAGGGGCGCTATGTGTGTGTCTGCTGGTTGGGGACCTTGGCGAGTTGTACACACACACACACTGCCAGCCTCTACTTTATCTATCTATGAGATGGGACTGGCACCAGGGGTTCGGGGGAGGATGGCACCTTATCCGGGAAGGCGTCGAAGTTTGTGCGCACAGGATCCCGGCAGCCAAACTTGGAGGACTTGAAGCGCCGGATGATGTCCTGCAGGGTGGCCGCCACAACAAAGTATTCCTGCTTCAGCCGCAGCTCCTTGCCCTCGAAGAACTAGAGACAGGATGGGCCAGGCTGGAGTCGGGGCAGGACACCAAAGAGTGGAAGCAGGGGTTGCACCTCCCCCCCACATACAATAGGAGTATTGTGGGAGTCACCAGCACCCAGAGGTCCCACCTCCCTGGGGTCTTGGGGATGGGACATCCAAGGCCAGCAGTGGCACCCTGGGTGTGACTAGGGCACAGCCAGTACCCCTCTTCTCCAGCTCCCAGGCTGGGTGGGGAGTGACATACATTATCGTTGGGGTACAGGACTCGAGAGATGTTCTCTGCCAGGTTGCGGTCCAGCACGGCCTGGATGTAGCCGCCGACATTGACTGAAGTTCGAAAGCAGGGGGGACAGACAGAGTCGGCCCAGGGTTGTGGCAACAGTGCCGGGGGAGGGGGAGGGCAACACCTGCAGTGGGGCGGGGTGGGGGAAGGGGACTCACAGTCCTTGAGGTTGAAGTCATTGGGCGCCTTGGCCGACCAGAGGCGCATGGTGTTGACCACGTTGTTGCGGTAGCCGGGCACCGGTGTGTCGTAGGGCATGGCCAGCACTATCTGTGGGGACACCTGCTGTTAGGAGCTGGGCATCGGCGCCATGGGACTCCCAGGGCCTCCCCTGCCTGTGTCCTCTGCCCGCTCCCTTACCTGGATCCTGGTCTCAATGCCTAGCTACCAGCATGGTAACCGTGAGAAAAATGTCCAACCTCCCTGGACCTCCTCTGGGAAGGACAAACGGCTCCCATGTCTGCCCCCCCAACGCCCCTACCCTGGCCTTGGCAGACGTCAAGGGGGTCATGGGAACGGTGGAGGGACACGGGCGGAGGCACAGGTGTACCCACAGTGTGAGGGGCTGCCCGTCAGGAGAAGCTGAATGACACTTTGAACCCGTGAGAGAATTGGGGGATGGAGGGAGGGTGGAGCCAGGTCAAACCACCCAAAGGGCCTACGCCTGCTCGACCACAGAGCTAATCAGCAGTGATTAATGCCGACACCACCTCCCATGAACTGCTGCCAAGAACCACACAGCAGCACCCGGCACCAGGGCTATGGCCACTCCTCTGAGGGAGCCTCTTTTTGGGGCCTCACCCTCCCTCCACAGGCTGGGAGGGACCCGGATCTGAGTGGAGGGGCAGCTACAGCTGAACTAGGAGGAATCCATCCCAGAACGCCCAGTGAGGCCATCAGGGTCGGGGAGAAAGACTCCTGCAAGCTCTTCTACAGGCACGAGCGTCTCCGGCAGCTGCCCCGCCATGCCCACTGCGGAACTGCGGCCGCAGCCAGACGATCTGGATACCCAGCCTGGCTGCAAGCTCCATCCCGTGTGCTGTACAACCTTCTACCGTGTTGTTTTCTGTCCTGGACCTATGTCCCCTGACTTCAGCCTTCCATGGCCCCAGTGGTGGTGTGACCTCCAGCCAGTCACCGACCCTCTCAGAGCCTTGGCACCTAGACCCCCACCTCTCACAATGGGCACTCCCTGGGCCACCCCCAGCTCTGTCCTCACCTGTGTGTCTACCCACTTGGCCCCTTGGCTGGTGTGTTCCACGCGGCCATAGAAGTGCACAGGCAGTGTGAATTCAGGCCGGGCCTTCTCCCAGGGGTTGCCATAGCGTAGCCAGTCATCTGCTTCTTCCATCTGAGCCCAGGGTGTAGGGGGCAGAAGTGGAGAGAGTGCCAGGAAGGAGGCATGTCACACCCAGGCCCTCACACTCCTGAGGGCAGTGTGGTGCTGCGCCTCGTGTAGAGTGTGAATTAAGGGCTCTGGGTGGGCCCTGGTCTGGTGGTACAGGTGTGTCCCAAGCAGTCTACCCATTGTGGGGTCCCCCCAAGGGACAACATGGAATCTCCCTTAGAGGCCACGACTGCTCCCAGATCTATCCCAGAAGCAGATGGATTGTCTGCTACATGGTGACCGGGATATGGAGGAGCTCACCTGCCAGCCCCCACAGATCTTTTGGTTAAAAATCCCAAACTCATAGCGGATCCCATAGCCGTAGGCAGCCAGGCCCAGGGTTGCCATGGAGTCTAGAAAACAGGCTACAGGAGGTGCAGAAGGAAGTGAGCATCAGGTGGTACCCCTCCGCCCTCCCCACTCCCCACCCTCCCCCAACCCCTGGTATTCTCACCTGCCAGCCGGCCCAAGCCCCCGTTGCCCAGTCCAGCGTCTTCTTCAATTTCTTCCAGCTCCTCCATGTCTAGGCCCAGCTGGGAGACGGACAGTAATGAGGGTCTAGTGCCAGCAGGGGGAGCCCCCTCCCCCAAGCCAGGCAGCCCCGTCCCTGCACACCTGGTAGGTGGCCTCATCGCAGGCATTCTCCAAGGCCAGGTTCACCATGGTGTTCTGCAGTGTGCGGCCCATGTAGAACTCCAGGGACAGATAGTAGATCCTCTGCCCAGGGAGACGCAGCAGGGGAGGGGTCAGCGGCTGTCACCCTGCCTGCCCTAGTCCCAAGCTTGAAGCTATCCACCCCTAGCCCCCCATTTCTTTCTGCTCCCAGCATTCCTCTGGTTTGGGACAGAATCCCCTCCCATCTCCAACACTGCCCCCTTCCCCCACCCCGATGCTTTCTTCTCTGGCCGGCTCTGGACGTGGTTGGGGATTGCTTTGGAAAGCAGGGAGCCCTTTTGGTGGGACCTAGGCCTCCCAACAGCCTGTCAATGGAGTCGCGGCACAGAGCAACCCCAAATGGACCCCCAAGAGGGGCCACAGCCAAGAGCCAGAAGAAAAAAAAGAAAAGTCCTTTACCCAAGGTCACACAGTGACTCAGGGCTAGTGACTGCCAACTCCTGTCCTTGGAGAGCCCAGTCCCCCTTGGCCCTCAAGTCACCACCCATGCAGGGGGCCCAGGATGCTGGTACAGCCTGGGTACAGCCTGGGTAACCTGGGTACTCCTGGGCCCCTCCCTTGCCCCGGGCCGTAGGGTGTTAGGTTGCTGACATTTGCTGGTGACCCCAGTAGACACTTGATCCCTGCTGCCCCCGCTGCCCAGCCCGCCCCGCCTGTGGCAGTGGCATGCCATGTACATACTCAATGCCATGCCCTCCCACCCCGAGCCCTCACTGCCTTCCTGCCCACCACCCCACCCATGCTTCTAAGCAGGTGCTGGGCCTTGGCAAACAACCCACATGCCTTGGGCACTCCTCCCCCTCAACCTGGTTCTGCCCCAGGCTCCCCCCAAATCCCCAGTGAAACCCCTCCGGCCCGTGCACCCCAGGCGCCTGCAGAGGGACGCTTTATTTTCTAACACCCTGGTCCCGGGGAGCGGCAGCCACCTGGTCAGGCTTGCCCAGCACCCCCACCCGTGTTCCCCCACCCCCTCCCTGCACCAACAGGTGCCCATGGAGGCACCTTAGGGTCCTTTTCATAGTAGTGCTGCTGTGTGCGGATCCAGCGGCCCACGAGGTGGTCACGCACAGTGTGGGCCAGTGCAAAGTAGTAATCTCGAGGTGTGGCCACATTGCGGTCCTTGACCAGTGTGAAGTGCAGGTGCCGATTGAAGTTTTTTTTCAGCTCAGTCACATTCTCCACGCCAGCCAGGCCACGCACGCTGATTTGCTTCCTCTTCTCCTGATCTGACAGGGGCCGGGACATGGCTGCGGGGAGGGAGGGCCACGCGGACAAGGGACGGGTGGCCTGAGATGTGCCTCTATCCAGGAGTGGAACTCCAGAGCCTCCAGGGAATTTAAAGCCTGGCTCTGGTCTGCTGGCTCCGCCTCCCCCCACCCCCACTTCCACCCATGATGGGAGGGGTCTTGGCCTGGCAGATCCTGCAGCTATTTTGGGGTTGGAGGGAGGGGAGGAAGGAGAGGGCTGGGCTAGCTGCACAGGGGCGAAGCCCGAGCCCGCACAGTCCTGTGCTGACCCACTTCCTCTGGGCTTTGCACACGGGGCTTCTGTCTTCTGGCCAGTCCTTGCCTCTTGTGCGGTCGGTCAGGCAGGGTGCTACAGCACAGGGCCTGAGGCTTGGCTGGACCCCAGCACTTGTGACTTGGCTTATGGTGTCCCCCAGAATGGCCCTTTTTCTGGGTTCCTAAAGAGGGGGCTGTAGGCAGGCGGCTGGCAGGGCCCCGGGGTGTGACTTAGACACTGAGCGCCTCACTGCAGCCCTTTGCAGCCGCACTGGGGTGGGCTCTGTGTTGGGGCACCAGGGACCGGGGACTTCCTTCAGCTAACAGAGGTGCTGGTGGGAAGGGACCCCAGGATAGGGGGCTGAGTGGGGGAGGTCGCCTGAGGCAGGACTGCTGCCTCACCCCCCCCCCCCAGAGCTGAGACACTTCCAGCTGCTCCCCCCTGTCGCTGTCCCTCAAAGATCTCCCAAGTGACCTTTGCAAAGGGAATGGTCAGATTACAGGCCGGCTGCGGCTAGGAGCACAGACCTTTGGGAACTGTAGTTCACACACTCGGTTTCAGGGTTTCCTGCGACCAGCTGCCAGCCAGCTGAGCCTCCCTGACTCCTTACCCCCAACCGGGCAGGGACTGTGTGTGCTGGGACCCCCGTCAAATGTCTGTTCCACCTGCACTGGGTGGACCGCCCCAGCCTGTCTTAGCCCCACCACTGACAGACTGTGTGACCGCTGGCTGCTTGCTGTACCTTTCTGAGCCTCGGATTCTCCGAGGGTAAGCCTGCCTCCCTCAGGTCCTGCCCTGGGTACGGAAACCTTGTGTCTTGCAGGCTGCTAGGCCTTCCACGCTCATGAGTGCTTCTGGGAGGAACTGGGCGTACTGCTTGGGGAGCCCAGGAGGCAAGTCGGAGGCTGGGCAGCTACTGGAAGTTGTCAAGGGTCACGTTCAGGGAAGGTAACAATGTGGTCAACAAGGTTCTGAGTGGCTGCTGCCCCAGCCTGGGACTCACCAGCTCACAGGTAGGCCTGACCGCCAAGGCCTACACAGGAACCCCGACACAGGTTAACCTTGCACATCTCAAGGCAGAGAAAACATCTGGCACCTCCCTGACCTTCCACTTGACAGCTGGCAGGCTGTGCCTCCACCCCTCCAGAGAGCCCCCCGCTGGCTCCTGTAGGTCTGAGCTGCCCAATCAGCTCAGCCCCAATGCGTGCAGCTTGCTTGTTCACACAGAGCCCCCTAACTGCAGTTGGGCCCCACTCCCACCCTCAGCTGCTAGCTGCCCTTCAGGCCTTCCTTGCGCAACCAGCTCCGTCTCTGGGGCAGCTCCCTATGTTGCAGCAAATTCATCCACCAACTTGGTTCTCCCATTCCCCCAGCCCCAGGTATAGATCCCAGTGAACTCAGAATCCACTTCAGGCTGTTTACACCCGAGTTCCCGCCTCCTTCCCTGACCCGGGCTTGGGTTTCTGTGGAACACGTCTGGGTCTTGGTAACAGTGCCTCAGCGATGACCTTTTCCACCTGGTGCCTTGCTTGCCCAGCAGTGAAGGGTGGGACACTGCTACAACAGCACTAACTAGAAGGGGTACAGGTGGCACATGAGGGACCCCAGTCCAAAAATTGTTTCCCACCCCAGGCCGGCCTTTGTTGGCTACCTTGCTACTCGGTAGAAACCTTAACAAAAGCTGACGGCAGGGAGCGAGCACAGGAATGGAGTTGGCCTCCAGGGAGACGGAGAAGATAGCTGGGATGTGGTTAAGTCATTTATTGATTTCATTTCTAAAACCCACACAGCGCCACTTTGCTGTTCTAGAGCTTCAAAAGAGCTAATTAACCACCCGAGGAGCCCACCAGGGAAACCAAGCTTGCGCGGGAGGCAGGAGGTGAAGTCAAGGTCAGGGGGGTGGGTAGCCAGGCCCTGAACCCACCACAGGTTAAGCATGGGGGTGGGACGGCTCTGGCCCTCAGCCACAAGACCAGCGTGGGCACACCTGGGTAACTGGCCTTGCTCCTCTTTGCAGCTTCCTGCGGTAGCCGGCCCTCCATCTCAGGCCAGAGAGCAGCCAAGCCAGGGCTGCCATTCCAGCGGCACCAGACTCTGGGGGCAGGGTGAGGGCTACTGCTGGGGCAGCACAGGCACCCTCCAGAGGCCCTCCCCCGCCCACACACACACACACCCTGGGCAGGCTGAGTGGCCCCAGCAGAGAAAAGCCACTTGGCGGTTTTAATTTTAGCTGCTCTGTGCCTGACTGGCAGGATTTGTTGGTCTGACCTTTAGTGCTGGCTGCTGCCTCCCCAGGCCCAGGCCTCCGTGGGCGCGCGCACACACACGTCAACTGGAGCTCAGGGGCATGGGGTCGAAGCCCCAGGAAAAAGGCCTGCATGGGGATGGAGATCCGGGATCCAGGGAGAGGCAGGCAGGCAGGAGGGGAGGCACTGGGTGGTCCGGCTCCCTGTGCAGGGAAGTAGGAAGGGGCCAGGTCAGGCTCTGCCCACCAGGCAGTCCGGGGCCGCTGTTGGTGGAAGACAAGAAAAATCAACAGACACAGAAAAGCACACTGCTCCTTTATTCAATGGAACATCCCCACTTGAGCGCAGTGTTGAATCAAACACAGAAAGAAAAAAAAGAAAAGCCCAGAGAATTTCTGTAGATCAACCAGTGAAGAGAACGCGTGTTACACATTATTGTCAACATAATCACTCCATGGAGGGAAGGAGGGGGAGGAGCAGAAAGCAGAACCAGAAGCACAGGGTTTGGGGTCCCTGGCCACTGCCACGGTCAGACGAGGGGGCCGGTGGGGAGAGCATGAAAAAATGGACACGCAGCTTCCAGGAAGGAGAGGAGCAGGCTAATGTGGTCAGAGCCCGACACAGACCCTGGCTGGCAGGCTAGCCCAGCGGCCGGGCCAGGGCCACCTGCCGCCCTGGGCAGTATCCAACCCTCAGCAGGGGTGGTGTGTTAAACCCCCGCGACAGAGCCTCCTCAGAGGCTGCTCTGGCACCTGAACAACCCCCATGGCCCAACCTCCCCCGCCCCCCAGCCAGTCCGTGCCTAGAGCCAGCTGCTCCCCTCGCCTCAGCAGGAGGAAGAGGAGGGGGGAAGGAAAGCAAGCTAACTGCAGCAGAAGGCCAGGGAGAGCGTCTCCTTGGACGGAGTCTGCAGAGAGGAAGAGGGAAGGAAATAACGAAGAAAAAGAAAAAATTAATAAAAAAATGTCACGATATGGAGCCAGCGTGTTCTGATTCCGTCCACAAAAACAGCTCAGGCTGCTTTGCCGAACCATCCTGTCCACCAGGGGCGCTGCTGAGGCTGTCTGCCTGGAGGGGTCACCAATGGGCGCGGAAAGTCCTCACTCTCATGGCTCGGGCCATCGCCGCCGCCGCGGGCAGGGATCCTGGCGGCCCGGTTAGGGGAGAGGCAAAGGGAGTTGGGTGAGGAGAGAGAGAAGACAAAGAGACTCGATGCTGCACGGCGCCACAAGAGCCCGCGCTGGCGCTCCTCCTGTCACCTGCCCATTCCCCAGCGAGTCCTCGGTCGCTTGGCCCAGCCCGGGGCGTGCACACACACACATGCGTGCACACACAGTCACATGCGTGCGTCCCAATGTCTGGCTCCATATGGTGAGGTTCGGCGTGTTTAAACGAGACCAACTCTCTCTCTATAATATATATTTTCTTAAAAAAACCGAGTCTAGTTCTGTGGTGGAGGCGGAGGGGGAGCTGGAGGCATCCCGAAGGGCGGCATGCCCGCCACCCCCATGCCCATCATGGTGACAAAGTTAGAAGGGTCCATGGGCGGCGGCGGAGGGGGGGGCGGGGCATACATCATGCCGGCGGAACCAGGCGGCGGAGGCGGCGGAGGGGGAGGGGCCCCGGGCGGCAGAGGCGGCTGGACCCCGGGGGGCAGGGGCACCATAGTGGGGTTGCCTTGCATCTGAGGGGCTCCTGGAGAAGCTGCGGCAGCCGCCTGCTGCTGTTGCCATGGCGGGATGGACCCTGTGCCAGCGCTCGTGGTGGTAGTCGTCGTATCTGGGGTGGTAAAGAAGCCCAAGGTCACACGCGCGGGGGGCACACCGCGGCTCTGCGGCTGCTGCCTTGGGATGGGGGGTGAGGGGCGCCTGCTCCTGGCTTGGCATGCGGTACGGTGGTGGGGGCGGGCGGGCGGGGCTGTCCTGGTGATGGGGAGTGGAGGGGTGGGCAGGACTACCCTGGGGCCAGCCTCGAGGTCTCTGGGCATCAGAGTAAGCCAGCCCTTGGTCACCGATGCCCCTGGAGGGGCTGAGGGAGAAGCGCCAGACACAAGCACGGGCTCTTCCGCCCCTCCACCCCGCCGCCACCGCCGCCGCCGCCGCCACCACCGAACGGCACGGTCCCCCTCAGGCCACCACTGCTGCCTCCCCTCGCCCAGTCCCGCCGCTGCAGCCTCCAGCCCAGTCACAGCCCTTCACGGGACACGCATGCACCACCCAGCGCGGGCTGGAACCAGCCGGCCGCTCCCCACCTCCCCCGGCCTGGACTTCCGGCTCCCTACCTACATTGGCAGGCGCTCCCCTTCCTGCCTCCACAAGTCTGCCCAGACACAACCACACCGAACATGAGCTCCGAGCCCTCAGTCGCCCTCACAGCCTGCCCCGGCGCACCCCGGGCCAGGCGGCCTTTTCCGGCTCACAGCCCCCAGCAGAGGAGTCTCCCCTCAGCCCCAGGTCCCCCTCCCTGGTCCCACCCACTCCCACAAGCCCACAATTTGCCACTCACTTTGCTGCCATGGCAAAGGGGTGCTGGAAGCCATACTGCTGCTGGGCGGTGGGGGCGGAGGCGGCTGCTGCTGCTGCTGCTGCCATGGGGGAAGAGGCCCAGAGGGCGGGGGCGGGGGCTGCCCACTGGGCGGCGGCGGCGGCGGCGGCATCATGCCCATAGGCGGCGGCGGCATCATACCTGCAGTGCGGAAGGGCAGGATGAGGACACAGGCCACGGGGTGGAGCCAGGCAAGCCTCCCCACCCAGGCCAGCAGCTGGCCGGTACCTTTTCCTTGATGCAGGCGATAGACCCCAGAGCCCACAGGCGTACTTCCCAGGTACTGATCTTGATGGAAGGAAAGAGCAGGGACTTAGCAGGACATGGGGACAGGCCGCTGACGGCCACACAAGCTTCACCAGAGCAGCTGAGGACACCTGCCTGCGGGAAGCAGGTCTGGGACGCCCCAAGCTGACCACCTCCCCCTGCCCTCTGCCGCCCTGCCAGAGGCTGGCCAGACAGGCCACCCCCAGGGCCAGCTGCTTCCAGCTCCCAGAGCCACGAGGTCAAGTCCCTGTTCGCCCAAGCCCCAGGGTTTCTGGTCCGACACTTACTTACCCATTGGAGGAGGGCCATGGTGCCCAGGCGGGTGGGGGCCCTGGTTCATCGGGGGCGGTGGTGGCTGCATCCAAGGGGGTGGGGGTCCGTTAGGGTTGTGCTGCATGGGGTGTCCGCCATGTCCACCAGTCAGGCTGGGGAGTGGGTGTGGAAAGCTGTGGGGGCCACCTCCAGGCCCAGCAGGGCCTCCTCCATGCATGCCGTGGTAGGGCCGACTCTCTGAAGGGCCAGAATTCATCCAGGGCGGGCGGCTCTGGGTGGTGGACATAAGAGACTGCGTGAGAGCATTCCTGCCACTGTCCCTGCCGATGCCCCCTGGTGGCAACACTGTTCTTCCAGGCCAGCCACGGGACACCGAGCAGAGTCCCCCAACCAGGGCCAGGACCCTGCAAGAACAGTGTTGCCACCACAAGCATCAAGCCACTCCACCCAGCAGGCCTGGCCATGACTCCCCATCTCTGTGGCAGAGAACAGGGCACAGCAGGCCAGAGAGGCAGCAGCCCAGGCTCACCGGTGGAGGGGGGTTGTTGGCGGGAGCAGCGGGCCGCGGTGCACTGGCCAGTGGGGTGGTGGCGGGCCCAGAGGAGGACCCCACAGACGCTGGGACAGGAGCTTCGCCGAGTTCAGCCATGAGTGACAAGTACTCTTTATCCATCCGCGCTTTATCCTGAGCAGACTGCGGGTCTCCAGGCCTGAGGGGGGAGGGGAGACAAGGAGGAAGCGCTCATTCTGGGCTTTGGCAGCACAGCGTTCCAGAGAAGCCAGCTATCAGAACCCGCTCTTCTCCCTGCTGCCCTGCACACTGGGCCAAAGGCAGCCACCCTGCAGGCCATGCTCAATCCCATACGCCCTGAAACGGGTCAAAAGTCAGGGAAAATTCCTCAGCAAAGCCTTGGGTACTGCCAGAGTAAAACAAGGTTGCAATCAAGTGCCAACCTGCAACTGGTCAGAACCCTGTGGGTAGCTGGCTCTCCAGGGCAGCGTAAAGTAGGGAGGTCCAAAGTCTTAAACCCAAATTTTAATTTTGAACCCATCTTTTACACCCCAACTGGAAGCCTGCAGTTTACCTATACTCAAAATGAACAAGAATCAAACGAGAGGATTGCCTCAAGGTTTCCCGCCACGCCACTGTGGACCACCCTCCCAGGCTTGCTGCTTCTCGTGGCCCACAGGCGCTGCAGGAACTGTGCAGCAACCGTGCCAGAGCCACCACGGGCCAGCAGCGCCTCACCTCTGGAATTTACAGTCGGAGGCGATGTGGCCGGCCCCGCCACACTTGGTGCACACCGTGGTGTTGGTGATGCTGCGGGTCTCGGAGCTCTGCCAGGGTCTCAGGATCCTGTGGAGGGCATGCCATCAGTCAAGGCTGTGGTCCACCTGCTCCCACGGTCCAGGTCCCCGCTTCCTCCTCGGACCACTAACCGGTTATCGTCCTCCCGCAGAGTCCCATTCAGGCGAGCCAATTCCCGCAGCTGCATCTTGCGCAGGTCATTCTGGTCCTCGGGGGTCTCGATGCCCTGCTTCAGGATGTTTCTGATCTAAGGAAGACACGTAGGCAGAGACCTGAGTGCCTGCGGCCACACCAAACATTTCTGGCCACGAGGTTTCCTGAGAGCCCCACTCACCTGCTCCACTGCCTTTTTAACGTTCTCCATGGTATTGGCAGTGACCAGGGCATGCAGCGGCTCATCCTCGCCCGGCAGCATCTGGCCGTCTTTGCGCCCGACCTTCCCCTCCTTCACAGAGCCTTTGCCCCGGATCATGATCTTGGCATTGCATTCCTTCTCAATGTTCTTCAGGGTGTTCCCTCTGTCAAGGCAGAAAGGACAGTTTACAGTGCACCTGCAAGTGCACACTGCGGAGCGCACAGCCTGCACCACTAGCCACTCCTCCTCCCGAGGGAAACCGCAGGTATAACTGGATTTCTAAGTTAAAGTCAGCTTCAGCAGATCTAGAGATCTGTTCTCTGTATTAAAAATGGGAAGTGGGCCCAGCATGGTAGCCTAGCGGCTAAAGTCTTCACCTTGCATGCCAGGATCCCATTTGGGCACTGGTTCAAGTCTCTGGTTCTAAGATCTCGGTGGTCTGGTGAAACCTTAGGACCCTGCACCAATGTAGGAGACCCAGAAGAGGCTCAGGCTACCGGCTTCGGCTCAGTTCAGCTCCGGCTATTGTGGCTGCTTGGGGAGAGAATCAATGGACGGGACATCTTCCTCTGTCTCTCCTTCTCTCTGTATATCTGCCTTTCCAATAAAAATAAATCTTTAAAAAATAAAATAAAAATGGGGAAGCTACAGAAAGGCCTCATTTATTCCAAGTGTGATGGCCTGCTGACAGTGGCCACGAGGTCCTAAGGCATGCTCGGCTGGAGGCAGGTGGCTCTCACCTGGGCCCAATGAGCAGTCCCACGAAGTTGATCTCTGGGTACTCATCCTGTGGAATCATCACCTTGTCGCTCACCCGGGTGGCTGGAGGTCTACACAAACAAGAAGGACTTCACCCACTGCCCGCTTCAGGGAGAAGGCAGCGCAGACAGCAACGGCTCTGCCGCGCCAGTGGCCTGGGTCCCGCTCTGCTTACTTGTAATCTGCAGGCGGCTTGAAGTCGGGGTTGAGGGCGACCATCTCCGTGATGAGGTTGTGCCGCTCCTCCTCGAGCTTCTTGCGGGTGCGGAACTCGCGGGTGTTGAGCCGCTTCCCCTCACTGTTGTAGATGGGCTCAGGGGAAGGAGACCTGCGGGGAACACACTGCCGTCAGCGGCCCCGCTCCTGCCTTGCTCTCTCCCCCATGGACTACATATAAGTCCTCCCAGCCCCTCTGCCTCTCAGACCCTAACACTCTTCGGAGGAACCGACCATAACGTGTGCTATTCCAGATCGTGTGAGGTGGGCAGATGAGGACCAGGGTGTGTGTGTGTGTGTGTGTGTGTGTGAGAAGACAAGACAAAAACGGTTTCACTTCTACAAGTGACGAGAGGGAAAAAAGTCTGCCCTTTGGGGAAAATCTTTGGACTACAAATGGCAAGGACAGTATCATTTTCTGGAGTTTTCTTTCCAAATAAGGATGTTCATTCATTTGAGGGAGGGAGAAAAAAAGACAGTATCCCAAGTTCATGAAACACAGGAACCCCAAGTTTAGGTAAAAGGTTATTCTTAGAAAGCTCGTGCCCGCCAGGAACAGCACCTGTACCCCTAAGAGAGCGGCACGAGCCCCCCAAGGCAATGCTCTGGGGCTCCAGGCTGTTGCAGCCACTGGATCCCAACAACAGAGAGACGGTTCAAGGCCTCGTCTCCCTTTCCTTCAATGGCCTGGTAGGCTGCGTCCAAGGCCCAGGAGAACACCTATTTTCTGGCGGTTGGGGCATCTGGGGAGAGAGAACCTTCCAGGTGCTAAGCAGCTTGAGAGAGGCCGCAAGGCAGATGGGGCAGAAGCCTGTCTAGGGTCTGAACCTGCAAACAGCAAGGGGAAAACCCACGACTCTCCGCCAGAGTTTACAAGCCCAGAAAGCAGATTTTCTCTCTCATTTTTTAAGGAGTAAAATGCTGTAGCTACAAGTAAAAAAAAAATAGTAATGATAGCATGGTCAGTTTACCATAGCTGGATTTTGCAGTAATAAAAAAAGAGAAGTTACACTCCTAGAATTTTGAGTTAAGATTACAAAAAGGACCATATTCATTATGAAAATTTAGTAACAGCTGCAAGAAGGGAAGAGACCGTGTGGATCAGGTTATTAAAAAACATCCTGAAGGTAGTCCCGACTCCTACACTCTTGGTGTAGCTGAGAGCCTGGCCTGGCTGGAGAGCGAGGCCTGACTGAGCTCGGCTGCGGCCACTGTCTTCAGCCTCAAGGGAACCTGTCATACCACGTCACACACACGATGGAATAAAAGGTCAGGTTTGTTCAGGGCTAGTGACAGCTAAATGACACCTCCGTTTCTACCATTTGTATAAACTGTGAGTACAATCCAATGATAGTGAACAAAAGCAAAATGCATCCCAACTCATTAGGCTACCATCTTAACACATTTATGGATATAAGAGATCTTAACACATTGGTAACTGTGCAAGTTAAGCAACATCAAATAGCATATAAAATGGCTTAATTATGAGATACACCTTAAGAAATCATCTTATTAACCATAAGAAACTCACGCATTTCCCTCCAATCTTGGCTCAAAGGTAATACCCATCGGGCGTTAGGACCTCTTTTCCAAACAGACTACAGGAGGCCGAGCCCTCTCTGGTTTATCACTGCTAGCTCCACCCAGAGCTGTCTAGAGTTTGGTATTTTGAGTTCATCCCCAAAAGCTTTCCCAATACCAAGCTGGCCATTCTGAGGCCTCCCAACAGTTTTAACTTCTGACCCAATCGTGGAGGTAAAAAGCAAAAGCCAGCAATCTACGTTGCCTGGCTCTGTTCCTCCACCTAGAACAAGCATCCGGTAGATGTGACTAAATTCTAACTCCAGAAGGCAAAGAGGTTTGTTAAAAATTCAACCTTGTAAGGAATTGCCTGGTAACCGTTATGATGTGCCATTAATGGGGAACAGGCCAAAAGGGCACAACAGTTGTGGTCGTAACTTTACCATGTTCTCTTCAACTTCAAATTAAAAAACGTGAAATGTTAACACAGTCCTCCCACCAACATCTACAGGTAAAAATGTTACCAGATTCAGTCACTTCTAGATGGAGGAAGGGCCAGACGTGCGCTCAGTTCCTGCCAAGGGAGGGCAGCAGCAGGCCAGGCACACAGGTGACCGCCATGGCCACTCCCTCCCCTTCACTTAGCTCAGTTACCACTTGCTGGACAAAAGGCACAACATGGCTTCTGGCAGCCAAGTCTAACTGGGCCGTGTGCCCAGAGGTGCCGAAGACCACTGCCTTCCATGAAGTGGCAAGGTCTGAACTGCTCACATCAGTCAACGACATCAGTTTCAAAAAGTTCACCTTCCTCACATCAACGTTTTACTTTTCCAAGTTAAAACGGTCCACAGAAATGACATGACCACAGCTGTTCCAGGCCCACACTCCCTTAAAACTAAAAAAATAATTAGGCTTGGCCGCTCATCTTTCCCCAAACAGGTGAGAATATGCTGGCCCTTCCCAACACCTCCAGGCAATGGCCAAGGCTGAAGATTAACTGGCAGTGAAGAAGTTGGTTAGAAATCTCAGCTGTTTTTAAAATCATCAAGACCATTATTAGCAGGAAGGCTGCAATAAGCTGACCAGCTTGTGGCCTGCTCAGGTTTTGTGATGCTCAAAAATGCCCTGAATCCCTCACGGTGCACCTGTGCCCCCAGAGGAGGCAGGTTAACCGCCCCTCACTGTCCCGGGGTAGGGTAAATCACGTTAACACCTATACGCTTACCAATTGGAAACCAGTTCTTGAAACTTTAATTTTCCCAAGTTTCGTTTCATTCCCATTTTCTAACTGCAGACTGACCATATACACACACACATACATACATATATATATATATATATAATAAATATAGTCTACTTAAACTCTAGTCCCCACAATGGTCAGAGTTAGCAGTTGTCTTACTAAGACTTTATTGAACTGACACAACATGTTGCCATCAGTAAAACGTATTGAGAAAAAGGTAAAAAGCGTTACTGTCAGCTGGTTAAAACTGTTTCCCAACCTGTCCTCAGGGTTAGGGGGGATGCCCAGGTCTCCTGTGCGCAGTTTACGAGTCAGGTCTTCTATCTGCAGTTGCACTGGAAGAAACCAGGTTAGGAAAGAAAAAAAAAGGATGGAAAAAAGACAATGTTACCAAAAAACATCTCAAATCTCAATAACAAGCATGAAGAACTGGGAGACTTTGAAAGGGACGACTGCTCAGTGAACACATTGCGGCGACCCCGCCACCTGGCGGCAGTCTCCACCTACACATGCTTACATCTCACTTCAAAATGTTCTCTCTTAAGGAAGCAAACTGTCTGTGGGAAGAGGGGTTAGCAGGAAGACGTGGCTAACTTCAGAGCAAGCCCCAGGAGAGTCTCACCTCTCCCCGCCCTCCAGGCTTGTTCACACTGATGGACATCTGGCCCCCAGAGCCCAGGCCAGGCCTGGCGCTGCCCATTAGGCCACCAGTTCCCACCAAATGACTTGAGGGCAAGACTTGAGAGCTTTTCATTATTAATTATGACTTCTCAAACAGAGCCCCAAATGAGAGCCAATTAATAAGGGACAAAGAAAAACATTGGTTGAACAAAGATCATTTTCATTAATAACAATTAAAATTCCTTAAGTAATTAAAACATTTAACAAGCATTTAAACATCTTATAAAAATTCATACTTTCTGTAAAACCAGACCTGTCCTAGCACCTATACATTTTATTCCAATACTCAGTAGCCATATGCATTTTCCTAAGTCAGTAACCATGAGATGCCAAGAGTATTTTCAGACGGGCTGCTGACTGTCCGGAAGCAGCAGTGCAGAGGTGGAAGGTGAGGGACGAGCGTGGCCCTCAGGCCTTGACCAGTGAGGCTGTCCGTGAGTGCGATGGGTTCTACACAAGCTGCCTGTGCCTCCAGGGAACTGTGCCCTGCACTTTCTTCAGGGCCTGATCTGCTCTTACCTGGGCAGAGCTGAAGTGGAGTCGGCTCCAAGACACCCTAATTGTAAAGTGATCCCACAGGACCGCACTACACCCCCACGTGGAAACCATGAAATTAAAATCCATTATTAGGGCCCTGCACGCACCGGGAAACCATATGGGCGCCGGTTCCAATCCCAATAGCTCCACTTCCCATTCAGCTCCCTGCTTGTGGCCTGGGAAAGCAGTGGTGGATGGCCCAAAGCCTTGGGACCCTGCACCCGCGTGGAAGACTGGAAAAGCTCCTGGCTCCCAGCTTCGGATCGGCACAGCACTGGCCGTTGCGGTCACTTGGGGAGTGAACACTCAAATGAAGATCTTTCTCTCTGTCTCTCCTCCTCTCTCTATATATGACTTTCCAATAAAAATAAACAAATCTTTTAAAGTCACTTTCCCAGAGACAAGCCTGGGCTCTGACAGGAGTAAAATGGCTTGGGTCAGCCCCAAGGGGCACTCCCTGCCACAGGTCAGACACCCAGCCTTGCAGGGGGGCTGCGGCCCGCAGCCTGTGGACGAAGAACAAGTCGCCTCCCCATTTTCAATGTCTGCTGGTTGCCCTTCGGCCACCCCCCCCAGGGGCAGCTCGAGGGCCGTAAAGGCCCACCAAGGTTGGGGGTCCCGGCAGGAAGGGTGGGAGCAGCCAGCAACATAACAGATAAGGAACACTAGAAGTGTGAAGTGGCTGTAGGGCAGGTCCAGCACCCCAAAACTCTCAGCAGTGTAAAAACATGGGGGGGGGGGTAGACCCTCCAGAGGAGGTCAGCCTTCAACCTTCTGTCAGAAGCTCAAAGCCTCCCTGTGAAAGCCTCGTCGAGGGACCTTGCCAAGGGGACGCTCATCTGGTAAGAAACGTCTACCAAGCCGCCCTCTTGCAGACAGCTGCGCAAGTGTGTCAAGATAAAACTTAGGTTAATACTATAAGAAGAGCCGCTTACATTGAGAGAAGGAATTCTGAGGTTAATTGCAATCCTACTACAGTCACGGTCAAATCTCAAACCTTCCCCTAGGTCAGCTCTGTGAGCCTCGCACTGCACCCCGGAGCCCGGCCGTGCCACCCCTGTCCCCAGAGCTGTTCACTATCAAAGACAAGAGCCTTCGTATTAAGACAGCTCTCCAAAGATCAAACTGGAAGAGAGGCTGCAGGCAAGGCTACATCCAGCACAGGGCAAGCAGGAAGGAGCTGCTGAAACACGTTCTCAGAACCACTTTTGTTCAGATTGCTTTTTCCCCCTTTCAGAAAGCACCTATGGAAAGTAAAAGGTCACACGTTGGAGGAAAGGATGAATATGAAGTCACGGTGCAGGCCATGCTGTGGCAACGGTCCTCGGTGACGGGGCCTGTCCAGAGGCCAGCAACACTCACCTCGTCACGCGCGGCCCGGGCAGCGGCAGGGCTGCTGGCCGGCCGCTACTCTGCCTCCTAGTGAGCCCTCCTAGCTCCCTGGCCCTCGCGGGGACCAGCGTTAGGAACCAACCACATCACAGAGCCTGATGGGGTCTGACCCCAACAAAGTAACTGGCAGCAAGTCTCCAGCCCAGCAGCCAAGCAGCACTGCGCACACAGTGCCCTCAGCGGGCGCGCTCGGGGGCAGAACGTGTATTTACCTATGTAAGCCCTTTCCTGCTCCCGAGTCAGTCCAGGGGGGATGACGGTCGGCATGCCCGGGATCACCGTCTTCTGCTCCATGGTGTCTTGGTTCCATCGGCTCCTCTTCCGCTTCTTACTGGGAAAGTCTGGAGGCAGACGGAGGCTGTGAGGTGCCCGTTCCCGCTGGGGGACTGGCAAGCACACCCCAAGAGGGCAAGCACAGCAGGCGGGAGGTGAACAGTTCCCATAACAACCCTCTAAAAAGCCCGCAGAGGGATGTCAACAAGGCAGCATGTCTCAATGCTGGCCCAAACAGTGCCATGCCGGACAGGACCGGCAGGGGTTGCTGCAGCAGCCCCACCCCAAAAACACTAGTTCAAACCCCAGCTGCCCCACTTCCGATCCAGCTCTCCTGCTAGCCCCCCGGCAAGGCAGGAGAAAAGGACCCTGAGCCTCCGCCATCCACGTGGGACCAGACGGAGCCTCAGGCTTTGGCCTGGCCCAGTCCTGGCCATTGAAATCACTCTCTAACTCTGCCTTTCAAAGAAATGCGCACATCTTAAAAATAAGAGAGAAAGAAAAAACAAAAAGCCTATTATCTAATCATGCCTAAAATTCCAAAAAACATGCGCTTGGGAACGCTGGCTCTGCCTCACCAGGCCCGCTTCTAAGACCAGGAAACAGCTGCACCCGCTCTCGCCTGGCACTGCCAATTCTACAAGATTGCCTTTTTCTTCCCCAGGTATCCGGGAGCAGTGTTCCATCTCCGCCCCGACCCCAGGTGGACACGAAGACCTTAAGTCCAAGCCTCAACAGGCCGTTACCACACATTGCAGCCAACCCCTCCCTTTCCAGGATTTCCTAACACTAACCACCACCAGTTCCCCACTCGCATCCCCGAGGGGGACGGAGTGTCCAGCCGAGGACGCCTTGGGGCCAGCGATCGCCAGGGAAACAAAGCCCAGAGTTCCACCTTCCCACCTGAACAGCGGCCAACGCCAACCTCACTTCAAGCCCCGCCATCTCTCCCGCACTCCGCTACTTTGTTTTGCTACTTGTTTCCCTTTCCAATTCCTCAGAGGCGTGGAAGGAAACAAGCCCAGCGTTTTCGCGGCGGGGAGGGAGGGGACCCTTTCCCGCAGAGCTGGCACCCGCCCCACAGACGCCCCCCAAACCTCCCCGCCTTCCAGCTGCACCGCCCAGCCCGGCCTTCACACTGCGCCTGCGCACCGCCCGCCGCTCCCGTCCCCTCTGCCCTCCCCGGCGCGCCTGCGCACTCGCGGCCCCGGACTCCCGCGCGCGCGCCCGCCCCAGGGCGCCTCCGTGCGCGCGCGCCGCGTACCCGCGCCCGTGTCCGCGCGCCCGCCCGCCGCCGCCGCCGCCGGGCCCGTCCGCGCGACGCCTCTCGCGCTCTTCCTCGGCCCGACTCACCTCCTCCGCCGCCGGCCGGGCCCGGCTGCTGGTCCTGACGCGGCTGCGACACGCGCTGGCGGAGCGGCGGCGGGTAGGACGCGTCGCCCGGGGACGGCGGAGGCGGCGGCAGCCCGAGCGGGAAGGCCGCCATCGAGCTCCCGGGCGGCGGCAGCCCCGGAGCCGCCAGTCCCGCCTCGGGCCCGGCCGGCGGAGGGAGCCCGGGGGGCCCCAGCTTACCCAGCGGCGTGGCGTTCGCTCCGGTCGCCATGGCGCCCCCAAAGGACAGGCCCTGGCGGCTGCCTTCCTTTCTCAGCGGCGACGACGGCGGCTTCTCCTTCGCGAACCTTCCGGGGGGGAGGGGACCCGACTACGCTGCCGCGGAGCGCACGGAACCGCGTCCTCTCACGCGGCCAGCGGGCGGGCAGGCGGCGGCGAAGGCGGCGCGGGCCGCACAAAGAGGGAGGAGAGAGGGCGCCGCGGGGGCGGGCTGGGGGCGGCAGGGCCGGCGCCGCGATTGGGTCGGGCCGAGCGCGGGGGGGCGGCACCGGCGGCCTCCGATTGGCGGAGCCGTAAGTCCTTCCCCGAGGCGCGCTGGGATTGGCCGAACCGTTAGGCCAGGCGAGGAAATGGCGGCGGCCGGGGGGCCGGGAGGTGTCGCCGGGGTGGGACCTGCTCTGTGACGTCGGCACAGGAGCCCCTTCCTCATTGGCCGACGTTCGCGTCGTAGGGACGCGGGATTGGCTGTCGTTGAAGCCTGTCTGTCCCGGGCCCCTCCCCCGGGGGACCGCGGGCGGTGGGAGGAAGGCCAGGCCTGAAAACAGACTTATGGCGGCCGCGGCGGCGGGAGACGCAGAGCAGGTGCACTGCTGGGTCCCGGACGGGCAAAGCCGCCCCTCCACCCTTGTCCCTTCACGGGCGACCCCCGGGCGCGCAGCGCGGAAGCCCTCCGTGACGTCAGCGCTGGTTCCCATGACAACCCGGCTTCCGTGGACGGGCGCGCGCCCGCGGCCGTCGGGATCCGTTGACGCCAAAGGTTAAAAAAAAAGCAGCAGCCTGCCGGACTTCCTGTTGTGAAAGCCATTTAAAGTGTCCCACGGATGTTACAGTTACTCCGATTTAAAACCGGATGCGACCTTCGTGCAGAGTTAGCTGTGCATGAGAGATCACCCGGTCAGACCTCATGGTTGACAGACGCAGAGTTCCAACGGGATTTAGGGCTGGGGGGGATTGAGTGACGTCGACGACTCGTGTCCTCAAGTGTCGGAGTGGGCTAGCGCACGGAGACGGAGACCCCGGCCCCACTGATGCCAGAGAACCCCACTCGGTCCCAAAACGGCGCGCAGATCTAAGCCGGCACTCAGAAATCGCTGTCAGACCATGAGGGCCAAGAAGGGTGATCACCAAACCACAAATGTGCACGTGTCCCCAGCAGCAGGTGCCCAGCCTGGCCTCAGTGCCCGGCTCGGCCCCCCGGGAGGTAGCTGGGTGCCATCCATGGGGGCACCCTCAAGGCGTTTGGGGCATGAACCAATGCAAAGCAGTTTTGTTTCTAGTAAATGTTTTTATTATTTGTGAATTTTTCTTTAATTACTATTAAACTTGGAAAAGCAGAGTTACAGAGAGAGAGACACATCTTCCACCCACTGGTTCACTCACTCCCCAATAGCCACAAATGACCAGAGCCTAGCTGCTCCGAAGCCAGGAGCCATGCAGGTCTTCCATGTGGGTGCAGGGTCCCAAGGCTTTGGGTCATTCGCTGCTTTCCCGGGCCGCAAGCAGGAAGCTAGCTAGAAGGGAAGTGGAGCAGCCGGGAAACAAACACACGCCCCACACATGCAAGGCAAGGACTTTAGCCACTAGGCTACCATACTGGGCCCTTATTTGTGAATTTTTTAAGTGAAGCTAATATCACAAGAAAGCAAAAACATCAGAGGCTGAAATCTCATTTGAGCAGAGAGTGCCCGGCACAGTAGCCTAGCAGCCAAAGTCCTCACCTTGTATGTGCCAGCATCCCACATGGGTGCCGGTTTGTATCCCGGTAACCCTGCTTCCTGTCCAGCTCCCTGCTTGTGGCCTGGGAAAGTCCCAAAGCCTTGGGCCTCTGTACCTGCATGGGAGACCCAGAAGAAGCTTCTGGTTCCTGGCTTCAGATCAGATCAGTTCTACCAGTTGGGGCCACTTGGGGAGTGAATCAGTGGACAGAAGATCTTCCTCTCTGCCCTCCCCTCTGTATATCTGACTTTCCAATAAAGATAAATCTTTAAAAAAAAAAAAACAACTTGTACAAGTCCTGCGTAGAAGGAAAGAATGCTTTAATTGAGCAGCCAATGAAGGCCCAGCATCGTGGGTGTGAGGCCAGTGCACAATACCCGGTCCCGGGTACAGCATGATGCCTCAATTGGCCAATCCTCCACATCCAAACACCAGCATCCCACATGGGCACCAGTTCATGTCCAGGCTGCTCCATTCCCCATCCAGCTCCCTGCCTGTGGCTTGGGAAAGCAGAGGAGGACGGCCCAGAGCCTTGGGACCCTGCACCCACATGGGAGACCCAGAAGAAGCTCTGGCTCCTTGCTTTGGATCGGCTCAGCTCTGGCTGTTCCAGCCAGTTGGGGAGTGAAGCAGAATGTGGAAAATCTTTCCGTCTTTGCTTCTCTCTCTAATAAAAACAAAAACCCGTTCCTTTCTTTCTCAAAGTCAGAGCTAAGCAAGACACTTCACAACAGTCAGTACAGGCCAGCGCTGTGTCGACCGGCCGGGCTGGTGCTCCTCCCCACTCTGCAGTCATTTCCTTTTTTGATTCAGGATCTTTATGAGAACAGTTTTAATTTCATAAGTGTAAGCCAAATTAATAGATTTTTTTTATTTGTTACATTCTATGGAATCTGTCCTTAACTACTTAAAAAAAAAAGATTAATTTATTTTACTTGAAAAAGTTGCCACAGTGAATAGCAGTGTTGGATCCATCGGCTGTTCCTCCCCGAATGGCCACAGTGGCCAGAGCTGGCCTGGGCAGGAGCCAGGTGTCGCATGTAGGTACTCAGGCCATGCTCTACCGCTTTCCCAGGTCACTTGCAAGGAACTGGATTGGAAATAGGCCAGCCAGGACTTGAACCGGTGCCCATATTGGATGCCGGCACCACAGACAGAGGCTGAGCATGCTGCCCCCGTCGGGGATCGGACTTGAGCACCCACACTTAGAGTGTGCACAGGCTGTTCCTGAGGCTGTTCCTGAGGCAGATGTCTGTACCGTTGCGAGGATCTCCATTTGGGGGCAGATCAGCTTTGGACCCCAGGCCCTGCCACCTGCTGCCTGAGGCCCATCAAGCAAGCTCTCCCCCAGGCTAGAGTCCCACGCACCTGGCCCGGCCTCTGCTGCCCATCAGCTGGCCATGAGGGAAACCAATGGCTCTTTCCAAACTTCCGTTCCTTTGTACAATACAGGAAACGACACCCTCCCACACAGGATGCTGTGCTGAGAGTCTGAGTCCGAGGGCCAGCGGGTCCTGATGGGGTCTCTCCTGAGCGCTCACACATGCCCCTGATGTCATGCAAGAAGGTGGTGTAAGAAGAATTAATGTCTGGCCATTGTCTTCAGTTTCTGGCCCAGAGCTTGAAATACTTGTCAATTTCCTGAGTGGCACGTGTGCCTCTTTTTATTTGTTAAGAAGCCTCTTTATGGACACTGCACAATAGCCTAGTGGCTAAATCCTCACCTTGCATTTACCAAGATCCTCTATAGGTGCCGGTTCAAGTCCCAGCTGCTCCACTTCCCATCCTGCTGCCTGATTATGGGAAAGCAGTCGAGGACGGCCCAAAGCCTTGGGACCCTGCACCCGCATGGGAGACCTGGAAGAAGCCCCAGAAGCTTAATTCTGTTGTTGCAGCCATTTGGAAAGTGAACCAACAGATTGAAAATCTTTGTCTCTCTTCTCTGTAGTGTTGCCTTTCAAATAAAAATTGAAAACAAAACAAAGGAGAAAAAAGTTTTCATATAATTTTTAATTTCTATATATATTTTTTTAAAGATTTATTTTTATTATTTTTTCATTGGAAAGGCGGATATACAGAGAGGAGAGACAGAGAGGAAGATCTTCCGTCCGATGATTCACTCCCCAAGTGAGCGCAACGGGCCGATACTATGCCGATCCGAAGCCAGGAGCCTCTTCCGGGTCTCCCACGCGGGTGTAGGGTCCCAAAGCTTTGGGCTGTCCTTGACTGCTTTCCCAGGCCACAGGCAGGGAGCTGGAAGGGAAGCGGGGCTGCCGGGATTAGAACCGGCGCCCATATGGGATCCTGGGCGTGCAAGGCGAGGACCTTTAACCACTTGCGCCACCACGCCGGGCCCAATTTCTATATTTTTAAGATTTCTTTAGAGAGAGGGAATATTATCTGCATCCCCCTTCAGGAGTCACAGAAGCCAGTGCCTGAGCCGACCTCGCTGCTCTCCAGGCCACAGGCAGGGGGCTAGATGGGAAGTGGGGCTGCCAGGACATGAACTGAAACCCATATGGCATCCCAGTGCTTGAAAGGGAGGATTAGCCAGTTGAGCCATTGTTTTGGGCCCTGTTTGTTTCTGCATTTGTAAAGTGCTGTTCTATCTAGTACATGGTTTCTTGAAGTTTACTATTTTGGTTCCTCCTTGAGATGCACCTATTGCTGTTACATGAATCATGAGACTGTGTCTCTGGCCTGCCCGACCCCTGCGCTTGGCCAAGAGTGTCCTGTACTGGTGGAAGCTGAGCCCAGCATGTGGCCCAGCGTGCTGGGGTGGCCCAACAGTCTGCTTCTCTCCTCCCCTCATAAGAGTATCTGCAGCCAGCCGTGAGCTGGTGCTGGATGTGTGACAGGGGACCTGAGAGGCCATCCCTGGAGGTCAGCCACAGCTTTCCCTGGGGCCATCCCCACCAGCAGGACTGCATACCCACGGGCTCCCTGCATTTCCCCCAGGGCCCCTGTCCCTTCTACTTGGCCGCAGGAGGCTGGGGACGCCCATGCCACCCTGCCAGGGCGAGGCTGTCGCCCACCCAGCAGTGGTCCCGGCCAGGAGTCTCGCAGCTCCTGCAAACACACTGGCCTGGGAACCTTGCCTGCGGGGTTGTGCCTTGTCAATGTGGCAGAAGCAACAGCTTCCATTCCCATCTGCACAGCAGCTGGGAGACACCAGACGGCGGAACCCCGGCACCATCCCAAGACAGTGGCTGCCTCTGGCAAGGGAAGGAACCTTTATGTGCAAAGGCCAAGGTCAGTAGTTTGTGGATGATAGCCATGGTATAAAACAGCCAGGGAGTAGAGATTGCTTACACACTGCCCAAGCACTTCTAGAAAGACCCAGAAGTAGCTGAGACCTGGGGAGGGTAGGAAGGGGAGCACAGGCAGCTGAGCAAAGGTCCAGAAGTGACAAAACAGCTGCTGCTTGCCAGCTTTCCGGGCTCTGTCCAGCAGAGACCCCACTGTCCGACAACCACCTGCCCCCACACTTAGGCGCATCACAACCGGGCCGCCACGAGGTGGTGCTGTGGACAGCCTTTCCAAGGGTGCCTAGGGCGGAATGGCTCATCACCCCACCCCCACCCCAGCTCCCATGTGGCCCAGCAGCAGCCCTTGGCTTGTGCATGTGTGCAAACCTTCAGAACCTGGACTGTGTACCCTCTCCTCCCTCCGCATTTCTTGGGGGGACCAGAGCCTGGAACCCAGGAAATGCGTTTCTTCCGGGTCTGGCTTCCACTGCAGCCAAGAACCCCCCCCCCCCCGCCCCCATCACTGGAAGGAGGCGGTGAGGCGATGGGAGGACAGCCACCTCCCCCCAACCTATGACCTCATTCACAAAGGAGTGAGCGCTCCCCCAGACCAGGCCTCCAGAGGGCACTACTGAGACACCTGCGTGCGCAACAGGGCTTTGCTAACTCTCCATATCTACCTTCTCAGGCCCAGCCCTGGCTGGCTGTGTAGCTGGAATCCCCTCCCTCCAAGGACAGCTCCCATACTGACCCAGTGCCTGTGGCCCTAGGATACTCAGCCCTGAGGATCATGGGAAAGTGGAACTAAAAGGTGAATTTATGCAGCACGGCGGGTTAGCTCACCATCACTCATAATGCCAGCGCGCCACGCTGGCCTGCCCAAGTCCTGGTTCCTCTGCTAACACACCTGAGAATCAGCAAGCGGTGGCTTAGTCCTTGCCACCAATGTGGGAGCCGGGGGTTGATGTAGCCATTTGAGGAGTCAACTACTGGCTGGCAGATTTCTCTCTGTCGTAACAGCCAAGTCTGGACCAAATCGGGAACTCCGTCTCAGCCTCCCACACAGGTGGCAGAGGCCCTAGTACTTAGGTCATCTTCCGCTACCTTCCCAGACCAATGCACAGGAAGCTGGATCGGAAGTGGAACCAGGACTCGAACTGGCATGGCATTATGGGATGCCAATGCGGTGCACAGTGGGTTAATGTGCAGTGCCACCGCACAACATGAGCCGCGCTATAGCCTGAAGACTCCTTCAAGTGCATGCATGTCCGTATTTTTCTTGCACTAAAATAAACTAATTTTCTTAAAACCCTTCATAAGCTTTGCGAAGCACCTCCAAAATCTAACCCACTGGTCCCACTGCAGTCCCTGGCCCTTGGCTGGGAGTCAGAGTCAGCCCTGGGCATGCGTGTGGGCACTGGTCAGGTCTGGGTAGCCCCCACTGGGCCCTGCTGCAGGCTGCCTGGTAAGAGCCCCAGACCAGGGTTCCCTCTTCTGCTCAGTTCCCTAAGCCTACTCTGCATCCTCCCCCAACCCTCCCCCCCAGAGGCCTGGCCCTCCTGGGTACATGCACAGTACCCACCAGCCCCCCACTCAGGGTGCTGGACAGAGGGTGATGATGTGGGGGGCACTGTCCCATCCAGCCCAGAGGGACTGGCCAAGTAAGACAAACCAACTTTAATGACAACATAGTTCTCTTTCAAATCCCCTGTCCCAGTACGGGCTGAGGGGCAGACTCTCAGCTAAAAGAAAATATGGAATAAAATGGAATGCATTAGCCAGACCAGTCCAGTCCTTCCCTGACCACGGGCTGTCCGTGTGAGCGTGGTCTGCCCTGTTCCAGTTATTGCTGAGTTGTGCTGGGAGGGGGGAGGGACTCCAGGGCTCACTGCCCACCCCAACCCCCTTCACGAGGAGCCGAGTGGGAGCCAGGGCTGTGTGCCCCGGATGTGCAGGTCTAGTAGCTGCTCTGGTGGCCTGTGAGCATGTAGAGGTTGCTGTGCGCCCCGGGGTTGTCGGTGGGAATGCTCTCCAGGATGATGTCCCTGTGGACGAGCAGCCGGGTCAGCTGGGCAGACAGCCTCGGACCTGGGCGGGGCGGGAGTGGGGCGCCATCGCCTACCTGTGGGCCCCAAGCACTCGGAAGACCCTTGTCTCGTCCGTGATCTCTTGGGTCACCTGGCACGAGAAGGAGACAGACATTGAGGCCATCCTCCGACGGCTGCTCCCTGCAGAGATGGGGACCACGACAGCAGGACAGCAGGCACCAGTTACCTCATTCGTGTCCAGGCTGCGACCCTGCAGGCCGTGGCTCCAGAAGGCCAGCACACTGTCCTGCAGACACACTGGGGGTGGGGTGGCATGGGGCACAGGCTGCCGTGAGCACCCCCTGACCCTGGGCCCCTAGCCCAGGCCTGTGCCGCACAGCGCCTCCTCCTCCCCACTCACCCACAGTCTCAATGGGGAAGTCAAAAGTCAGCTCGGGCGCCAGCGTGGCCGTGGGCTCGCCCTGCAGGTTCACGATCCTCACGCAGCCTGCACACGGAGGAGGGCTGCCGGGTGGGGAGGGGGTGGGGGCGACGGACCCACAGGGTGCTCTGCCCCCCTTCTCCCTGCGGCCACCACCCCCTGCTCAGCACCCCCAGCAGCACTCACGTTCAAAGGTGACCAGGACGGTGTCCCGGTCCACCTGGATCACTTGCTGGGCCGAGCCCGGGATTCCCTCTATGGACAAAGAAGGAAGACCCCCCCTTGATGAGCCAGCCGCCCATGCTGACTCCCTGAGGACATGGGGACCAGGGTGGAGGAGCTGGGACACAGACAGGGGAGAGTCACAGCCTGGGGTTGGCGGGAAGCCAGCCAAGGGTCCCGCAGAGCCATGGAAGGGCTCCAGGGTCAGACAGCCCAGGGTCTTTGTGTGACTTGGCTGCTGTGTGGCTTGGGACAAGCCATCTGACCTCTCTAGGCCTACTTTTTCCTAACTCAGACAGAATGCAACCCTGGGGCAGGTACCGTGGCACCGGCAGCAAAGCAGCCACTGAGACGCCAGCACCGCCCTGTCATGGTGTGTTGTCTGAGCCCTAGCCACCTGGCTTCCCCAGCATCTCCCTGCTGATGTGCTGCACAAGGTGGCAGAGGACCACCTGAACGCTGGGAGTCTTGTCTCTCCTACCCAGTGGGAAACCCAGATGGAGCCTTGCATGCACTGGGATCCCCTATGGGTGCCGTTTCATGTCCTGGCTGCTTCACCTCCCATCCAGCTCCCTGCCTGTGGCCTGGGAAAGCAGTTGAGGCTGGCCCAGAGCCTTGGGGCCCTGCACCCATGTGGGAGACCTGGAAGAGGCTCTTGCCCCTGGCTTCAGATCAGCTCAGCTCCGGCCATTGTGGCCACTTGGGGAGTGAATCAACAGACAGAAGATCTTCCTCTCTGTCTGTCCTCCTCTCTGTATATCTGACTTGTCAATAAAAATAAGTAAGTTTTTTTTTAAGAAATGAAACAACCTCCTGCTGTACGGCCCCTGTACCACCCTACTCCTCAGCCTGTGACGCATCATTGAGCCGCCACAGCACCTGGACCCTGCCTCTCACTGCCTGCCCACATCTGCCTCTGCCCACAGCCACATCTGCCATCTTTTCCTTGGTCGCTGAGTCCTTGGTCTGACACCCTCTGGAAGCCTAGCAGAAGCCCCAGAGCCCACTGACAGCTCTCAAGGGGCGGGGGTAGGGGTGCCCCATGGTGTCTGTGGGGGCCTTGTGCGCACCCCATCTCCCCAGTGGCCCAGCCTCTGCTGCTTACCTGGCGGGGTGAGGATGTCAGGCGTCAAGCCAGCCTCCAAGGGTAGGACATGGAAGAGGACGCGGCAGCCGGGCCCCTCAGGCCCCTCGGCCCCCACGCACACCTGCGGCAGCTCTTTGCCATCCAGCACCAGCGGCTCCAGCATCCCACAGGGACTGGGCAAGGGGCTGGAGAAGTTCTGGGGTGGAATAGAAGTGGCAGGAGCATGCTCAGGACGCTGTGTCACACACCCCCAACCCCCAAACATCTACCAAGAGCCCTGTGGACACCCCCCACCATCCTCACCTTCAGCAACAGGAATTTCTGCAGCGGTTCATACCACTGTAGCAGGAGCAGGTTGGCAGGCAGCGCAGCCAGCAGGAAGGTGCTGCCCGTGTAGGGGTTGCGCACTGTGAGAGGGGCACATGGTAGGCATCGGCAGGGCTGCACCACATCGGGTGCCAGGCGCCCAGCCCCACCCCACCCAGCCCCACCTGGACCGTCCTTACCCACGCGACACTGCAGGCAACCTTTGGTGTCAGGGATCTTGGAAGACAGGGCAAAGCGCCTGCAGGGTGACAAGCAGGTGCCATCTGTGGGTGGGGTTCCCACGGGGCACACATTTTCCCACTGAGGCTCAAAGGAACATGGGGACTCCACAGGTGATGGCTGTGAGGGAGGACGCCCCATGGCCTGGAGTGTGTCCCCAGAGGCCAGGGGCTTGGTCACAGAATGACTCATAGCAGGTCAGTGTGATGCTGGGGTATTTAACTACTCCCTCCACACCTGTTAGGACCTCACGGTGGCCCCACAGGCCCTGAGACGATGGACGTGAGCTAACAGCGGCTCACAGCAGTGCCCCGCCCAGCCGCCTCAGCAGCTGCACCCCTGGTACTTCTGTCATCTCTCTTTTTTTTAAGATTTGTCTTGGGAAGGTAGATTTACAGAGAGGAAACGGAGAAAGATCCTCCATCCATTGGTTCACTCCCCAGATGTTTGCAACAGCTGGAGCTGAGCTAGTCTGAAACCAGAAGCAGCCAATGGCCGCAATGACTGAAACTGAGCCAGCCCAGAGCCAGGAACCTCCTCTGGGTCTCCCGAAAGAGCGCAGCAGCCAGGATATGAACCAGCACCCATATAAGATCCTGGTGCATGCAAAGCAAGGACTTTAGCCACTAGGCTATCATGCCAGGCCCACTTCTGTCATCTTTTCTACCAGCTCTGAGTCACCTCTGCCAAGTCCTCTTTAAGTCAAGGCAGGAAAGAAACGAATGAAGAAATGAGAGCATTGAAGGGCCACGGAGTGCGAGGGACTCCACTCTGCTAGGCTGCACAGCCCACTTCACAGGTGGGGAAACAGATCCAGGGCAGTCATGTGATTTCCAAGGGGCAAGCAGTTAGTCCTTGGCCATTTCAGCCAGGACAATCTGCGAGGCCAGCTAGAGGGCTGCCCCTGGCTGCCTAGGAGAGGCAGGCGTTGCGGGGAGAGGCAGGGACACTCAGAGGCGAGGGGTCCAGCTCGAGTGCCACACTGACAGCCCTGTCTTCTCCTCCTGGCAACCCAGGCCCCATCTGCCAGACCATGGGCCCCTGGCAAGAAACAGATCTGCCCTCCACGTTCACCTCCCTTGGTCACCACCTACCACCGCAGCCTTCGCCGGGGGCACTCCCTGTCTGGATGGATTCCCCACCTCAGACTATTCCGGCTCCCCATTCTTTCCATTTGAAGGGGACACAGTGGCTCCATGGTTTCCTAGTCACAGCCCCAGAGCCACCTGGGACCAAGCAAGGGCTCAGCCAGACCATGGCAGGCGTGCCTGGGAAGGGTAAGTCCAGGAAGTCCCCGAGGTCACAGGGCTCCAGGGGCAGGCCCAGACAGAGCACCTGCAGGAAGAACCCGGGACCTCTCACACTCCACAACTGCCGCCCCACCCTCCTGTTCCATGGCTCCCCACGGCTTCCGGCCCCGTCAGTATCTGGAGCCCCATGGTCCATGCCCTTCCACGTTGACCCGCAGCCCTGGACAGCCAGGGTCGGGGGTCTCCCTCCCGCACATGGAACAGGCGTCTTCCTGAGGCAGAACAGAACGGATCGAGTACCCCCCTGAACCAGCTCCACCCACCGCTCCATCCTTCCTGCAGCCCCAGCCCACGACCTTGGAGCCATCCTTGACTGCACACTTTCCCATCCTCCTCCGAAGGCCAGGAAATCCTGCCGGCTTGACTTGCAACCCTGTGCCAGAACCCCGCAGCTCTTCATCTGCTTGGCTGCAGCCTTGGCCCAGGCCACCATCTCTCCGTCACCCCCGCTACCCTACCACAGCCTCCAGTTGGTTTGTAGTTCCCCCTGGTACCCCCTCTGCTCTGTCCTCAACATGGCAGGGCCAGTGGTTACCTGGAGAAGTGGCCTCCAGGCACTCTGGGTGAAAGCCAGAGGCTCTGGTTGGCTGCTAGACCCTCCCACTCCATCTGTTGTGGCCACAGCCACTTCCCTGCTGCTCCTCAAACAGGGCCAGGCCTACAGCTGCCCCAGGACCTTGGCACTGGCCAGCCCCTCTGCCTGGGATAGGATGCTCACTCCATCACCTACTCAAACTCTTTGCCCAAAAAGCACTTTCTGAAGGGCCTGGGTTATAGCTCAAAAAGCTAATCCTCCAGCTGCAGCACCAGCATCCCATTTGGGTACCGGTTCAAGTCCCGGCTGCTCCCCTTTCAATCCAGCTAATGTGTCCAGAAAGGTGACAGAAGATGAACCCCCCAAGTCCTCAGACCCCTATACCCTTGTAGCAAACCAGGACAGAGTTCTAGACTCCTGTGTTTGGCCTGGCCCAGCCTTGGCTGTTGGAGCCATTTTGGGGAGTGAACCAACAAATGGGAGATCTGTCATGTTCCCTTCTGAGTCGATCAATCTGTGAAAACAAAGCAGCACTCGCCCACCAAAGCCTTCCCTGACCACGGAGCCGTAGCCCAGGCCCCGGCTTCCCCCCGAGCTGCCGCAGTCCTTTTCTGGGGGAGAAGGTAAGAGGCAGGGTCTCTTTACCCCGGGACACTGCTCGACACTCAAGGCACCAAGCAGTCGCTGACTCCTCAGGCCACACACATGGGGTTTCCAAAGCATGAGGCTGACAGTTCTCTCTCCAGAACATTCCACACTTCAGCCAGTCCCTCTCCCCACATCTCAACAGTCCCCAGGTCCTGTCAGTTCCCCTTTCAGTTCTCCCCATCCCTCAGCCTGACCCCCCACTGCCTCACCTGGGGATGATGCGCTGGGTGAGGCGGTTGGTGGGGATGGAGAGTGGGACCTGGCGCTGCAGCCGGCGCTGCTCAAACAGGCCAGGGAGGTCGTGGGCCCAGATGTGTGAGGACTTCCCTGCGGGCAGGGGGAGAGACAGCGCGTGGGGGCTTGGAAAGGGTGAGGGGCGGGCAGGTGTGGAGCTGGGGGCTGGAGTGCGCTGTACCTGAGAGTGACAGCAGCACGTTGTTCACACAGTAGAGCCAGGAGCAGCGGTGGGAAATCAGCTGCCAGTCACAGAGAGAGGGGGTGGGGGTGAGGCTCGGCATGGAGTCCCCCACCCCAGCTGGGCTGCCCGGCATACCCACCCCCTCACCTTCTCCAGTGTATCCTCATGTAGCTCATGCAGGTTGAGCGTGTACACGCCTTCCTCGGCCCCCACGACCAGGAACTGGTCTGCACGTTGGGGGTGGGGGTGGTCAGAGAGGGACTCTCAAGGAGGTGGGGGGCTCCCGCTTCCCCCCGGCCCCCCACACACCCTGCCGGCCTACCCCGAGTCACAGGGTGAACCCAGGTGACTGCAGCGTGGATGCGGAGTGGGCAGCCATTGAACACCTTGGAGAAGCAGGCGCCCATCTGTGCAGGGATGGGGCTGATGAGGGGGCGGGACTGTGGGGCAGGGCTAGGAGAGGTGGGGCTGGTGGGGGTAGGGGCAGAGGCACTGTGGGGGGTGGGGGAGCAGGGCCAACACTCACGTGCACTTTGGGGGTTGGGGGGAGCCCATGGCAGGACGACCCCTAGGATGGAGGGAACAAGTCAGGCCGGGACCACACATCCCTCCACCACCAGGTGCCTCCCCACACCCTCGGCCATACCCCCTCACCTGGGGGTCCTCCCGCTGCTTTATGGTGGCCCAGGCAGTGGGCAGCAGTGGGGAGCTGCCGGGATCTGGGAGGGGCGGAGGTGGGGGTGGGGCTGGGGGCGCGGTTCCTGCAAGCACAGCCTTGGTGGGACTCCCAGCCCCAATCACCACCTCTCCCTTCCCTCCCCGACCCCTACAGACCTCCCAGACCTGAGGGGCTTCTAGAAGGAGAATCCTCAGTGGGAGGCTGGGTGGGGGACGGCCCCATGAATGGGGCCCGCTTGATGGTTCCCACAGCATCATCCGGGGAGTCGGGCTGCTGGCGGGAGAGTTGAGACTGTGGGCAGGGTCCCTCTACCACCCACCCCATGCCACTCACCCCACACCCCACACCCTGGTAGCCCCTACTCTGGCAGCTCTCACCTGCTCTGCTCCTCCCTGCAGGCCCGCGGCTGGCCGGATGGTCAGGCTCCTAAGGTGGGGGTGCGGTGCGGGACAGGGGTAAGATACCACTCCCAGGGGGCACCCTGGCCTGGCTGCCCCTTGCCCTGCTGCTCCCAGCCCCTCACCTCTCCTCTAGAGCCTCCTGGACCGACTGCAATAGGCTCCTGGGCAGTGAGGGAGGGAGGGAGGAAAGGTGAGAGGTCAGGGGTCAGCCTCGGATCTGCCCACCCTCTCCACCCCTCCCTGTCACTCACCTGCTTAGCTCTTCTTCACCCAGGAGTGTCCACTCCTCCTCCCACTGGGGGAAACCGAGGCAGAGAAGCCAGAAGAAAAGCAGAGAGAGGCTAGGTGAGCGACAGAATGGTCCCCAGCTCAAAGAGCTACAGGACATGTGGGTGGGAAGACGGAAAGGGGGACAGGCGAGACGCCGGAGGTACAAGTTGCCCTGGGGTTGGAGGGGTGTTTCCTCAAGCCCACCCCTCACCGGCTCATTCAGCGGGTCCGTCTCCTTCCTGCGCGGGGCCCCAAATTTCACCTGGTGAACTGCAGGGGAGAGTGCCCAGAGTACAAGAGTTATGGGGAGTTAGGGTTCCATGTGCACCCAGCGCCTCTGCCCCCCGCCCAGCCCCCACACTCACACTGGATCTCGGAGGGCGTCCTTTCAGCCGGGCCGTGCTGGCCGCGGGAGTGGATGGTGTCGGGGAATATGTCGTAAGTCTAGGACCGAGCCGAAGCAGGGGGGCCTGAGGTCGGGGCTCTGTGCCCCTCCTTGCTGTTGCCACCACAACCCCGAGGCCATTGGCAAATACCCCTCTACCCCCACCCCTGCTCCGCATGGCAGGTCAGGCACCTTGCCAGAGACACACAAAACCAGATGCCTGTGACAGTCACAGGCAGCCTGGACTCAGGTTCAAGGGCAGGAAGCTTGCAAGGGGGTGCTGGCAGGCAGGCCAGACTCAGCTCAGCAGATATTCCTACCAAGTGGACTCCTCTTGAGAGAAGCCTCCAATGGCCGGCATAGCCTGTGACCTGAGCGTCCCCTAACCAGATCCGATCGGAATCCCGGTCCCAGCCCCATCTCCCCCTCACCTCCAGCTCACAGTCTTCAGGGGACGGGGTCCCCAGGTGAGGGTCATTGGCCTTGTCCAGGAGCTGTGTGAGGAGCGCCCGGGGAAGTGGCTGGGCGGTGAACGGGTGCTGCAAGATTGGGCCGGTGGTGGGGGATCAGCTCTCTGGCCATCCATCCCCCTCTTCTCTTGGGCAGCCAGTCCCCCGCCCCGCCCCCTGTCTCCCACCTGCAGCAGCTTTTCTGCCGTTGGCCTCTTTTTGGGATTCTTGGTCAGGGCCAGCTTGAGGAAGTGGTGAAAATTCTGGGTCCTGGTGGGCACAAGAGTCCCCCCCACCCCCGCAGCCCCGGGGTGGGGGGCCAGGTTAGCTCAGATATACCAGCTCGCTTGCTACCCCCTCCACAAGAGCCTCCTGGGCCCGCCCAGGAAGGGGCAGCTAGAGGCCCAGGACAGCCGGCCCCAACGACAATGCTGTTGCAATGTGGCCAGCCACCTGCCCTGTGAGGCCTGTCCCCATGGGGTCCTGGGCCCAGAGGTGGGATCCAGGCCTTTGCTTGGACACCCTGCTGAGACCTAGAGGTGGGACTTCTAAGGTTGCCTCTGGGCTGGGAATCAGCAACATGCTCCTCTCCCAAGGGGCCTGGCTCAAATTGAGGGGGTGTCCCAGCTGGGGGCCCTCACCAGCGAGTCTTATCTCTCAGCTTGGGCGGCTGGAAGCTGCTCTTGGACATAAGCATCAGGGCCCTGTGGAGGGGCACAAGGTCAACAAGGGCCTCCAAGTTCAGGTTCACTGCAAGGGTCAGGCAAGAGGCCAGGGTTGGGCCGACCTCATGGGGTGCAGGTGGAACAGAGGGGGCTGCAGTTCACCCAGCTCGATGGCCGTGATGCCCAGCGCCCACACGTCACACAGCTCGTTGTAGCCACCTTTGCGCTCTACGGCAGCCACCTCTGGAGCCATCCTAGGGGCAGGGGTCACCGATGGAATGACGTTCTTGTTGGGGGGCACTCCCACCTGCAGCCCACCTGCCCCCTGCACCCACCATAGGTGCAGCCTCACCAGTACGGAGTTCCGATGAAAGATCTCCGCTTGGCTACAGATGCCGTCAGCTCACCCGACACCCCAAAGTCAGCTGCGGGGGCAAACAGCTGCGCTCACCAGCCCTCCCTCCCTCAGGCTGCCACACCCCAACCCGCCCCCACCTCCCGGGGAGGGGGGGCTCAGGACGCACCTGCAGAGAGGCTGTAATGGGCCCTGCTCCAGCCACAAGTTGCCACAGGCCCAGGGCCAGGGCGGGTCCCCCGCCCACCTCCTGAGCGGGGTCCACCAGCCTCCCTCCGCCCAGGCTGGGGCGTCTGATCTCTCATTAAACCTGGGCACACCTCACCTCTCCAGCTGAGAGCAGAGGGCCTACCAATGTGCTTTCTACGTGGGGGTTGGGGTGGAAAACAACTTGCCTGTGGACACAGGCACTGCGGCCAGGGGCTTACTGAGGTTCCCCAAGCCCCCTGCAGAGCCCCCCAAAACCACCAAGGGTGTCTCCAGGGTACTGACCCAGCTTGACGTCTCCCTGGAGTGTGAGGAGCAGGTTGGCGCCCTGCGGGAATAGAGACAGGATGCGGTTGGCTGCCTGCCACCAGCATGCCCCCCGGCCCCCCAGCAGGCTGGACCCCTACCTTGATGTCCCTGTGGATCTTGCCCTGAGAATGCAAGTGGTGGAGGCCCTGGGAACAAAGGGGAGGCCCTGAGAACCGCTCCCAGGCACTCCCACCTCTCCTGAACCCCCCTCTTGCAAATGGGGCCCCCCACCCAAGCCGCTTCCTCCTCCCCTCTCCCCAAACAGGAAGTGACTGAGCCAAGAGGGAAATGGGCTGCTTCCGGCAGTAGAGCTAGGGCACCTTCCCCCCAGCCCCTCAGGACCCACAGCTCCCCCAGGGCCATCCCTGACTGAGGCTCCCCACCCCCATGCCACACAGCCGTCCCAACTGTCCCGGAGACCCTGGGCAGGCCTTGCTACCTTGAGCGCTTCTCGACAGACGTAGGCAATCTGCCGCTCCTCCAGGGGCCCCGTGGCTGGAAGGGAGAGTGGGGGCTGGCACCGGGTCCCAGGGGACAGGCACCAGCCACGCTGGGTAAAAGGGGCGAGGGGGTAGGCCATATCCCCTCTCAGCAATGGCTGCTGGTATAATGGGCCCAGAGGCTGACAGCATTTGTCTCAAGGTCACACAGGAATGCAGAGCACCCCAACTCCCCTTGCCATGGGGAAGGGAGGCCGCGGCTCTCACCATGGTAGATCTCCTGCAGGGACCCCCCTCCGCAGAATTCCATGCAGATCCATAAGCGGTCATTCCTGGGAAGATGGGGGGGACACAGAGCTGGGCTGGGCTCACAGGGGCTCCCCGCGCCCTGCCCCCGAGCCGCGGGATCCAGCAGCCTCACCTGAGGTAGCTGCCGATGTAGGCTACCACATTGGGGTGCCGGCACTCCCGCAGGATGGTAATTTCCTGCTGTAGGGAACTGATGTCGTCTCCTGGGGAACACGGGGCATCATGGGGTGGAAGCACGTGAGGGGGGGTCTCCCGGCCTCAGTAGCACCATCTGTAGAATGGGTACAGAGCGCCCCCTTCCTCCCTCGGGGGGGCCTCAGACAGGTGCCAGGCGTCAGTACCCACAGGGGGTCTCGGAGCTGTCAGCCTCTCTGCCCCTCCCGCGGTGCGCGGGCGCACAGGCCCCACCCGGGCCCTCACCTGGGTCTAGCTTGACTATCTTTACGGCGGCCAGTTCGGACGTGACCGTGTCGCGGGCCTGCGGGGACGGAGCGGGTGCTCAAGGGGGGCTGAGGAGGAGGAGGGGGCGGAGCTGGGGGGCTGAGTCCTCGGCGGGGCGCGCCGGCCGAGCGGGCACCCTTCCCCGGGCACCCTTCCCCCGGCCTCTCCCGCGCGCGCGGCGCACCTTGTAGACGTCGCCATAGGTCCCGGCCCCCACGCGCTGCAGCAGCTCGAAGCGGTCCCGCGGATCCTGCAACGACACGTCCCGCAGCAGCGCCATGGCCCGGCGCCGGGCGGGCGCGAGCTGCGGAGCCGGCGCGGGGCGGCGCGGCGCGGCGCGGGCGGGGCCGGGGCGGACCCGGGGCGGCCGGGGCGGGCGCCGGTGGCTCCGCGGCCCGGGGCGGGGCCGGGGCCCGGAGGCGGGCCCAGCCGGGGAGGAGGCGCCCGCGGGACGGGCCCTGGGGAACTCCCGAGCCGGGCCCGGGCGGAACCGGGGCCCTCTGGCCAGCCGGCTGCGCCTGGCGCGCTAACAGGTGCGAGCGCTGAGCCCCGAGCTCGGAGGCAGGAGGAAGGGGGCGGCCCACCACCCACCCCATCCCCCAGTTTCCCAGATGAAGCCAGGCCATGTGCATGTGTGTTTTTTAAACAAAATGTATTCATTTCCCTTGGAACTGAAAAATAAATCTATGTACAAAACAGGAGGAGATGGGGTTCCCCTGCCCACCCTTAGTAGGCAGCTGAGTTCCTCCAGGGGCCCGGCCGGGCTGCACCTGTGGCCCCTGCAGGTCCAGACAGGGGTCTCGCTCTGACCTAGAGCCAGCCGGGCAAGGCGGAGGGAGGTGGTGCTCAGGCTGCAGGAGGCGCGGGCCGGCCCTGGGGAGTAGGGCGAGAGGATGCCGAGATGCCCACATTCTAGAAGCAGAACTTTAGTCCTGGAGAGGGCAAGAAGCCTGATTCCCAAGGGATGGAACTATCACGGGCAGAAATCGCACTTCGGGGGCTGAGTGGTGCCCAAGGTTCTCGGACACCCAGGAACCGGGGATGACTCTGAGGGGACCGGGGTCTGGCCCAGGGCCTGGCGAGGGTCCCAGTGACCGGCTCAAAATACTAGGGGAATGGACCATTGCTCTGGCGAGCGGGGCAGGGCCCCCTGGTCTGAACAGTCTTCACTGGAGATTCCGGGTCAGGGTGGGTGGTCCCGGGGAGCTGAGGGCGCAGCTTAGACGGGAGGGACGGCCGGGCGACCGGTGGGGCCTCCGATCCACCCCGGGGCGGCGCGGCCCGCACGCTCTGCTCTGCCGGAGTAGCCGGACGGTCAGAGGCCCTTGCGCTGGCGCTTGAGGAAGGAGAGCGTGTAGTCGCTGGGCGTGGACACCTTCTGCTTCTTCATCTGCACCTGCGACTGCGCAGTCAGCTGCAGCTTGATGGCGCTCGAGTTGATTTTGGTGGCTACCAGCAGCTCCTTCATGCCCTTCATCTTCTCGCTCTGGAACGTGAGCACCGGCCCCTCGGGCGGCGGCGACGCTGCGGGCGCTGGCGCTGCTGCTGGGGCTGCGCTGCCGCCCTCAGGGCCTCGGGGGACGCCAGCAGCGGGGAGTGGTCCTGGGGGCTTCCGCGGGGGTCCTGTTGCTGTGCCCTGCCCAGCGCCCGGGCCCTTGTCCAGCGCGGGCTTCTTGGGCGGCGGTGGCTCCTCCGGCTTGGATTCTCGCCGCGGGCCCCGGCGCCGGCCTTCCCTGGCCTCCTCGCCCCACGGCTCCTCTGCTTCGGCTGCCTCGGTCTCCCGACTCACGATGTGCACCTTCTGCCGGACCTGGGCCAGCGGGGAGAACCAGCTGAGGCACGGACGACCGCGCAAAGGGGAGGGATGGCAGGTGCAAACTCTAGCTGGCGAAGGTCGTTGCTGGCCCCCTCCCCCAAGCAGCTGCCCCTCACCTGTCCTTCGAAGCGACCTAGGGACTGTACAAGGAACGTGGCCCAGCCCACGTGCAGCACCGGCGTGGGGCTGCCCTCCTCCCACTTGCAGATGCCATCATAGAAGCGCAGCAGGTGCGCGAAGCACTCAGGGTCCTGGAGCGCTGACCCCTGGCTCGGGGTGCCCTGGGCAAGGGGCAAGGGAAGGGCCAGGTCAGGCTCCCTTGCCACTTGGCAAGGGCACAGATCTTTTCAAAGTACCCTGGGCCCAGGTCCTAGTCAGAATGTGGGGAGGATTGTACACCTTGTCTGCACCCCCATGCCCACAAGCTGAAACAAGAACCTTTGGGCAGGAAAGTGTGAAGGAGGCATGCTTCGGCCCCCTTTTATCAAAGGGCAAAGGGTTCTAGAAACCAACCCTAAAATGCCTTCCCTCCAGCCTGGCCCACCCAGGCCCCTGGCTCCACGAGGGCCCCCTCCCAGTCCCAGGCCGTAGGGCAGGCCCGGCCAGAGCACCAGCCTGCACCTGGCTCGGCTCCCCCGGCCGTTCCTCGCCCGCCTCCAGCAGGCTGGCTGCCTCCTTGAGTAGGTTGGGGATGACATCATTGGCCACTTCAAAGAACTCTTTGTAGATCTCCTCATCTTCGCGGCAGTAGTTGTAGCTGCAAGAGCAGTGGGCACTGTGGGGTCCCGGCCCCTCATCCCCAGGGACCAGGCACCCGAGCGGAGTCTTCGCTGCACACCCAAGAGAGCCAGAGCCAGCCCAAGGCCAGGGTGAGGGTCCCTCTGTGGGGTGGAGGAGGAAGGGGTCCCTGCTTCCTGGGTGATGGTGGCCTGGGCCACCTAAAGACTGGATAGACAGGGGACGGAACTTGGGACTGGACAGGGGAGCTGGCAATTGGGAAGAGGGGGAAAGACAGGCGGGCTGAGACCCTGGGGGCAGGGCTCACTCTTGGATGACGGTGGCTGTGTCGGCCCAGGCCTGCAGGGCTTCGCGCACGTTGCGGTTGCGACAGTGGTAGCCCGCCAAGTACATGTAGGGGTAGATGTGTTCATCCCGGTAGTAGGCCTTGGCCGAGGCGATGCCCTGGGGGAGGGGCACAGGGAGGCTGCCCCAGCTGGCACACCCGCAGGGGGCCCCCAGATCCACCTGTGCTCGCTGCTGGCCCTCGCTCCACACTGCTCCCTGGGACTGGGGGGACTTCTTGCTGGGACAGACCCCCACAGCCCCACAGCTAGGGAAGGGAGGGGGCGTATCTTGCTCCCACGATTCCTCGCACACCCTGGGACACAAACACCCAAGGCCTGCCCGTGCCCCAGGCTAACCCCTTTCTCAGAGATCCGAGGCCCGCCTCCACTCCCCCTTGCTCCAGCTACACCCCGAGAAGGCCAGGGAAGGGCAGAGGAAGATGCAGGGGGCCTGGGACATCCTTCAGACAGCCCCTGCCCATGCTGGTGCCACCCAGTGGGCAACACCTACCTCCATGGGAAACTCCATGCCTACGCCCCCGCCGCTGGGGCCCCTCTACTTCCTGTGTGTGTCCCCCACCTTGTGGTAGAGCGTGAGTGGGTCTGGCCGGCCAGGGGTGGGCTCCAGTTCCTCCAGATCCGCCAGGTTGCCTAGCGCCATGGGGTACCTGTGAGAAGAGTCTAGGCTGCCAGCTGTCCCCAGCGTCCGTCGCGGCCCCGACCCGGCTAGGAACCCTGACCGACCTCTCCAGATGGCCCAGGTCATAGAGCAGCCACAGCAGCTTCTAGGGGACAGGAGAGAGCCGTGAGCTGGTGAGGGAGGACAACGGGGGGCGGGTGGAGTCCAGCGCTGGCTGCTGGCCCCCCATCCCTCCGTCCGGGCACGCCTCACCTGCTGCAGCTGCAGCAGCTCCAGGGAGTCGGTGTGCAGGTCAATGGAGGGGTTGATGGCACACACCATGAATGCCACCTCCATCTTGCGGTTGCAGCGCATGTAAGAGCCCTTGAGATACAGCCAGCTCTGCGAGGGGACACATCTCATGACGGCCCTGCCTCCCTGCACCTGGTGATTCCAATACAGGCAGGGAGGAAGAGGAAGCGGGTGGGCAGTGGCTGGGGCTGGCAAGGGGTGACAGGAACAGAGCTGGGGGGAGGCAGCAGGGGAGCCATGATACCCGCTCGGCCACACCGGCGTTGACCGTCTGGCCTCGGCGGTCCTCGTTGCCCTTGCCATGCCAGGTGACCTCGGCTGTTTGCTCCCCGTTGGGGCCAAACACAACCCAGGCATGATCCTCGGACAGGGCCAGGTGGACGTCGCGGAGCCCCAGGGCTTGGCACGCCCCGACCACGGCGAAGGCCACGCCGGAGCTGTCCAGTTTGGTGCCTGGAGAAGTGGGAGGTAACGAGGTGGGGAAGGACAGAAGGCCTGGTAGTGACGGCCACTTCTTCCGCTTTCTGGGTCCAGCCACAGCCCTTCCCGCCCAGCATCCCTGCGAGGCTCACAGGGCAACCAGGGATCAACCCAGCGTGGCATCCCGGGGTGGGAGGGGCACACAGGATGCCCAGCGGGTCCTGGCCATCTGCAGGGGCCCCAACCTGTGATGAAGCTGAAGAGGGACTGGATGTGGGCGCGATCCTTGAAGTAGGAGCGACTGAGGCTGTTCCAGATGACGTCCGACACTTTCTTGACCAGCTCGCGGCTGGAGACGCCCCCCTCCCGCGGGTACAGGGACAGGTCGACGGCGCCGCGGATCTGCGCGGTGAAGCGGGCATAGAGGGCCGCGATGATGGACAGGTCGGCCACGGGGAAGTAGGTGAGGCCGCCGGGGGGGTCGGGCGCCGGGCTGGGCTGGAAGGTGAGCTCGGGCACGTTGGTGGGGATGACGCGGTTGACAGCCAGGAAATGCTCCACGAAACCCAGGACCAAGGACAGGAGCACCAGGTCCGGCTCCTCTCGGGCCAGCTCGGCGGCGAACAGGCGCACCACGTCGTCGATGGAGCGCAGAGGGAACAGCGTCTTCTGCGCGGCTTTGAGCCCCATGGTGGCGGGCGGCGGCCTGCGGGGCGAGCCCGGGGAGGGTCGGCGTGGGGGAGCCCCCTGCCCCGGCTCGCCCCCCCAGGCACACACCCCTCCTCCGCCCCCCGCGACACCCCCTCGGGCGAGGCTGCAAGGCCGCCCTGCGACGCCGACGCCCGCTCCCCAAGCCCCGACGGGGGCGCGGCCCAAGGCTGCCCCCCGCCCCGGCTGTGATCCGCCCCCCGATGGCCGTCCCGCTCGCTCGCTGCAACTGCACACACCCCCTCCCGGGGCCCGTCGAGTCCTTGCGGAAGGTGCCCCCCCGAGACCGACCCCACTCAAAGCCGAAACACAGCCCCAGCCTCGGTCCCCCGCGCCCACCTCCGCGCTTACATCCCACACAAGGCACCGCGGCGCCCGCCGCCCGGAGCCTGCTGGGAAATGGAGTCCTGGCCCCCTCCCCTTGGCGCCGCACCGTCTGCCGGGAAATGGAGTCCAACGCCGGCCCTCACCGCACCGTGCGCCAAGCCTGGAAATGGTGGCCGGCCAGTCAGCGCGCGGTGCCCCATGGGAGTTGGAGTCCCGCTGCTCCGGGCGCCGCCCTGAATTCCTCGTTTCCTTTCGCAGGCAGGCCAAAGTGCCTTCTGGGAGATGTAGTCCCGGGGACACCGGGCAGGTGGTCACTGACTTCCGGGAGTTGTGCTGTCAGGAGTGCGCCAGATAGGCGGCAAAGGGAGATATTAAGCGCTGTTTGCGTGCAGATGTGCCCTGCCACTTTAATTGGCGCTTCCTCAGACCCATTAAATCGCCGTAGTCTTGCACGTGCTGGAACCCCATACGGGCACATATGGTTCCAGCTCCCTGCTAATGCATCCGGAAAAGCAGCAGAAGATGGTCCTGAAAGAGAGAGAAAAAGGGTTAATGCTTTCATGGCTTCTATATGTGCTTGGCAAGATGAGATAAGAGACAAGAAGAAGGCAGTACCAGGCCCGGGCTGTAGGAAGGGGGTCTGGGTTTCGGTTTCTGTTTCCTGACAAGCGGATTCCTTATCCTGAGAAATGGGCCCAGATAATCCTGGGTCGGCGTCAGAACAGGGCCATAAAACTGTAACAGGCTCGGGCTGCGGGAAAGGGGTCTGAGTAGACAATAGAATGGGCCATAAAACTTAAGGCCTGCCACAGAAGTATGTTAAGCTTGTAGTGTGTGCCTATAAAATACCTGCACCCCCGGAATTCAGGGCTTCTCTCCCTGTTGGAGTAGGGGCCCGTTCACGAACGTCAATAAAATCCTCTTGCTTCTTGCAGCCTCTGACCTGGTTCTTGAGCTCTCGGGCGGCGACTCTCGGGGTCCGTAACCTTTAGACCCCCCCAGGGTTTAACAGTCCAAGTGCTTGGTTCTCTTCACCCACATGGGAGACCCGGCTGGAGCTCCAGGCTCCTGGCTTTGCCGGACACAGCCCTGGCTGTTGTGGCCAATTGGGAGTGAACCACTGGATGGAAGATCCTCTCTTTTTATAACTCTTTCAAATAATAAATAATGCGTCTTTTTAAAAAGGTGTAGGGGTGGGCAGCATGATGGTTCCATGGCTAGATTCTTAAAACAAACAAACAAACAAAAAAAAACCCGGCTGCGTGACCTAGCAGTTAAAAGTCCTCGCCTTGAACGCACCAGGATCCCATACGGGCGCTGGTTCCTATTCCGGCAGCTCCACTTCCCTGCCAGCTCCCTGCTTGTGGCCTGGGAAAGCAGTCGAGGACGGCCCAAAGCCTTGGGACCCTGCACCCGTGCGGGAGACCTGGAGGAAGTTCCCGGCTCCTGGCTTCGGATCAGCACAGCACCCGCCCTTGCGCTCACTTGGGGGGTGAATCATCGGACATAAGATCTTCCTCTCTATCTCTCCTCCTCTCTGTATATCTTGACTTTGTAATAAAAATAAATAAATCCTAAAAAAAAAAAGAAGAGCTGGTATTATGGCTTAGAAGATTAAGCCAGAGCCTACAAGGCTGGCATATCATATGGGCACTGGTTTGAGTCCTGGCAACCCCACTTCCGATCCAGCTCCATGCTAATGCACCTGGAATATCAGAAAAAGACAGCCCAGCGTTGCCCCCTCCCACTCCCACGGGAGACTAGAGGGAGCTCCAGGCTCCTGGCTTTGCCCTGACTCGACTCTAGCCGCTGCAGTAATGGAGGGAAGCCCTGGGTGGGAGATCTCCCTCTTGTAACTCCTCCTTTCAAATGAGATACGTAAACCTTGAATTTTTAAAAGAAATTTATAATGTACTACTATACATCTTTTTTTCTTTTTGAATTTTTATTGGAAAGTCAGATATACAGAGAGGAAGAGGGAGAGAGGAAGATCTTCCATCCATTGATTCACTCCCCAAGTGGCTGCAACAGCCAGAGCTGTGCCAATCCAAATCAAGGAGCCTGGCACTTCCTCAGGGTCTCCCAAGTGGGTGCAGGGTCCCAAGGCTTTGGGCTGTCCTCCACTTCTTTCCCAGGCCTCAAGCAGGGAGCTAGAAGGGAAGTGGGGCAGCCAGGACATAAGCCAGCCCCCACCATTGCTACCTCTCACCCAAGGTAGGAATTAACAAGATGTTGGCTCAGAAGTGGCACCAGGACCCAAATCCAGATACAGGAGGCAGGTATGCCAAGGGTGTCTTAACTGCTGTATCAAACACCTCCTCAAAATTAACTTTTTGGGCCCGCTGCAGTAGCCTAGCAGGTAAAGTGCTCGCCTTGCACATGCCGGGATCCTCTATGGGCACTGGTTCATATCCCATGCCTCTATTTCCCATCCAGCTCCCTGCTTGTGGCCTGGGAAGGCCGCTGAGGACGGCCCAAAGCCCTGCACCTGAACTCAAGTGGGAGACATAGGGTCCTGGCTCCTGGCTTCGGATCGGCTCAGCACCAGCCCGTGAGGCCACTTGGGGAGTGAATTAGCAGATGGAAAATCTTCCTCTTCTCTGTCCTCCTCTGTGTTTATGACTTTCCAATAAAAATAAAATAAATCTTAAAAAAAGAAAAATTCTCTTTTTTTAAAGATTGATTTATTCAGTTGAAATACAGTGACAGAGACTTTGCCTTTGGTTCACTCTCTGAATAGCCAATGTCAAAGCAGGCAGAAGCCAAGAGTCATCCTCTGTTGCTTTCCCGGTCCACGAGCAGGGAGTTGGGTGGAAGTGGGGCAGCTGGAGCATGAACTCGCACCCACATGGGATCTGGTGCATGCAAGGTGAGAACTTAGCCACTGAGCCGTCGTGCTGGGCCCCAAATTTTCTTTTAAATCTAACATTGGTCAGGGCAGGCGCTGTGGCATGATGGGTTAAGCCGTCTCCTATAATGCTAGCATCCCGTATGGGCACCTGCCTGATTGACAGCTGCTGCGTTCACACTCCAGCTCCCTGCTCACGTGACTGGGAAAGCAGTGCACCCAGGTCAGAAAAGCACTGTCACTCTGCCTTTCAAATAAATAAACCTAAAAAAAGGTGAGTCGGTGCAGGTCGGGGCTCACTTTACTGACTTTGTTTTACAAATATTTGTATCAGAATTGTCCTGTCCATGAACGGTCATCGCCAGAGGTGCTGGGGGTGAGACTTCCACCTGCCAGCTGGGGGTCAGTAACACGGTAACGCAGCCTCAGCTGCCGGCTCCCAGAGGCTGCGCACACAGGGAGGAGTGGACTGCAGGGCAGCAGAGCCAGGAAGGGCCAGGGCAAGGGGCTGTGGAATTCACATATTCTCCTACCATTGCTTGGAGTGGGAACTGGCTGACATAACATATTAGGAATTTTCTTGAACTTGTTTTTCTTTAAAAGGAAGGGGTTGGAGGGAGAGATATCTTCTGTCCACTGCTTCACACCCGCATACCTACTCTACCTGGGGTTGGGCCAGACTGAAGTTAGGAGCTGGAGCTGGGACTCAGTGCAGGGCTCCCCTGTGGGTACCCCAGGCCACCTGCTGCCGCCCAAGGTGCACATTAGCAGGGAACTAGATGGGTGAACTAGAGCTGGCACTGAACTCAGGCACTCGGAGAGCATATTAAGTACACCCAAACGACTGCATCTGTTTAAGAAATGTAGAAAGGGGCCCAGCGTGGTAGCCTAGTGGTGTAAGTCTTCACTTTGCAAATGCCAGGCTCCCATATGGGCGTCAGTTTGTGTCCTGGCTGCTCCTCTTCCCATCCAGCTCGCTGCTTGTGGCCTGGGAAAGCAGTTGAGGATGGCCCAAAACCTTGGGACCCTGCACCCACTTGGGAGACCCTGAGGAAGTGCCTGGCTCCTGGCTTCGATCAACTCAGCTCTGGCCATTGCAACCACTTGGGGAGTGAATCAACAGACAGAAGATCTTCCTTTCTCTCTTCTCTGTATATCTGACTTTCCGATAAAAATAAATAAATCTTTAAAAAAAAATCAATGAGTTTGGATCCTGGAAGTCTTTGACCTAAGTTGCTGTTGGATGCTGGGAAAGCAGCCATTTCTCTAGTTGGGCAAGGGTTGGCTTCATGTGCCAGAGGGGAACGGAGGCATTCCGAGTCACTGTCTCCCTGTGGTCCAGGAGAGCCTGCCTTGAGATGTGTTTCTATGAGTCCCCTTTTCAGATGGGAATATTGAGGCTTCCAGCAATGAGCGATGCCAAGCTTTCCCAGGACGGCACAGCTTACCAGAGACCAGGGTGTAGGACTCAAACCCAGGTTCCTAGCCAGGCTGTAGAATCCCACAAAGAGCTTCTGCATCCCACTCCCAACAAGACAGTAGCATCAGGCCTCCTCCCTGCTGTCCCCTTGCCACAAGCCACAGGACTTGGTCATCGGTGCCCCGCCAGGCTGCCCTGGGATCCTAGGTCACTGCTCTCACTTCCTCCCTCACCCAGTCCAGCCTTGGATCCTGCCCAATCATGGCCACACCAGCCAAGAACAAGTGGGGTTCTTCCCTGCCTCTGTCAGAACCTGGAAGAGGAATGGCAGCAAGGCCCCGTCGCTGTGCCGCACCCCGAGACCCACTTCCACCCTTCTGCCCCGCTGTGTGGCCCTGGCTGCTCTCTGCACCCTCAGAGAAGGCCAGGGCCACAGCTGGGGTCAGGTGCACATACCTCCTCCTGCCCAGCCAGCCTGGGGGTGCTGTACCCCAACAGCTGCTGGGGTTCCAGACACCATGTGATTCCTGAAAGCCTGTGGAAGGCATAGAGTCTTTTTTTTTTTTTTTAAGATTTATTTATTTTCATTGGAATGGCAGATATACAGAGAGAAAGAGAGACAGAAAGATCTTCCACCTGCTGTTTCACATTGGCCACAATGGAGCCGAGTTGTTCCGCATCCAGGAGCCAGGAACTTTCTCCAGGTCTCCCAAGCAGGTGGAGGATACCAAGGCTTTGGGCTATCCTCAACTGCTTTCCCAGGCCACAAGCAGGGAGCTGGATGGGAAGTGAAGCAGCGGGAATACAAACCAGCTCCCTTATGGGAGCCTGGCACAGGCAATGCAAGGACTTTAGCTACCATGCTACTGTGCCGGCAAGGAAGATCTTCCATCTGCTGGCTGATTTACTCCACAAGCAGCTACAATGGCTTGAACTGAGTAGATCTGAAGCAAGGAACTTCTTCCGTGTCTCCCACATGAGTGCAGGGTCAAGGCTTTGGGCATTCCTTGACTGCTTTCCCAGGCCACAGGCAGGGAGCTGGATGGGAAGTGGAGCAGTTGGGACATGAACCAGTGCCCATGGGTTGAGGATTTAGCGGACTGAGCCATCACACACTGCTGGGTCTGATCGGTGGGTGTGGAAGACATGAAGGTGTGAAGAGTATTATTCCATTGCAGGCAGGGCTGCACGGCAAGGCCCAGCGGATGTCTCCGCACCCACCTGAAGGCATCTCCACCTCCCTATGCATGGACACCGGACAACCCTGCTGGGATTTCTGTAATCTACTTAGCCATTGTCTGCTCTGCCGAGTTGGTCTTCACTGTCAATGTGAGCTTGGAAGTTGATGTTGCTGATACCATTTTAGCAAAAGGGCCTTTTATTATTGCTGCCCCCACTGACCATATGCTAATCAAGGTTGTTAAGTCCCCAGGTGTAGTGGGAATCTATTCTTTCCTCTTCTCTTGGTCTTTAACTCCCTCCTCCTGTGATGCATTTCCTTCCTTAACTGATTCAAGAAGTTAGGAGGACTGCAGTAGGAATGTGTTACTGATTGATATGCACATCTGTTGAGAGCTTCCTGACCACAGGATCGGGATGGATAACAGCCTGCTTTAAGGTCAAACAAATGGCAGAATTATCCTTGGAAGCACCCACTTGACCATGACGTAAATAGTCTGAGCCAGAGTTTGACTGCTTCTGTATAAATAAAGCCGACAGCTTTCCCGCATTGTCCATTATGATCCTGGGATTGTGGTGGTCCGTTTTTTTTCTCTATGCCTCATCCACGCACCCTTCTTGAGTTCCGAACTCGGCTGGAGCTGGCCTCTGGCAGCACATGGCACCAAGTCTTTACCCGTCATGGCACTCATCCTTCCTACCATCACATCCCAGCATTTTCTCTTCTATTGATTTATTTGAAAGGCAAAGAGAAAAGAGATAAATCTTTCATTTGTTGGCCAATACCAGGTGCCAGGGTCCATGTGGGTGGCAGGGACTCCGAGCAATTGGGCCATGTTCTGCTGCCTCCTAGGGCAGGCATCGTGCTCTGAGTCAAGTGGCAGTTTAACCGTCTGTGCCGCACCGGCCCCTACACACACACACACACACACACACACACACACACACACACTCGCTCTCTCCCTTGCCAGGACAGGCATGGGAGCAGCATCAGTGTACAAAGTTGCTTTATTGTTCCCTGCTGCTTTGCAGTTTATCAGGGTCTGTTCCCTCCGGGGAACATGGCCTTTGAGAAGATAAATACTTATTTGCCCCCCACGCCTTTGCAGGGGGAGGTTCAATAAAAATAGTAATAGAATAACAATAATAATGACTGCATTCAATAATAAAATGCCCCCCCATCCCCCTAATACAATCGGTTAAAGCTTTGAGACCCCTCCGTTTCGGGCAGGGCCCAAGCGTGTTCAGAGACCTTGGTGGCTGCCTTGGGGCGACATCTCCTACCATGAGGCCTTTATAAATACCCACCCCACCCCGTCCCCGCCTGGGAACCACCCCACTGGACGGAACAGCTGACCTAGTCGGTCCTGCTCAGGTCACCTTCCGACCTTCCGCATAGCCACCCCAAGCTCCCACCCCATCCCTGAGCTCCTCCCACCGTCTCCAGCATGCTTCCTCCTCCTCCTCCTCCCCTCTCCTCCTCCTCCTCCCCTCTCCTCCTCCTCCTCCCCTCTCCTCCTCCTCCTTCCCTCTCCTCCTCCCTGGCAATCCTCTTCACTCCTCTGTTTCCCATGCACCTGCCTCTCACCTCCTTCACCTTCACTCTCCCTCCTCCCTCTGGGCCTCAGGAAGTCTTTCCTCCTGCCCCACCCTGTTCCCCATCTGCCCTCAGCTGGGGGACTCACAGGCCACTGCAGATGCCACCTGCTGCCAGGGACCTTCTCGGTCCCTCATCCCAACTCCTTCAAGCCTCCTTTGGGCTTGGCACTGGGTGTGAGAACTTTGGCACAATCCATCAGGCCTGGCTCCCAGGGCTGAGGGGGGCCGTTCTTAGTCCCAGGACTGGCACAGGCTGGGCTGGTCAGAGGAGGACCGAGAGGCAGGAGTACCCAGTCCAGGGAACCGTGGGCAGGCCTAATGGCTGCCACGGCTATCTCAGGTCCTCCCGAGTCCGGCTGCCTTCCACACAGCACAGGCTAGCCAGAGGGTGGCGCCCTTCCCGGTCCTTGCTCCCTAGTGTCCACAGGTCCTGGGGCTGGGTGGGCCCTGCCGGAGGCCTTCACGGGTAGCTTTCGGAGGGCTCAGGAGCTGGGGGGAGGCTCCGGGGTCGCTCAGAGACCTGTAGGGGAGGGAGGGGAGGTCAGGTGTGATGAGCAGGCAGGCCCAGGCCTCCTTAAAGCCCACCTGGCACTGGATCTGTGTGTGTGAGGGGGAGACGGTAAGTCCTTGGGGGAACCCACACCACCACGTTCATTCACTCAGTCCTTCGGTCAACTAACTCTGGGCATTGGCATAGCATCTGACCCTACCAGGGAGGAGGAGGAGACTGCTGGGAAGGGATCAGGGTGGGCATGCAGGGAACCCCAATCCAGCAGGAGTCACACGGAGGTGTGGAGGAAGGTCAGAGGTGGAGGGGCACCAGCAGGGGCGCGGGTAGGGCAGGGGGCATTTTTCCCTATGTAGAGCTGTGTCCGGGCCCCGCCTGGGCATCTGGCAGAGCAAGAGTTGTCAGAGAGGAGAGCAGGCTGGCCACACCTGTCTGTGGCCCTGTCTTAGTGCAGGTGCAGGGCTCAGCACAGGGTCTTGTGGATGGGGGCCCCCCCTCCTCCTGGGATTCACCTGAAGCAGGGAGACCCCGGGGCTGAGAGAGCCCTGGAGAAGGGACACCGACTCGCTGGACAGGGACGCCCACGGCTTCCTCTTCTCTGCATAAACAAAGGTCAATGTCAGATCTGAGGCGTCCCACGCGTGTGCGCGCGTGCTGCAGGCTGGCAGGCAGTGCCGGCAGCTGCCCTTACTTGGGTCCGCGTCTCCCACGAAGCCCTCACTGCCCACAGATGCTGGGCGTCGTGACGCCTCGGAGAAGCTGTGCGGCCGCGGGCCGGAGCTTCGAGCACCACGGCTCTTCTCTGTGGCCTGTTGGGATGCGGAGAGAAAAGGGGGGACCTGAGAAAGGTGTGGCCTGTCCCCCACCTCACAGCTGCCAGAGACTGGAGAGATTTAGAGCCCTCCTGAAGGCCTGCCAGTGGTCCCCGGAGACTTACCTGGTTCCGAGCGCCAGGCTTCCCTTCGGTTGGGCCCACGTGCACCAGGTGGTTGAAGTTGGTGGGCGGTGAGATGAACTTGGAGCGCACAAAGGGATCCTTCAGCATCTCCCTGCGGGCCGATCAGAGTGTAGGAAGAGGGGGCCGAGAGGTCTCCCTGCCTCTCCCCCGTGTGAGGGTCCCCGAGCAGGCGGCCCCGCCCACGCGCACCTGCGCTGCTGCAGCTTCTGCTCTTCCGACACGCGGAAGAAGAAGCGGCGCTTGCTCTTGGAGCGGAACAGCTGGCGCCGGCTGTTGTCCGTGAGGTCCGGGATGTGGAACTCATCCTTCTCTGTGGGAGCGACAAAGAACGTGCCGGGCGTGCACGGTGAGTGGATGGGGCTCCCCAGCTCCCGCGCTCAAGGATGCGCACGCACTCGCTCACCTGCCAGGGGGTTCCTGAGGTAGGTCAGGCGGACTTTCTCGGTGCCATACAGGAACAGGCTGCCCTCTGGATTCAGGGCCCGCACCTGCGCCCGCGGGCAAAGAGGTCAGACCAGGCCCAGCCCAGCCCCTCGGCGGGGCCAGGGCCGCAGGTGAGGGTAGGGATGCCCAACCGCCGCTTTACCTTCTTGAGTGGCACCGTCTGGACCCATTCCGCCCTCCTCACGTCAAACACATCCAGGGAGTTCTCGCTGAACACTGTCAGGTAGGGAGCTGTGTAACCTGTGGAGCCGCGGGGAGACGGAACTGTATGGCCCCAGGGAATCCAGGCACCTCTCTGAACCGTAGGTGGGTGGGTGGGGGCCGTGGGAAATTACACCTTGTTCCCTGCAATGGTAGAGGACTGCTCCCTCCTCCCCAGCAAAGATCCTTCCTGCACGAGCTCTAGTCACGTCATCCCTGGGCCCTCACGAAGTCTAACCACCTGCCGTGGTGGCGTCACTCTCAGACGCTCCGCAGGTGCAGCTCCCTGGAGCTGGGATCCGTGCCCTCCCCCGCAGGTGCAGCTCCCTAGAGCTGGGATCCGTGCCCTCCCCGGGGGGAGGGATGTTTGGGAAGGAGACCTAGCAAGCTGGAGGCAGTGCTGTGCACCCGCCAAGACCATGCTCCGAGCCCTTCCCCAGGGGCACACTGGAGGCGTCCCAAAAGCCCTATGCGCAACTCCCACTGGCCACTAAGTTTGCGCAGAACAGGTCCTTAGTGGAGTGAGGGAGTTCCCCTGGCAGCCGGGGGTGGGTAAAGGGGGCTGAGGCTGCGCAGGATCCTGTCCGCCCCTCACATACCCAAGCAGCCCATGCTCCGTGGCCTTACCCCAGCCCGTGGGTGCCGCAGGCCACAGCAGCTCGTGGCTGCGGGACTTGCGGCCCGTGCTGTCCACATAGACGCCAGCCGTGGTGAAAAGCAGCAGGATCTCGCTGAGGCTGAGCTCCACCGCGCCCAGCGCCTCACCCAGGCCCCCTCGGGCCGGCGGCAGTTCCTCGGGCGCCAGGCCGGCCCCCAGCGCCAGGGGCGCGGCCTCGTTGAGCAGCGGGTAGAGGGCAAAGGCCCCCGCCGCACCCACACACAGCCGGTCGCCCAGCAGCCCCAGACTCTGGACTGGGCCAGGCGCCTGCAGCTCGCGGATGCGCCGCTGCCAGGGCCCTGGGCCGGTGCCCAGCTGGTAGCAAAGCACCTGGCGTTTCACGGCCACGCAGATGACGGGCGTGCGGGCCTGCAGGATGCGCCCAGCTGCCAGCGCCTGGCAGCCTCGCGACTCGACGATCTTAGTACCCGCTGCCTCGGCGCTCTCCAGCTCGGCCAGCGAGAAGAGGCGCACGCTGGGGCCGCGGCCGCATAGCGCCACCAGCAGACCTGCCGTGGGACACACGGCCAGCCGCTGCACCCGCCTGCAGTCCCCCACCTGGAAGATGTCTGCAGGGGCCGCAGGGAGAGAAGGGTGGGTGGGTGAGGAGCCGCCAGCCCCCTCCGCCCCTGGCCGCCCCCAGGGGGGCCCATGCTGGTCAGTACCGTTACTGTGCAGATGGATGACAAAGAGCCCCTCCTCGGTGCCCAGGGCAAGCCGCTCAGGGTCTGGTGGAGGCAGGGCAAGAGTGGGGTTCAGAGGAGATGGGGCGGAATCTCCCCCAGGGTCGGTCTCCCATCACCGCGCCTTGGCTCGCCCCACTAGCGGGCGGGGCTTTGGCAGTCACCCCGGTTTATGGCTGACTGTGTGACTCACACCACCTCATCCCTAATGAAGAGGAAGCAGTCCAGGCCCAGAGCTCCGTGCGGCCCCTGCCCCGTCCCAGGGTCTCTGTGACTCCCTCTGCAGCTGCGTCCCAGCTCCAGCAGAGCCAGAGCTGCCAGGGACACCAAGCGGCTCTGGGTCACCCTGTCTTTCCCTGCTGTCAGTCACACAGGGGCCCCACACAATTGTCTCTTTCTAAAGCATCTGCTCGGGGCTGGTGCTGTAGCAGAGCAGGTAAAGTCACGGCTCATGACGCCCAGCAGCCCTTAGCAAAGCGCTGCTTCGAGTCCCGGCCGTGTTTCCGATACTGCTCCCTTGCTCATGTGCCGGGTAAAGCAGCTGGAGATGGCCCAGTTCTGCCACCCTCACAGGAGGCCTGGTGGAGGTCCAGCCTCCAGGCGCTGACCTGGCCCAGCCCAGGCATGGCAGTTGTTTGAGGAAGGAACTTTTGTCTTCCTCAACCTCCTTCTCCCTCCCCATCCGTAACTCTGCCTTTTGAATAAGTAAAATCTTAATAAACAATGTGTGCATTCCATGCATTTAAGATTCTTCTAGAACTGAAGCCCAGAGAAAACTAAAGTGGCCAGACGCCACGCTCCTTGCCCTGGGCATCCCCCATGCCCACCCCTGTGCCGGGCCCCAGTCCCGTCCCTCAAGGCCCTGGCCGGAGCTCACCGATGACCGCGGCGCACAGTGCATGGGGCAGCAGCGGCAGCCCGTTGTCATAGGCCTCCTTGAGGATGTACACGGGCCGGGGCCGAGGCCACGTGTCCAGCAGTAGCTGCTGCAGTTCGCCCAGCACCTGCAGCCAGCGCGCCCGCTCCCCCTCGCTCTCGGCCAGCAGCAGCACAGTGCATGTGGTCGGAGGCACGGCCAGCTGGGAGGCGGTCACCTGGAGGGAGGGAGCGCAGCTGGAAGGCTGTGCACTGCAGCCACCCAGCCTTCCTCCCTGCCCTCCTCCGGCTGTTAGCAGCACTGACCGCCAGCTTGCAGGGTGCAGTGCTGGGCGCGGCCGGCGGCGGCAGGGGACAGGCCAGAGAGGGTGGTCGGACGGGTGCACGGAGGGTCGCAGGGCCCTGTGATGTTGGGGGGGAAGGGGTGGCAGCGAGGGAACACGGGGTTGGGGAGGGGCTGGGGGACAGTGTGAGGAATGAGGGGAGAGTGGCACCCCAGCACACCCTGGGAACTCAAGAGGCTAGCAACTAGATGGGTGCCATCTCAGGGACCTGGTGGAGGGTGGGGAGGTGCTCCTGGAGGGCCCCAAGCAGGGCGAGGTCCCAGCCAGATTCCCAGAGGCACGCCCCCATACAGGAGGCTACCACAGGCACCTGTACTGGGGGAGGGCCCCACGCCAACCACTCACCCTAAAGATGCGTGGCAGGTCCCGCGACTGGGCATGGATAACATCGGAGGCCAGGACAGGGGTGGCTGAGAACTGGGGGTCCCTGGGGAATGCCACAAAGTGGGTCAGAGGCCGCACTGCCACTGGCTGCTCACCTACCCTCTCACAGTGGCCAGCCCCATGCCCACACACCACCGCCCCTTACCCACCTCAGATCCAAGGCCTGCAGCAGGGCCCCGCTGGCCGGGCTCAGCCGCGGGTCGGGCGCATCGAAGAGCAGCAGGCGAGAGTCGCTGAGCGCGGCAAACACCCGCTGCCAGCCACGCCGCACGCCCGAGGGCCGGGGCACCTGTGTGAGAGGCAGGCATGGGAGGAAGGGCCACCACATCTCTGCCTGCTGCCCACCCCCCACCCCCTGTAGCCACCTCCAGCCCCAGCTCACCGACAGGAAGCCCTCGTAGGCAGTGCCTCTGCCTGTGTCAGGGTGTACTCCCAGGGCTGTGTGGAGAAGGTCAGGGGGCACGGGGCAGGGGGGAGCCTGGGAGGCACAGGCTGAGTGGCAGAAGTAGCCACAGGCTGTGGGAAGAAGGGGAGAGGCCAGGCGAGTGAGACCGAGGGGAGACCAAGCCCCCTAAGACCACCCTGACTGCCCCGCCTCCCCCAGGAGACCTAGGCCGGGGTGGTGGGAGGCGGTGCTCGCTGGGACAGCTCTCACCATCACAGCCCAAGCCCTGGCGGGCCAGGCCCAGCATCAGCGAGGTACAGCGGAGACACTTGGTAGGGGACGGGAAACTCCGGGGGCGGAGCGAGTGTGAGCTGGGCTGCGGGGATGGAGGGGGCAGGCATGCCATTACTTAGAGGGCCATGGTGCCCATACCGAGCCCCAGCAAGTCTGTGGCACTGGGCATGCTCATTGCCCTGGCTGTAAGGCCCACTCCTTCCCTAGCAAAGACCCTCAGCCCAGATGGCACCCCCATCCATCATGCCCCCTCCAGACACTGACCTTGGCAGTGGTGCCTTCTGCAGGGGACCCAGGCACTCGGGGAAACCCAGCCTATCAGGGGACATGGGACAGGGGCAGGTGAGGGGGCGGCGGGCATGATCCGCTCACTCCCAATCCCATGCCCAGGGATCCTACCCACACTCACCGCCACGCGTAGGCTGCGGCGGCCCTCAGGCCTCAGCTCAGGCTCCATCCCAGGCCTTGGGGCCTCTCCTGAGGGGCCAGGATCCTTGGCTGCATCCTTCTGCAGTCAGGGGAGGGAAGGGCAAGGTCAGGGTCTGCCCCACCCCCTGCCTGGGCCCCTGGCAGCCCCAGTCCTGGGCTCCTACCTCTGAGGCGCCCCGGAAGGACAGGAGGGGAATCAGGGAACTGGAGCATTTGGCATCTGCAAAGACAAGTTGGGGGTCACGGGGCAGGGGCCCTGGGCCTAGCGGGCGGGGCAGGGCTGAGGCCTCAGAAGCAGCACCACCAGTCTGGGAGGGGACACTGACCGCCAGACCCGCGGGCACGCAGCTCCTCACGCAGGGCAGCCAGCTCTTGCTCTAAGGCCTTGTTCTGCTTCTCAGCCTCTTGGAGACGCCTGCCAGGAACACACAGGGCTCAGCAAGCAGCCTGGAATGCAGGGGCAGTCGGTGCCACATCCCCCCTCCTCCAACAAGCCCACCAGTCGCCCCTGGCCTCACCGCTCAGCTTGCAGCTGGGCCTCCTGTGCTTGGGTCAGCCGCTCCTGCAGGGCCTGCTTGGCACGGATTTCAGCCTCCAGTGCAGACTGGAGCTCCAGCCGGGCCGAGGCCTCCATCTTCTGCAGCCGCCTTGCCTTCCACTGGTGGTCCTGGGGCCACAGACAGCATCCCCACCGTGAACTGGCTGCCTCGGCACCGCCGCCCACGCCCCTCCCCAGGAATTCTCCAGGGCTCACCAGCGGCCGTGTGGGGGGTGTCTGGGCGCCCATGCTCCCCAAGGACTCCAGCTCCTCGGACATCTTGGTGGCCAGCGCCTGCAGGTAGCCCCTGGACACCTTCTCATCGTTCACCCTGACAAGGAAGGGGGCTCCAGGTCACGGGGCGAGCCGCAGCCAGCCCACCCATCCCGTCCCTGCCCCAGTCCTGGTCCAGCCCCCGGCCCATGGGTACCTACCAGGTGAGGATGTCAGCGATCTGGGCCTCCCAGTTGCTCTCCGTCTCCCGCCTTTCGCCCTCCAGCCGCCGTTTGCTCTGCTGCAGCTGCTCCAGTTCCTCCGTCAGCTGTGCCGAGCAGGAAACGGTGTGGGTCCCCACGGGGTCCCACCCCCTCCCTGCAGGACTCCCCAGCCCACCCCCCACTCTTAAGTCATCACCTGGGGCTCCGGGCACTGCCCTCCCCCTCCCCTGCCTACCTGACTCGGGCATGCCTCTGGGCACCTGCCCCCAACACTGCCAGCCTCCACACTGCACACCTGACTCAGGCTTCTGGGGCAAACCCCCTGCACTCACCCGCTCCTGCTCCCGACTCAGCCGCGCATTCTCCTCCTGCAGCCGGCACAGCGCCTCCTCCTTCCCGCCAGGCCTGGGGAGCAGATGGCCCCAGCGGTGACCTCTGGCTCAGTCCACTGTCTACCTGCTCCACTCCCCGCCGCCCTGGGAGCCCCCAGCTCACCCCAGGCTGTGGGCCTGCTCCAGCTGCTCCCGTAGGGCGGACACCTCCTCCCGCAGCAGCCAGGCCTCCTGTGGGTGCCCCTTGGGTGGTGCTGTGCTGTTGGTCTCAGAAGCCCTGTGCACAGGCTTAAGGACACAGAAGGGTCAGCCCAGGGGGACTCCATGCACAGCCCCCCCCCGCACCACATCCCTGAGAGGCCCGAATGGGGTCAGATGGAGGCTGAGCCACTCAACACAGAGGCACAGACTCAGTACCTCGGCCCGGGAGGTGTCCTTGTCCCGGTTCTGCTCGTGCTGCCCCCGGAGCTGTGTCACCTCCAGGTTCAGGGTGGCCACCTGTGCCTCCAGCTGTGACAGGGATAGAGGACAGGGCTGACCCTGACCTTGTCTTCCCGGTCTTGCCACGCCCTTTACCACAGATGTAGGCTGTGCTGGCCACAGCGGGCACAAGGCAGCAGAGTACCCAGACCAACCTGCAGCTCGGCGTTCCCTCCCCATGACAACACAGGGCTGCCAATGCCCGCACTGCCCCCCAACCCCTGCATCCTGCGACCATGCCTGGCTCACCTCTCGCCGGACACCCTGGGCTTCCTCCAGCTGGCAGCTCAGGGCCTGTGCCCGGCTAGCAGTAGCTGCCTCATTTTCCTGGGCCTCCTGTAGCCTCCGGAGCAGCTCCTCCTGCCGGCCATGGGCCCTGCACAGCTCCTGCGCTTGAGCGTGCAGTGCCGCCCGTGCGTCGGCCAGTTCCTGGGGACAAGGCCCGGGGTCAGAACAGCGCTGGGGGTGTGTGCCAGACAGCCCTGGGCCACCGACCGACCTTGCCAGGCCCTCACCTGCTGCAGCTCACTGTCCTGGCCTGGGCCGCTGGCTGGGGGCCCGTCGGGCTGGACCAAGGGGGCTTTGCTGTTCCTCGATGACTCTGCCGGGAAGAGCTGTTGAGCACCAGGCACCCCGCCTCCCCCAGCGGCCCTCCCAGCCCTGCCCAGCCAACCCCCTCACCTGCGTGCTTCCAGCTCAGCTTGACCTCCGGCCCCGCAGCAGCCGCTGGCTCAGGATTTCTCTCAGCACTAGGACCGGGAGACAATAAGAGCTCAGGTTGGGACGACCCCTAGGTGCCCAATGCCTCTGCCCACATCTGAGCATCCATTCACCCCAGAAACACCTAATGGCATGCCAGCTCCTCTTCCAGGCCCAGCAGGCACACGCGGTGCAATCTCAGATGATTAACGTACCGGTTGGAAGGAACCCCCCGCCCCTGCCTCACTCACACACACAGGGTTGCTCAGAGCATCCACCAGGACTCGCTGTGGCCCCAGGCCACCAGGAGGCCATCCTGCCCACTTCAGAGTAACAAAGTGAGGCCCGGGAGCAGTAGGGGCGCCCTCAACTCTCTTGGCCTCCGGTTCTGAGTCCAGGGTCCAAGGAGGACATGAGAGCCCGGAGCACCTGTCCTGTGTATGCGCTAGGCGGCCATTTCGCTCTCTCACCTGCCTGAGGTGTAGGTAAAGCCCACGAATGGCAGGTGATGGCCCGAGAAGGCCCCATGGGTGGGTGGTGGCAGAGTCCCCTGCAGAGGAGAGAAGGGCACACGGTTAGCAGGTGAATGTCCAGGTGGAGGCCGGGGAACTCAGCCCTGCGTGGACAGCAGTCGAAGGGCCTAACACGGCTTCCGCCTGAGCCGGGGGACCACAGCCCTCACCCAGGGGCTACCAGGAACTTTCTTCCTTAGCATCCTTGGAAAAGGTCTGCGAAACAGCCTTGTATACAACACGGCCTGTTTTGGTGCCAAAAAGTTTTTCAGACCCATGAGTGGTTTTTTCCCCATATAATATGCATTTTACATGAGCTTTGGGGAAAATTTGCTTGTACTTGGGCATTTAAAACTTTTTTTCAGGGGAGGGGGAGGCCCAGCATGGTAACCTAGCAACCAAAATCCTCTCCTTGTACGTGCCTAGATCCCATATGGGCACCGGTTCTAATCCCAGCAGCCCCGTTTCCCATCCAGCTCCCTGCCTGTGGCCTGGGAAAGCAGCTGAACATGGCGCAAAGCCTTGGGACCCTGCACCCGCTTAGGAGACCCAGAAGAAGCTCTAGGCTCTGGGCTACTGGCTTCAGCTTGGCACAGCTCTGGCCGTTGCAGCCACTTGGGGAGTGAATCAGTGGATGGAGGAGGATCTTCCTCTCTGTCCCTCCTCCTCTCTGTATATGTGCCTTTTCAATAAAAAGAAATAAATCTTAAAAAAAAAATTTTGTCCTAAGCTGAACTTTTTTTTTTTTTTTTTACTTCTGGGAAAGGCAGAGCCAACTCTCCACCTACAAGTCCCCTCCCCAGCTGTCCCCAACTGGGACCTGCACTGCATCCGGGTCTTCTGGGAGGGCGGTATAAAGCCAGACACTGGAGCCCATTCACTACAGGCCCCTGTGCCTGCAGCAGCAGACAGCTGGAGCCAGGGGCCCGGGGCCAGGGATGAGAACCAGGCAGCCTGCTGTGCACCGTGGGCGCCTGCACCGCCCAGCCACACGCCCTGCTGCAGCCTTCTGGAACGCCACGTCCCATGAGCACATACAGAAGCACATGTGTGTGAGTTCTGGCTCATGGGATGACCCCGGGAGCTTGACTCCCAACACCCTAGCTGGGGGCAGGTGAACTGGGTCACTTCCCTCAAGGCCAGAGCTGCTTCAAGGAACTCTCGGGGCTTCCCATGGCTCCCCCCGACTTCCCACAGGGCCAGCAGCTGGCCACTCACTGGGTGGTTAAGGGTGTCATCATCCACATCAAAGTTGGAGGTGTCCAGGGGTCCCCGCAGCTCGGGGACGTAGGGGGCGGTGCTGGTGGCTAGCCGCTCCCAGTCTACACCTTCGAAGAAGGGGTGGTTCCGGAAGTCATCCAGCCCACCACGGCCCAGCCGCTCCTCCTGGCGGCACAGCAGTTGGCGGATCAGGTCCTGGGCACTGGCGGGCACGTCGGGCACATCAGGAGGAAACTGCAAGTGATCCTACGGCCAGGGGTGGCGCAGCTGGGTCAGGTCTGGCTGGGCATCTCCAGCCACACAGCAGGGCTCCCCGCTGCCCTTGCTAGCACCCCAGAGCGAGCTGCATGGCCACACCTCGTGGTTCATGATCTTGCCATAGGTCTCCACTAAGGACTCAGCGTAGAAGGGTGTCTCCCCAAACAGCAGCTCATAGGCACACACTCCTAGCGACCACCAGTCACACTGCGGCCCGTAGTGACCTTTGCCCTCCTCCATGGCCTGCAGGATCTCGGGGGAAATGTAGTCCGGCGTGCCCACTGCCACCGATGAGTCCACCTGGGGGGGAGCCACGTGGAGAGCTGTGGATTCAGCTGGTTCCGATGGGCCCTGGCGGAAACCCTGGCACCCTCACGCCCCCAAGGCTGGCTTGGCACTCACTCTACCCACCCTGCAGTTGGCCTGCCATTCCCCACTCCCCGGCATATCTGCAACTCAGTGGGTGGGCCCGAGTTCTCACCATGCCGCGGTTATTGAGCCGCAGGCAGGAGCCGAAGTCAGCCAGGCGGATGTGCCCGTTCATGTCCAGCAGGACATTGTCCGGCTTCACGTCCCTTGGGGAGGGGAGCGTGGGGAAAGTGAGGGGTTTGGTCTGAGGGGGGGAAGATGGGCAATCAGGCTCACCCCCAGGTGCTCAAGCAGGGGCAGGTGTGGGCTGTGGCTCCTGTGTACGGGTTGGGGGCTGGCGCATGGCAGGCTGCTGGCAGGAAGCTGCATATGCCCTACCTATGCACGTAACCCAGCTGGTGCAGCGAGTGGATGGCGAGTACCATCTCAGCCAGGTAGAACTGCGCCAGCTCGGGTGGCAGGCGGTCCTCAAAGCGGCTGAGCAGGGTGAGCAGGTCCCCGCCCGCGTAGTAGTCCATGACCAGGTACTGCAGGCGTAGGGTGGGGCAGGGGTGGGGCGCAGAGGGAATCAGCTTTGGGACCCCGCCCACTTCTCAGCCAGCCCCCAGTGGAGACCAGGGGAGTGGCCTGGCCCTAGGGGCATGGGGCCGCTCCTGCCCCCCAACCCTGCCCCAATACCCAGCTTGGTCCAGGACCCCCTCACCAGGTACTCCTCATCCTGGAAGGCGTAATGCAGAGTGGTCACCCAGTGGCCATCCCCCTTCACCAACACATCTCGCTCCTCCCGGAAGCAGGCTGTCTGTAGGCGGTCAGGGGTCTGGGTCAGGAACCGCCCCCTCACCAACCCAACTGGCTCAGGCCTCAAGCATTATCATAAAGAAAATGGATGGAGACCACAAGTTCTCTTGTGGAGGCTGCCAGTCAGCAGCCCTGCCCGACTCCCAGGGGCCCTGGAGGCCTCCCCCTCCGCAGCCCCGGCCGCAGCCCCGGCCCCAGCCCCGGCCGCCCAGTGCATCTTCACCTCAGCTCTCTTCAGCATCTCCCACTTGTGCAGCATCTTCATTGCAAAAATCTGCCCCGTGTCCCTCTGCCTCACCACGGCGACCTGGGCCGGGGCAGCAGTGGGTGTGTGTGAGCCCAGCCAGGAGAGCACGCATCACCCCTCCACAAACACTGCACCTCCACTCACCTCGCCAAAGGCCCCTCGTCCGATCACCTTCAGGATCTCAAAGTCATCCCTCTGTAGGCGCAGCTCCTTCACCTGCTCCACGAAGGGACTGGCTGTGGGCACAAAGCGAGGCTCGGGGCATTGGCGGACGGACCAGCTCCCCAGGGACAGCCTCTTGCCAATGAGCATGGCTTGTGCCTGAAGCTTGGCGGGCAGAGGGTCCCACACCTCCCAGGACTCCCCTGTCCCCTGGCAGCCCTGGGGTCTCATGAGACTTGCACTCCTCCATCCCCAGCCGGTGGCAAGGAGAGTAGGTGAGAGGGGTGTCTAGCCCTGGCCGGCCAGGTCACCCTGGGGATACCGTCCACAGTCAGCGCTTGGCCCCCTAACTCGGCCAGGTCAGGGCCTGTCTCAGAAAACTGGATAGGTGACATTCCTTGTCCCCAGGGAGGTATCTCTGCCTCTCTCCAGGAGCTGTGGGCCTGGGTCCCAGGACCCTGCGGGTACAGTGGCACCTGGCTGGGGGTAAGGCCTGGGGCAGTGGTGGTGTGATGTGGTGTGGCTGGGCTCCCAGGAGGACAGGCCCAGGGGGCGGGGTCTGGGGCTGGAGGTAGCAACGTTTCCTGCTGGCAAGTCAGAAACAGGCAGGAAGAACTTACCCTGCAGCCGGGTACCGGCACCTGCCCCGCCAGCCCGGCCGAGTCCCTCCTGCTGGCCAGGGCACTCCACTTTGCCACCTCCAGGAGGGGCACCTGCAGCCAGGCTTGGGAGCAGCTGCTGCCTGGCTCCTTGGCTCAGTTTCCTGCCTGCCAGCTGGGCAGGCGGGCGGCGGGTGGGACGGGAGCTGCCCCACTGGTTTATCGGGCAGAGCCCTGCAGCGGGGGCGGTGTGAGAACCTCATCACAGACATTAATTGTCTCTTTCCCAGGTCTGTGTGTGGAGCAGGAAGCACATAGCGCAGCAGGGGAGGACCAAGGCCAGGACAGGGACCCGTCAGCTACACAGGGGCCCCAGAACGTTCCCGACCTCCCTGGACAGGCTGCCCTGGTGCCCACAGAGGAGGGGGTGCTGGGTAGGGGTGAGGACAAGTTGAGGCAGGAGAGGCATTGAGTCACTGCCCTTCAAGTTACCTCGGGAGATGGCAATAGGTACACACACACACACACACACACACACACACACACGTGCAGGGCTGTCCCGGGCTGGGCTGACGGGTGACGACATGGACACAGGAGGCCCCCAGTCTGCCCTCGCCCCAGATATCAGACCTGTTGGCATGCTGGGCCGGCAGATCCTCAGCCGTGCCAGGCCGAGCCCTGCCCCTGCCCAGAGTCAAGGGCGCCAGGAACGCTGGTTGCCCACTACACAAACAGCAACCTCACCCTGCTCTCCATACCGGGCTCCTGGACAGCCAGCCACCCCCCCCCCAACTGCCCCACCACACAGTCCGGCCGGGTGTGACCAGGGAACCCTCCAGCTGGCACCAGTGCCCACACCATGCTCAGGGTCACCCCGGGCCAGCCACTCCTGGTGACTCAGAAAAGAAACCAGGAAAGGACGCAGACCCACCTGGGGCCAGTCCTGCGACCCTGCGGCGAGATCAGGCGGGTGGGTGGGCCTGTATGCAGGGAGCTTGGGTGTGCGTGTGTGTGTGTGTGTGTGTGTGGTGGGGAGAGGGTAAGGGCAGGGAATTACAAGGCCCAGACCCCAGGCTGGACACAAACCCGGGGTTGTGAGCCCTGTAGGGCGCATGCCAGGGGGAAGGGGGACCCTCAGGGGCTGGGACTATGTCCCTGTCACCACAAGGACTGCAGGGGGCCCGGGTGACAGGCGCTGCGTGTGGGTTTGCTCTAGGCTGGTGCTGTGATGGTCAAGCAATCCTGTCCGCAGCTCACAGAGAGTGGCTACGCGCGCCTGGCGTCTACACACATGGGGACAAGTTTGCGTTCCTATGCTGTTTGCACATGCCGGGGTTGGAGAAGGGGTCAACAGATGCGCGCCTGAATCTACGCGGCGGCACGTGTGGGGGACTCGCTGCGAGGCAGGTCCCTGCGGGAGGGTCCGAGTCTCTGCGCAGTGTGTGTCCCCAGGACCGAACCACCACCCCACCAACACCTCCCTGCACTCGGTGCCATCCGGGGGCCACTCACCCCAGCTCAGGAACTGCGCCACGTTGCGCTCCCGCCGCAGAGGGGCACTGCTGAGTTCGTGGTACAGTCCCAGGAGCAGATCGAGGAGGCCGTCGAGTCCCGGGCCGCCGGCCTCGCTCCGCGCCAGGCGCTCCAGCGCGCGCAGCCGCCGCTCCATGGCTGCGGCCGGAGGCCCTCGCGCCCGCGCAGGAGCCGGACGTCTCACATGCCCATCCGTCGGCCGGCCCGTCGGTCTGTCCGTGCGGCCTCCCCCCACCCTCCCGCCCTCCCCGCTGTCACCTTCCTCGGCCGCCGCCCGCGCGCCCTCACCTGGGCGCCCTGCGCCCCGCCCCCGACGGACGGGCAGGTGCGCACCGGCCAATGGGAGCCGCGGCTGCAGGTGAAGGTGGGAGGGCGGAGGCGCGCGGGGGGCGGCACCGAGTCCCGGCCAGGAAGTGGGAGGGCGGGGTGGCCGCGGCAGCCCGGAGCCCGGGGTCGGGGTGCAGGGGCCTGTCGGGGTGCAGCCCCAGCCCCGCGTGTCTGCCGGAGCCCTCGCCCAAGCTGCGGGAATGTTCCAGGCGCTCCAGCTGCCCTGGCGCCCCGGACCCACGGGGAGAGGGGCCGGGGACGCCCTCCGGCCCCGGCGCCGGATGGGAGTTGTAGTTCCCTCCTCCTTGCCCGGGTTCGCCCAGCCGGCCTGGCCTGGCCCCCCCTGCGCCCCCCCCCCAAATTTCTAATCTCACTTTGTTAGGAGAGTTCACCTGAGACACAGGTGGGGAGGAGTAGAGGGCGCCTGATCACACCCATTGGGCAGAGGGGCACACTGAGGCTGGCGGGGATGGAGGGGCTCCGAAGCCAGAGCTTGAAGCAGGCTGGGCTGTCACCCCCACTTTCTGGCCTTGTAAGCTGGGGCGGCAGCCCAGCCGGCGCGGGCCCTGGAATGTGAAGGGCCAGGGGAGGTCCCGACGGGGGCCGGAGGAGGTCGGAGCCAGGGGCCCGGGGGGCCGGGGGAGGGAGGGACTGACTTCCGTCCAGCTGTGTCCAACTGGCAGACGCCGCCGTGGGACTGGGGGTCCCGCCAAGCCGGGCGGTGCAAGGGCGGGGCAGCGGGCGGCTCTGACCCGCAGGCGGCTTTCGTCAGCAGCACCTCGGCTCCTCTGACGGGGCGGCTGCTCGAGCTGTGCTTGCTGCGGGGTCCGGGGGGGACAGGCGCGCCCGGGGTCGGCGCGGAGGGCGCCCCAGCTCCCCTCACTCGGCGTTTCGGGGCGCCGCGCGCCTCTCGGGTGGCTTCCCGGGGCCCGGTTGTGGGGGACAGCCGGGTGGGTGTGTGGCCTCGGCCCGGCGGGCCGGGAGGGGAGCCAGGACTGCCGCCCCCAGCCGGGACCCCCGGGCCGGCTCTGTGCCCGGGGCGGGGGTCAGCCGGTCGGACGGCGCCCTGGCCGCCCTCACCTGAGGCCACTCGGCCCTCCCCGCGGCGGGACGGCGCCGGCCAGACGGGCTGCGCGCCGCGGCCACACGGGGGCGCCAGAGACCGGCGGGGCGCGAAGGGGCTGCCCCCTCCCGAGACCTCCCCTCTCCCGCGGGCCTCGAACCCCCTCCAGCCACAGCCGGGGCCTAAACAGTACCGCTTCGGGTCCTGGCTTCCTCCCCAACATTGTCTAAATATTGAACTCCAAGAAAAATCCATCTCCCCGGGGGGCCAGGCGCTCTGTGGTCCTGTGTGCTTTTGGCTCCTATCCCTTTACACGCCACAGTTTCTTTGTCTGGGAAGGGAGGTAGATCTAAAGGTTTACAAAGTCCTTTGTTTGTTGTTGCTGGGGTAGGGGCTCCTACCCAGAGCCTGGCCCCTTCTCCTACCCTCACCCGAACCCACACGGATGCCCCCTGCACCCCTCGTCAGCGTTTCCAGCAGTTCCGTGGTGCAGATGGGACCGGCTGCCCCGACAGTAGCTTTGGCACTGAGCTGCAGGTGCCAGCCCCTCAGCCCTGGGGTGCCAAACCCCTGTAGTTCCTAGGGTTCCTCATTTTCTAGACCTGTCATCCCGAGGAGAGCCTCCTGGAAGCCACCCCAAGCCTCCCCCTCCCCACGAGGCTCCATCCCTGCCCAGCAGGCCCCAGGGCCTGAGGCAGGCCGGGCTCTGGGGTTGGTAGCCTCCTCCTGAGCCCAGCTGTGCTCCCCCATCCTGAGGCCCAGAGGCTGAGTCTCACAGTGCTGGCATCTGGAAGTGACACATCTGCAGGCCAACAGGGGTGACGCAGGTGGTCCAGGCTGTCCTGTGCCCCGCTCTTGCCCCAGGGGTCAGTGCTGCCCAGGAGGGTGGTTCCTGCTCACCGTGGACACTGCCTCTGGATCCATGAAAACCGCTCAAGTGGGAGCGGTAAATGGACGACCGGTGGCCCCTCCTGACACTGCCTGCTAGGAAAGACGGGGCAGCTGGGAAGGCAGGTCATATTTAAATGAGGGAGAGATTTAAATGAAGGGAAATTCTTCCATCTGCTGGCTTACTCTGCAAATGGCCACGATGGCCAGAGCTGAGCTGATCCAAAGACAGCAGCCAGGAGCTCCTTCCAGGTCTCCCACATGGGCGCAGGGTCCGGAGGCTCTGGGCTGTCCTGGACTGCTTTCCCAGGCCACAGGCAGGGAGTTGGGTGCAAAGGGGAGGATCTGGAACAGGAATTGGTGCCTACAAGGGATCCAGGAACATGCAAGGCAAGGACTTTAGCCGCTAGGTTATTGTGCCAGGCCCTGGAACCTATTTCTAATATTTAAAAAAAAAAAAATTTTTTTTTGAAAGGCAGCAATTTCCTAGCCACTGGTTCACTTTCCCAAATCCCTGCAACAAGTGGGACTCAGTCAGGCTGAAGGAGAGAATCCGGAACTCCATGTCCGACTCCCCTGTAGTGGGGACTCACCCACTGCCTCCCCGCTGTGGCTTAGGGGGTAAAGCCACTGCCTGTGGCACTGACTTCCCATGGGGTGTCAGTTTGAATCCCAGCTACTCCACTTTCAATCTATCTTCCTGTTCATGCTCCTGGGAAAGCAACAGGCCTTGGGCCCCTACATCCACGTGGGAGACCTGGAGGAAGCCCCTGGCTCCTGGCTCTGGCTTGGCCCAGCTCTGACCATTGCAGTCATTTGGGGAGTAAACTTTTCTTTGTAACTCTGCATTTCAAATAAGTAAATCTTTTTAAAAAGATTTATTTTTATTGGAAAGGCAGATATACAGAGGAGGAGGAGAGACAGAGAGGAAGATCTTCCATCCGATGATTCACTCCCCAAGTGACCGCAATGGCTAGAGCTGAGCCAATCTGAAGCCAGGAGCCAGGAACTTCTTTTGGATCTCCCACGCGGGTGCAGAGTCCCAAGGCTTTGGGCTGTCCTCGACTGCTTTCCCAGGCCACAAGCAGGGAGCTGGATGGGAAGCAGGGCTGCCGGGATTAGAACTGGCGCCCATATGGGATCCCGGGCGTGTGCAAGGTGAGGACTTTTATCACTACGCCATTGCGCCGGGCCCCCAAATAAATAAATCTTAAAAAAAAAAAAAAGTGTGGAGAGAAGCTAGCATCAGAATAGGGTGAAACCTCAACTCAGATATGGGATGTGCTGTCCCTGCCAGGCAGTTCTTAATTTGCATGTCTGACACACAGTAACCACATATTCATGGGGCAGGGGAACACTGCAGGCAGTGGCCTCCTTGTGTGAAGGTCAGGGCAGGGTAACCGGGACATCTCTGAGGGAACTTCACAGTTTGTGGAAAGTAGAAGTAAAAGTGCCGCAGTGGCCTAGCAGCCAAAGTCCTCACTTGAACGCGCAGGGATCCCACATGGGCGCCGGTTCTAATCCCGGCAGCCCCACTTCCCATCCAGCTCCCTGCTTGTGGCCCGGGAAAGCAACTGAGGATGGCCCCAAGTTTTGGGACCCTGCATCCGTGTGGGAGACCTGGAGGAGGTTCCTGGCTCCTGGCTGCATATCAGCACAGCTCTGGCTGTTGCGGTCACTTGGGGAGTGAATCATCGGATGGAAGCTCTTCCTCTCTGTCTCTCCTCCTCTCTATATATCTGACTTTGCAATAAAAATAAATAAATCTTTTTTTAAAAAAATATATTGTATTTGAAAGAGTTACAGATAACGAGACACAGAGGGAGAGCTTGCTACTCCATCCGCAGGTTCATTCCCCAAGCGGCCATAGCAGCTGGAGCTGGGTCAGGGTGAAGTCAGGAGCTAGCAACTTCTTTCAAGTCTTCCGTGTGTGCAAGGGCCCCAAGCACTTGGACCATGCTCCCCTGCTTTCCCAGGCACTTTAGCAGGGAGCCGGATCAGAAGTGGAGCAGCCGGGTCTTGAACCTGCACCCATATGGGATGTCGGTGCTGCAGAGGATTAACCTGTTGAGTCACCACACCAGCCCCTACAACAAGCATTTTCCACAAACGTTTTGGAAACCTCTCAAATACACGGATGTTAACTGTTTTTGCATCAAAACGCACTGTCCTGGTCTCCTGGAACTTACTGTAGTGCCTCACGTGCCTGACACTCCCTGTGTTGAGGACAGGCACACCCAATCCCTCCCACCCGCCGCTCCGGCAGCTGCTCTGGGCAGCTGCAAGGCTTCCTCGGCGGCTCCAACCTGCCCGTACTGTGAACATGGTGCTGGGCCAGCTTTAGGGGAAGGGCTAAGGATCCCCGCGCTCCCACCAAGGGCGTGTCCTCTGAAGGTTCCAGAACTCCAAATGGACAGACATATGGCGCTTGCATCACCCTGTGTTTCCTTCCAAGCCCTTCCCTATGCGCTCTGCCAACAAGCAGCGGGGCTCCCATGCTCGCGCCTGGCCTCGTGCGGTTTTGTAATTATCCAGCGTCTAGGTGCACACACAGGAAGCCGGTCCCCCCGCCCGCCAGCCGGCCACCACCCCTCAGGCCCGTGGGCGCCACAGAGTCTGCAAGTTTTGTTCTGGGTGTTGGGTGGGGTGCCATACTTCCTGCAACACCCACCCCCGACCCCTTTTCTCCTGGCCTGTGGGGTGCACACCATAGGCGCCCAAGCAAGCTGGGACCCCAGCGAACAGCTCAGGAGGGGAGAGTTCTGGGGGAACGGTGGGGAGAAGCGGTCTCCCCCCTAGCCAGCACAAGGGCGCACTGACAGGGAACGGTGTCCAGCTAGTTTCATGGTCTCTGCAGGAGCCGCTGCTGCCCAGAGGGGCCTGGAGGCCATGTGTGGGGCGTGCTGGGTGTCCTGGAGCCTGGGCTCCGAGGGGCCATGGGGGAGCAGCTCCCTCTGCCTCAGCTATCACCCCAGCTTTATCCCTGCCCACAATGCAGGCGGGGAACGGAGGGGCTGGCCTCCCCCCACAGCCCAGATGAGTTCCCATCTGTGCAACACCAACCAGAGGCCTGAACCAGGGGCAGGCGTGGGGTGCAGCTTCAGGTCCCCCGGGCACAGATGGCTCTCGGCCTTTGCTGAGACCCGCTGAAACCTCAGGCTGCACTCACTTGGCTTTGAACTTGGACCCCTGGAATTGTACCCAGGCTGTGTGGTCAGGGTCCATGAGAGCCAGGGGAGGGGCTCTGTGCACGTGGGCTCCCACGCTGCTGCCACCACACCCTGTAGATAAACACCTGCCTATGCCACTTTGCCTGGGACACTCTGTCCCCTGCCCACCTTGTCTGTACCCTCATGGGGTGTGGCACCCTCTCTGGGACATCAGGCACCCCCGCCCACTGTGCCCTGTTTTGGAGGCTAGCACATCCGCCCCAGGTCTCAGCTGTTGGACTCAGCTGCCCCTGAGGTGGCATGGAGCTTGGCCACCTCTCCTGGGATCAGGATGGTGGTGGGGAAGCTGTGAAGGGTGCCCAGGGGACTGCCAGCCTCACTGCTGCATGCCCAAACACAGCATTGCTCTGCCCAACCTCAGGGACACAAGGCGGGGTCGACAGCCCCGGAGCCCTTCTCCCCACCAGCTTGCAGCTGCCCGTCCCAGGGTGTGGAGCAGGGATGGCTGGGTGGCTCAGGGTTCGTGCCCCCAAGAGATGGCTGAGCTGCACCTGCCATGCTTGGTACAGGCACAACTTTCTTTAATGCCAGGAAGGGTGTCCCCACTCAGTCATTCCTCCATATCCCCAACCTGACACCGTAGGTATGAACGGCAGAGGCCTATGGAACAGCACTGGGGGTCAGGGTGGCTCCCCAAAGCCCAGCCAGGAGACACCTTAGCGCCTAGTATGTGGGCTGCTCCACCTGCCCTGGCAGCCGACAGCTGGCTGGCGAGCGCGACCAGGCCCCAGGGGCTGTGTGTGTATATGGTGGAAGGCCTGGGCCTCTTGCTGGCTGGCTTGATGCTTACTGCCTGGTCCCAAGGACACGAAGTCCCTGTGCCAGCCTCCTGGGCCTGGCCAGGAGGAAGGCAGGCAGGAAACAAAGCCGGAAAAGGCTGGGGTTTCCCTGGTCCCTGTGCCCGGGCCTCGGCCTCGACTTCCTCTTCCCGGCCCAACCGCACCAGGCTCCCTGAGGAACCCATCTGGGCTGTAGTGGGGGATGGGAGACAAACGACTCAGTTTAGAACAAGTGGCTGGAAACCGCTGGAAAAACCCATGGGGTACAGAAAGGGTCACCCCAGGAAGCAAGATTCAGCTTGTATGTTTTCTGGAAGACGTCCTCTCTGTCCTCCATCCCAACTCCTGTTTCTCCCCAGCCCCACCCCCAAAAAGACAGTGGTGCACAGGAGGGGTGCAGATAGCACAGCTGGGGCCCGTGTGCTGGGAGTCAGGGAGGGGTGTGGGGGGAGAGGAAGCCACCGCCTGCCATGAGGCAACTTCTGCTCAGACCCACCCCGAGGGCCCCAGAAGCTGCCAGAGAGGGCAAGGTGGGGCCGCCTGGTCAGTGCTGGCACTCGTGGTCACAGGAAGGCGGCCGGGGGCCTGTGTGAGCGTGGGGCAGCCCGAGAGAGGAGGCCAGACAGGAGGCTGCCTCTAACATTATATATTAAAATACCCACAGTTCCTGTGCACAAAACACCCTGCACACGGCCGGGGGCCTCCCCTGCTTGGCTCCCCCGCTGCCAGGCTGGGCTGGCCTTCCGAGAAAGATGGCGGTTCTCCTTTGCCAGGGCGGAGGCAGCCCGTGCTCCGTCTTTTATGGACCTCGACAAACAGCGGGCCCTCCCTCCCCCGGCTGAGGCCTCCCTGGCGGCTGCACCGTGTCACTCGTGCCTCCGCTTGGAGGGCGGAACAAGATGCGGGGGCAAATCCGCGGGCAGCTCGTGGCCCTCGAGCTTGACCTTGATGAGGTGGTTGGCCAGGGCGAACTCCTCATCGTCCAGCAGCCCGTCCTTGTCCACGTCCGCCAGCTTCCAGATCTTGCCCAGCACCGTGTTGGGCAGCTTTGACTTCACCATCTCCTTCTTGGCGTTGGCGCCCGTGATCTTGCCGTTGACAGGGGACAGAGTGTAGAAGATCTCGTCGTACGTGGGCTTGTCCTTGCCCACCACCCACTCGACATCGTCGATGCCCTCGCCGGCGCCCTCACCATAGCCGTGCCCAAAGGGCCCGTTCATGGTGCCATCGAAGGCGCCACCCTTGACGGCCTGCGAGGGCATGAGCGACTCCTCCTGGCGCACCATCACCATCAGGCGCGCAATGTCGTTGGCCAACATGTCGTCCACTGTGTCCAGCAGCTTGGGCTTCAAGGCCTGGAACTTGCTGAAGTCCTGTGTCTGCAGTTGCTCCTTGGGAGGGGAGGGGAGCAGAGGACCCAGTGAGGGACTCTGCCCGGTGTCACACTCGGGGAGCCGGGGGTGCGGGGACCTGCCACCCAGGGCACTCTTACCTGCATCTTGCGCAGGCTGGGGAAGTCGCCAGGCGAGATCTGGTGCTCCCGCTCGATCTTCTGGTAGATCTCGCCCAGGTTGTTCACCAGCTCCTTCTTCTTGCTCTCCTTCCCGAACACGTTGGGCATCTCCTTCTTGAGGGAGCTGATGATGTAGGCGTGCACCTGCCAGGGCGTGGGGGCGGGGTCAGGGCGCTGCGGGGCGCCTGCTCCCACAGGTGGGGACAAGGCGGGGAGGGGCAGCTGAGGGACCCCATGGGCCGTTCACCATGCGGATGGAGGAGAGGAAGGGAAATAGAGTTGAAGCAGAAGGTGGATGGCCTTCGTGCACACAGCGCCGCCGGGGGCCCTGGGACAGCCCGAGCTGTGAGTTAGCCTCAGGCCCTCGCCCTAACCCGCTCCAGGGCTCCGCGCACCAGCTGCCAGTGTTATCTGCACTGTGGGAACTTGCCCAGACGCCGGCCAACTAAGGGCGGTACCCCATTCCCTTTCCCAGCGGCCCAGCCCTCCATTCCCCCTGCCCTGCCAAGGAAGTCCAGCCCGGCAGCCCCACCCAACGCCCCCACACTGCCTGACCCTGTCTACTCCAGGGCTGGCGCCTGGCATCTCCCAGGCCCCGATATGCTCTGCACCTGCCCCCAGCTGGCACGGATTGGGACCAGCATCTTTCATTCCACCCAAGGAAGCAGCCGCCCAACAGCAGGCAGGGGGACAGAGCTGGGGACCCCGGGGTTTTCCAAGCTGGTGACTCAATGTGCCCGGGCAAGGCAGCTGACACAGAGGCGGCCAGCTGTCTGGGGTCCTGGAAAGGGGCGCTGCCCTGCCCAAACTTTCTATAAGGTCACGGGTATCACAGGATCTTCCTTATGGCTTCCTTCCCCAGCCCAGCCCTGCCTGGGCGGCTCCAGATACCTGGGAAGTGACGGAGGCATGATAATGCCAGGTCCTGCATCCCCAGGCTCTGCAGGCCACAGCTGGGGACAAGAGCCACTCTCTGGGAGGGGGCTAAGATGGTCAGACTCCCACAGGGACGCCACCATGGCCCTGGGCTGGGAGGGTTCCCTGCTGGAGCTCCCCCTCCCACAGGGACGCCGCCATGGCCCTGGGCTGGGAGGGTTCCCTGCTGGAGCTCCCCCTCCCACAGGGACGCCGCCATGGCCCTGGGCTGGGAGGGTTCCCTGCTGGAGCTCCCCAGTTATGGAGATCCCCGCCTGGCCTCCCCTGGCTTGCACTCTAACACCTGGGCAAGCTCCAAGATTTCAAACTCTTGAGCAACTTGGATGCCACTGCCAGGCATCAACGGGCCCCAAGTTTCCACAAAAGGGTCAGGATGCTTTGGGAGGCCTGTCCCAGCTTACGTCACTCCAGCCAGGACTCACCTGTCCCCCATGCCTCCCCAGGGCAGGGGGACCCCCCTGCGCTCACCCCACGGCTACACAAATAACCCAGACGGCTCCTTTGTGAGCATGGAGGGCTGGGCTGGCGGCCTGGGTTCACGGTCCTGTAAGTCCGGCTCCTGCAACTGAACGCACACAGGCCTGCAGGGGGCGCCGAGGGGGCCGGAGCTGCCTCGGGTGGGCGGGGGCTGCAGCAGGTGTACGCGCAGTCACGGCCCTACCTTGGCCAGCCGCGCCCTCTTGATCAGGTCGTTGAGCTTCCTGAGGGCAGCGTTGCGGGGCAGGGACTGGATGTCCTTGAACAGGTCCTGCTCCTCGGCCTCGAAGAGCTTGCGGTTGTCGGGTATGAGCAGCGGGTGTGACCAGAAGGAGCCGATGTAGACCCGTACCACCTCGGGCGTGTTGATGATCTTGCCCAGCGACCACATGAGCGCCCCGTAGACGCGCATCAGCTGCTGCGTCTCGATCTGATCCGCCTTGTTGAGCACCACGCGGATCTTGTCCTCGTGGTTCTTGAGGGCCTTGATGACCTCTGAGAACTCGTCCGAGATGTCCAGCTTGTGGGCGTCGAAGAGCAGGATGATGCGGTCCACGCGCTCCGCAAACCACTCCAGCACTGCGGCGAAGTCATAGCCTGGGGGAGCAAACAGCTGGATGGGAAGTAGAGCTGGGACTAGAACTGGTGCCCATATGGGATGCCAGCACCACAGGCAGTAGTTTTACTTGCTACACCACAATACCGGCCCCAAGACTGTTTTTAATAACACGCTTTGAAGGCAGGCACCATGACACAGCCAGCTAATGTGCCACCTGCAGTACTGACATCCCATACGGGTGCCAGTTCAAACCCCAGCTGCTCCACTTCTAACCCAGCTTCCTGATAATGTGCCTGGGAAAGCAGTAGAGCACGGCCAAGTCCTTGCACCCCAACACCAACATGGAGGACCCAGAAGAAGCTCCTGGCTTCACATTAGCCCAGCTCTGGCCATTGCAGACATTTGGTGAGAGAATCAGTGGATGGGAGCTCGCTAGCTCTGCTTTTCAAATAAAACCACATTAACTCTTTTGAAAAGCAAAGAAAGGGGAGGGACAGATTCTCCATCCCCTGGTTCACTCCACAGATGCTGCCCCCTACAGCCAGGCAGGGTGTGGCTGATGCTCTCCGGGGCCTCCCACACTGGTGGGACCCGACCTGGGACTTGAACTCCATCACCGTGAGCCAGGAGGCAGGTGTTTCAACTCCCAGAACGCACAGTGGGGGCTCGGGGATCCTCTCAAGTCTCCCTTCCTTCTGTGCTGCGAGGCACAGGCTCTAGAGTGGGGCTGCGACCGAGCAAGCTGGCTCAGAGGGGCACAAGGCATATACGCAAGGCGTGGATGTGGGGTGCAGATGCCAGCCGCACATCCCCGAGGGTGGGGGTGATAACTGGACTCGGACAGCGCTGGCAACAGCGGACAGCCACTACCTGTTTGGGGGGGGGCACTAATGTGCCAATTGGTTTCTCTCCCATTTCATCTTGGCCACTGCGGCTGGAGGCTGTAGCTCAGGGCCGGGCTGCTGCCAGCCCACCCTGTGGATACAGCGGAGGTTCTGCTGCAGCCCTCGGCGCTCTGGCCTCTGACAGCCGGGGCTCAGCTCAGCCATTGCAACACCAACCACAGGGTTTGCACAACCGCAGTGTGAGGGCTGACCCCTGCCAGACCAGCTGACCTCTGCCCCACAGTGGCCTGCCGCACACTGCCCAGCACTTCCCCTTCTGGGTCTCTATGCGTCTTTAAGACAGAGAAACTGGGCCCATCGGCCTGACTGGGCAAAGTGAACTGCTATGAATTGTAATCCCCTCCATCAGTAGCAGAACCAGCTAAAGTCGGGTTCCTGGTGGCCCAGGGAAGACTATCTCCTGGCCTCCAACACCATGGAAATGAATGAGGTGTACAAAGCCTTTGTGGTCTTTTCCCCTTTCTGAGGACTGGGATGTGCATGTGATGGTAGGAGCTGCAGCAACCATTTCAGGTTTGGAGATGAAACCTGTACATGAGGAAAGCAGTGCTCTGAACGTGAGGAAGGCTGTGCACCACCGGACACCTGACTTAGGCCAATACCTTCTGGATTTCATTTACATTCAATCTGACAACTATGTTTCCACTCAAGGAAATAAAGCAGAGAAGGAAAAACATGTTTCCACTTCCCCCAATGCCTCTAGAGATGGGGAATACTACAGCAAGGCTGCCGCAGAGCCCTTGTGAAGGCCCCAGTGGGGGTGGGTAGGGAGGGGGCATGGCTTGAGCTGCCACTTCCTGTCGGGATTCCAGGCAAACCTGCTGTTCCAGGGCTGGGTCTCCTCTCCACAACACAAGGGCCTCCCAGAGCAGACCCACGGCCAGAGCTCAGCATCCTGTGCCCGGGGCTCCGTGGAGCTGTGCATCCTAGCTCAGTTTGGGAAGCAGCGGCCATAGGGCCTCTAACCGAGCAGGAGTATCTGCTGAGCACCCAAGGCTCTGAGCTAAGGGGGCGGAGCTGGCTCCCATGCCCTGCCCCCGGGCCCCCATTAGGCACATGGTTCCCTGGTAGCTGTGGCCAGAGGAGCTGGGGCCCCTGAGTATGTTCCCGCCAGGGCAGTGCTGTGTGCCTCACAGAGGCTTGTGGGAGTGGTTAGGGCCAGCCCAGCTGCCAGCCTGCCTGCGCTCAGGTGCAGGAGGGCATGGGACAAGGGCCAGGTTCCTTGTGCCAGGTGCTGTGGTTTCAAAGTACAAGACCCCCCTGGCCCGCTGCAGGTGGCTCTGCGAGGCCCAAGGAGTGCAGCATCAGCAGAAAACCCAAGGGGCAGGCCCGGGGAGTGTGAGGGCGCTGCAGGGGCCTCCCGGCTGCTCGGGCCTCTTACCGCCAGCCCCAGGAGCACAGTCCAGTGCTGAAGAAGCAATAACACCACAGGGCCGAGTGCCGCTCCTCGCTCGGCCAAACCGGGCCGTGCTCCGCCTCTGCCTTCCAGCTTTCTCATCCCAGCCAACCCGCCCAGCTGGGGAGGTGGTGGGGCCAGCGGTGAGGTCTTGGGAACACGGCGACCCGATGGGCTGCACTCAGCTTGTTGGCCTTGGCTCGGCCAGGACAGAGCAGCCTGGGAGCTGAGGTCAGCACCCCAAACCACGGACCCTGTGGGGTGGCAGGGGACCCCGAGGCGGGTGGAGGAGAAAGAGCAAAGCCCTGCTGCTGGGGCCCCAAACCCCCAGCCTCCACCCCACCTACAAACCCAGACTTTGTCAGCCCCCCAGGCCCCAGTCATCAGAGCACAGACCATTCTTTGCAGGTGAGTGAGATTTCCTGTTTATCATGGAAAACACGTTAGGCGTGAGGGAGACACAGAGGCTGGCCAAGTACACCCACAGCTCACAATAGGTCAGAGGGCTGGGCACAAGCCCCAGAGTCACGGTCACCACCAGCACCATGCCACCAGCACTGCCCAAGGCAGAGGCCTCGGGTTCTGGGACACCGCAGAGGCAGGGTCAGGGCAGCGCTCACTGAAGTGTGGGAGCCATCCTCAAGCCTAGTGTGTGTGTGTGTGGGGGGGGGGTGTCTGTCCAGTGAGGGAGTGGACACCCGTGTTATCTACAAAGGACACAAACTTGGGCTGCCACTATGGTATGGTAGGCTAAGCCTCTGCCTGCAATACCCACACCCCATATGGGCACTGCTTTGAGACCCTGCTGCTGGGGTCACTGCACAACGTGGGTCAAGCCCCCAAGGAAGCTCCTGGGCGCCGGCTGTGGCCATCACGGGCACCGAGGGGGTGAAGCAGCAGATGGAAGAGCTCTGTCGCTCCGTCTCTGTAACTCTGTCTTCCAAAGAAATACGTTGCAAACCTTTTTTTTTTCTAATAACTTGAAAGGCAGAGTTCGAGACACATCTTCCCTCCTCTGGCTCACTCCCCCAGTGGCTGCAATGGTAGGAGCAAGGCCAACCCCGAAACCAGGAGACTGGAACCTCTGCCGGGTCTCCCTCCTGAGTGCAGGGGCCCAAGCAGCTGGGTCATTCTCTGTTGCTTTCCCAGATGGATTAGTAGGGACCTGGACCTGAAGTGGAGCAACCAGGACTTGAACTGGTGTCCATGCGGGATGCCAGTGCTGCAGGCAAAGGCTTAGCCTACTGTGCCATGGCATTAGCCCCTAAGTAAATCTTTCTTAAAAGAAAAAAGTCCTGGGTGAGAGGCTGAACCTGGTGAATTGGACAGGAGTACAGGGACGGCCCACAGGTCTGCCATCTCAGTCCTGCTGGCAGCACTATGCCCACTGCAGCGCCCTCCCTAGAGCAGGCAGCTCCAGCGGCCGGCAGAGGCAGCGGCCGGGAGCTGCTTCCCTCATTACCAATTGCCAGAGCTCGGAACAATGGAGGGCTTGTCTCCATCCCAGCTTTTGCTTCCTGCCATTCAGGCTACGTGGAGAGCTCCACTCTCCTCCACACCAACAAGTGGGTCCAGCCCAGGAGAAAGCAGCCAGGAGCAGCCACAGCCAGCACTTGTTCCAAGTGTCCCGAGGCCGAGGGGTGTGCACCTGCTCTAAGGGCAGCACGAAGCTCACGGGGGGCCTGGGTTCCCCAGCAGCGTGCCCTGAGTTGTGGTCACTACCTCCCAACACTGGAAACCACCTCCTTTCACAAGGGCAGGATAGCCATAAGTTTGGGTCCCCAAGCAGGCAGCAGCAACGTACTCAATTGTTCTAGTCTCACTGTGTGGATCGCATGAGCTGGGGGGCACTTCCTGTGTAGAATGTCGGGGTGCACCAGTTCCCCGCGGCTGGACACAGAAAAAGGGCATGCACCGCCATGTGGCACTCAGGCCATATGCCCACCCTCAAGCCCACAAGCCCACAGCAGGAGCCAGGGGCAGGTTAAGCTGTCACTTCTCACTCTGAACCCCACGCCCCTCCCAAAGCCCGGGTTTGGGTCCTGACTGCTCTGTTTCTGACCCAGCTGCCTGCTGACATGCCCCACAGGCAAAGCATAGTCCCAGCCCCCGGGCCACACATGCAGGAGACCAGGACAGAGCTCCTGGCTCCTGCTCTCAGCCTGGCCCAGCCTAAGCTGTTGTGGACATTTGGGGAATGAACCAGTGGGTGAAAGATCTCTTTCTCTCCCTCTGTCACTTTGCCTTTCAAATAATTAAAAACAAAAAAACAAAAATAAAAACCAGTAGCAAGGAGTGGCTGCCAGGACAGATGGACTCTAACTAGGCCCAGATTTCAGCCTGGAAGCTTCCGGCCATCAGCCAGGGCTAGGTGGGAGTCCCGGAGCCCGTGGGCGGGCTGTGGGCATGGGGTTAGGGCAGCATCTGCTCAGGCCCAGGGTATGTGGTGAGGCTGGGGGAGGGCATGCCCCAAAGACTTGCAGGGCAACTCTGCCAGTCCCAGAAATCAGACCCTAAACATAAACCAACACTTGTAGCACCCAGGTAGCTGCTGGCCATCCCAGCTCAGCATGGCTCCTCTGCAGGAAGGGCCAGTGTGGCCCCAGCAAAGAGTTTGGTCTAACCTACCCCAGGAGCCTGTACGAGGGAAGGAGCAGGTAGGGTGGTGAGCAGAGGCCTAAGGTTCTGGAACATGGAGAGAGATCGGCTGGCAGAACATGGCCGAGGAACTGGGGTGGGGTGGTAATGGAGGGGATCCTGGACCTCTCAGGTTCTGTACACCTCTTGGCTGACATGCGTAGACAACACTTAACTGCATGCGAGGCTCAGGGGCGAGGGCCTAACCATGGGCATTGGGAGTCCTACATGGGCACGCCAGGGAGGGGAACCGTGTCTGACAATGAACCCAAAAGGGACAGTCAGGGGCTCGGCCTCACCCCAGGCCTCCAAACACCCTGACAAGGCTCTGGCCTGGGGGTGGTGGGGACAGGCCATTGCAGAAGGCATCCCCGCTCTGGGGCCATACGATGGCCCAAGTCACGGCCCAGCTCAGTCACGTGGAGATGACAGGCAGGGAGGGAGGGCCAGGGCCTCGCCCCAGCACGCCTAGCTGCCCTGGCCGCCCTCTGGAATGCCCTGTATCAGTTCCAGAGGCCATACGCAATGAGGACCCTGTCCCCACAGGTCACCTGTCTGTACTGACACAGGAGAACACTATCATGAGTCGCTCGGTTGGGGGGGGGGGGCCGGACACAAGGGGCCTCCTCCTCCTGGGGGCCGTGCTCAGGGGGCCCATGGGGTGCGGCCTGCATTCTGACAGCTTTGGGCCCTGGCCTTATCTCTGCAAGCAGAACTTCCTGCACACATGGGGGACCGTGGGGAGGGGAACGGTGGAGGGGGGAGCGGATAGGGGTCCGAGTGCCAGAGCTGGAGCTGGCGGCAGCACCCACCCAAAGCTGCATGCCCGCAGGCCTTTCGTTTGGCAAGGGAAACACCTGCTCGCCAGGCTGCCCGCTGAGGGAGCCTGGACCGCAGCTGCTGAGACTTCCTCTGCTGGACGCAGATCCAAAGGGCGCTGGCCCGGCGAAGGGCGGGGAGGCCCATCAGCTGGAGTCCACACTTGTACACTGAAGAGACACCAAGTGCTAGCCCTCCTGACCAGCCGGTCCAGCCCCAACCCCAGCTGTGTGACTTTGAGCGGAGGGCAGAGAGGAAGGCCAGGCCGGCCGCATGATTGCTCATAGCCACAGACAGGAGCTGCACTCAAGTCCCAGCCACCTGCTGGGAGGGGAGGTTGCTGCACTAGACGCAGAGGGGCTGCAGCGCCCCAGGGGGCCCAGGGAGGCCAGGCCCTGAGGCCTCTAGTCTGCTCTGTATATGGGTGTAGGGACTGCCTAGCAGGTCCCTGGTCCCTCAACTTGGGGGACTCGCCGACTATGGACCCCCAGGTCGCACCTGTGAGGGCCACACAGAGTGAGCTCGGATTCCCCCACCCACCTATACCTTTCCTCACAGGATCACAAACAGAGCAAGGGCAGACTCCAGGCACCTAGCACGCCAAGATGTGAAGTCCAGGACAGTTTAAGATGCTGGAGTCCTGTTCTGGAGCCCCAGTTCGAGTCCGGAATGCTCTACTTGCCGTGCAGCTCCCTGCTAACGGCCTGGGAGAGCAGCAGAGGATGGTCTCATTGCTTGGCCCCCGCACCCGCATGGCAGCCCTGAAAGCTGCTGCTCCTGCCTGGCCCAGCCTGCCTGCTGCGTTTGGGATGAAAAGGATAACAGCGGGCCCGGCGCGGTGGCGCAAGTGGTTAAGGTCCTCGCCTTGCACGCCCGGGATCCCATATGGGCGCCGGCTCTAATCCCGGCAGCCCCGCTTCCCTTCCAGCTCCCTGCCTGTGACCTGGGAAAGCAGTCGAGGACGGCCCAAAGCTTTGGGACCCTGCACCCGCGTGGGAGACCCGGAAGAGGCTCCTGGCTTCGGATCGGCATAGCATTGGCCGTTGCGCTCACTTGGGGAGTGAATCATCGGATGGAAGATCTTCCTCTCTGTCTCTCCTCTCTGTATATCCGCCTTTCCAATAAAAAAAATAATAAAAATAAATCTTTAAAAAAAAAGAAAAGGATAACAGCGCTCATCTCTGCCTTTCAAAAGTAAACAGGAAGTGCATTTGCGCACACCGAGCATTCAGCCAGGTGGAGTTGGACCAGAAGTGGGGAAGCTGGGACTCGAACCGGAACCCATATGGGCGGCAGGTGTTGGCTTATCCTGTTGCACCATGATCCTGGCCTGTGGGGGAGCTGGGGCAGGCTCGCTGTCGCTTGGGCCAGGCAGCAACGGGGATACAGTCCCCCGTTCATGGCCACAGCCACTGCCTCTGCTGCTGGGCTCACCTCTGCAGGTGGCCCGCAGGGCAAAGGGCGCGGGAAACACCAACAGGTTAATGACAAACACATCTGATCCTGGACCATCCCCGGCCCCTCCAATCTCAGCTGCAGACTCCAACCCTTCCTTCCTGATTCCCGGCCACCTCCCCAATCCATACACTCCTCCCAGAAGAGGTCCGGGACCAAGGCACCAACCTCCCCCAAAAAGGGCCAGAAGCACGGGGACCAGGTTCAAGGTTCCTGGCTTCAGTCTGACCCAGCCCTGGCCTTTGCTGCTATTTGGGGAGTCAAACACCAGGTAGAAATTTCTCTCTCACTCTCTGTTCCTCAGCCTGTCAATTAAGTTAATAGTCCTCTAAAAAAGGGAAAATCGGAGGCAGCATTATGGTATAGCATGTAAAGCAACCAGCTACGACACCAACATTCCACATGAGCACCAATTTGTGTCCCTGCTAACGGTCTGGGCAAACAGCACAAGACGGCCCAAGTGTTTGCGCACTCCTGCTGCCAACGCAGGAGGCCCAGCTGGAGTTCCTGGCTCTTGGCTCTGGCCTGGCCAAAGGCCACCGAGGCCACCTGGGGTGACCCAGAGAACGGAAAATCTGTCTCTCTGTAACTCTTTCAAATACACAAATAAACATTAAGACAAACAAATAAAAAAGAGGCAATGGGCCCGGCACAGTAACCTAGTGCTAAAGTCCAAGCTTTGCACGTGCCAGGATCCCATATGGACGCTGGTTCTAATCCTGGTGGCCCCACTTCCCATCCAGCTCCCTGCTTGTGGCCTGGGAAAGCAGTTGAGGACGGCCCAAGGCCTTGGGACCCTGCACCCGCGTGGGAGACGGCTCTGGGCTCCTGGCTGTGGATCGGCTCAGCTCTGGCTTTTCCGGTCACTTGGAGAATGAATCATTGGACAGAAGTTCTTCCTCTCTGTTTCCTCCTCTCTGTATATCTCGCTTTCCAATCAAAATAAAATCTTAAAAAATAAATAAATAAAAGAGGCAATGGCAGAAGAAAAATAACCCAGTGCAGGCTCACCTGGAACCCACCGGCACAAGCTGGCTGAGGCAGCTGGGATAGGCTTGTTCACTGAGGCCCCACGGGAAAACCTCGAGCTGCAGTAAGACTGTGGCCAAGTTCATGCACAACTCAGCCAGCCCCTGGGTGCTCAACAGTGGGGTCTACTGTCAGCCGGCTTCCTCAGGGTCCTGCTGGACTCACCAGGAACATAAGTAAGATTAGCACTTCAACTTTTTTCTAATTGGAAAGACAGATTTATGGAGAGGAGAGACAAAAAGACCTTCCATCTGCTGGCTCACTCCCCAAACGGCTGTAATCGCTGGAGCTGGGCCAGGCTGAAGCCAGGGGCTTCTTTTACTTATTACTTACTATTACAAAGGAAGATATACAAATATGAGGAGAGACAGAGAGGAATATCTTCCTTCCAATGATTCATGCCCCAAGTGATCGCAATGGCTGGAGCTGCACCAATCCACAGCCAGGAGCCAGGAGCTCTTCCAGGTTTCCCATGCTGGTGCAGGTTCCCAAAGTTTTGGGCTGTCCTCCACTGCTTTCCCAGGCCACAGCAGGGAGCTGGATGGGAAGTGGGGCTGTTGGGATTAGAACCGGCATCCATATGGGATCCCAGTGTGTTCAAGGCTAGGACTTTAGCCGCTAGGCCACTGTGCTGGGCCCAAGCCAGGAGCTTCTTCTGGGTCTCCCACATGGGTGCCGGGGTTTAAGTAGCTGGGCCATCCTCTGCTGCTTTCCTGGGTTAAAAGGAGCTGAACTGAAAGTGGGTAGCAGGACAGCTCAGGGCCTTGGGACCCTGTACCCGCTTAGGAGACCTAGAGGAGGCTCCTGGCTCCTGATCAGCTCCAACTGTTACGAATCTGTCTGTCTTTCCTCCTTTCTGTATGTCTGACTTTGTAATAAAAATAAATCTGAAAAAAAAAAAAAAAAGTGGAGCAGCTGGGACTTGAACCAGCACCGATGCAGGAAGTGAGCACCACAAATTTAACTTACTTTGCTACAGCACCAGCTCCTGTCTTCTTTTCTTCAAGATTATAATTTACTGGGCCCAGTATAATGACTCAGTGGCTAAGGTCCTTGCCTTGTATGCGCCAGGATCCTTATGGGTGCCAGTTTTGTGTTCCAGCTGCTCCACTTCCCATCCAGCTCCCTGCTTGTGGCCTGGGAAAGCCACAAATTTTGGGCCGAAGACGGCCCAAAGCCTGGGGATCCTGCACCCACGTGGGAGACCCAGAAGAGGCTCCTGGCTCTTGGCTTCAGATCGGTGCATTGTGGCCACTTGGGGCATGAATCATTGGAAGGAAGATTTTCCTTTCTGTCTCTCCTCATATTTGTATATCTATCTTTCCAATAAAAATAAAGAAATCTTTTTAAAAAATGAAAGAGTTAGAGAGATAAGGAAAGACACAGAGACAGGTCTTCAGTCTGTTGAGTCACTCCCACATGGCTACAACAGCCAGGGTTGGAGCAGGCCAAAGCCAGGAGCAGGGAACTTCACCTGGGCTACACGGTGGCAGGGCCCGAGTGCTGGCTCTATCTTACACTACTTTTTCCCAGGTCCGCAGCAGGGAGCTGCACTGGAAGCGAAGCAGCTGAGACATGAACTCGTGTCCCTGTGGGCTGGGGGGACTGCTGTGACACCGCTATGCCCGGCCCCAGCTGCACGTGTCCCGTGAATGGGGTGGGGTGGAGCACTCCAGAGATGAGGACCTGGGGGAGGGGGCAATTCCAGGACGGCCGCCAGCAGCCGGGCCAGCACCTGCTCACCTCGGCTGATGCGCTGCTTTTCCCCGGACAGGATCCCCGGCGTGTCGATGATGCTGATGCTGTCCAGCACCGGGTTGGGCAGCTGGGCACACATGAACCTGCACAAGAGCAAGGGAGCGTGTGCTCAGGAGGAGCAGCAGCTGCCACCCTGGGCTCCCTGCCGCCTGCCTCTCCACCACTCTGGAAACCAGAACACCCCGGAGGCACTCTCTGCTTACAAGCCCGGGGTGGATGGCTAGCGCCTCAAGCCCACCCCCTCAGCTCACTTCCCTCCCCATCGTGCTCTCCCAGGGGTTGAAAGTTCACAGTTCATGTCTGCTGACTTGCGGGTGCACTCGTGTGCACTTAGTTCACCACTCCACCCAGAAAGAAAAAGGAGGGGGACACAGTGACCTTAAAATTTCACCCGGAAACTGGCCGCCACCAGACGGGCTCCAACATGGGATGGAGCTGTCCGCTTCCTGCTGCTGTGGTCAGTCTGTCCCCTAGCTCCCGCTCCCCGCAGTCAGGGGCCACACAGGCTGCCTGGCGCGTGGGAAGAGCTGTCCCAGGGCTCCCTGCACCCAAACCAGGCCCATGAGGAATGGGGACTCGACTATGCCTGCTAACGCCCAGGTGCCACACCACACCTAGCCCAGCCTGGCGCCATCTCTAAAGGCAGTCTGCTGGGATCTCCCCACTGGACACATCAGCTCCCTCAGGAGTGTCATGAGCAAAGAGAAAACCAAGCCTCTCACTGTTCATGCTCGGGGTGCAGGCGCAGGTGCCAAGCTGCCCCTCTGGCTGGCCGGCGCCAGCAACCTGAGCTGCCCAGCCTTCCTCGCGGCCCCATTGGCAAGGTGACCATGGTCTCCAGGCCGAGGGGGAGGGGTGGACAGCTGGCCAGGGCGAGGCTGCCCACAGTGCATACCCCTCGGCCCTCACCCTGCGGAGCCTGACTGGGGCCCGGCCCGAGGGAGCCGGCGAAGGAGGATCTGCAGGAGGCCTGGCTCGAGCGCAATGTGCAGAAGAATGCCCTGGCCGCGGGCCAGGCAGGCGAGTGAACATCTGCAGGACTCTGAAGCGAACCTTCTGCCAAGCCCGTGGAGCGGGAGCAGAGGGACCGGGCTGTGGCCAATCCCGATGGACCCGAAGCACAGGCCAGGGAGCACAGCACCATGTATGAACAACTGGGAGTCCTCAGATGAAGGAGAAACCTAGAGCCGCCCTGCTGTGGGCCTGCGTGGCTCCGCGCCCTCTGGTCCCATCCTTAGAGCAGGCACTGGGACGGGGCTGGGGGCTCCACTGGGTCCCTGGACAGCACAGGGAGAGGCTGCACCAACTAGAGACAGGCATCCTGGCACAGCCTGCGCCTCGCTCGGGGCGGGCAGGGTCACCAGCGTCAGGGCACTTTCTGGAGAGAGTGGTTCTCAGACCTGCTGGGACCGAATGCTCCAGAACTGCTCATTCTTGGGGGGTGGGGTAGCAGGGGGGGTCTGCAGAAGCCAGGCAGACAGCGTGGCGGGGCAGGGGAACTGCTGAGATGTGCAGGGCCAGCCGGCTGACTCCCTCAGGTTCTCTTCCTTCACAAGGCGGCCCAGGGACAGGGGGTAGTGCCAGCTTCGTTGTATGTGTGCACACAGGGACCCGATGTTCCCAGCGCAGCAGCCAAACTTCCCACCAGCTCCCACGAGGGAAGAGCTGGAGCCAATCACCTAGACAGGCGTGTGTGTATGGGCACACACGTCCAAAATGGAGCTGGACCATAAGCACCCCAGGGCTAACCACACCAGCCACTTCAGGAATCTTAGCCCAAAGGGCTTCCTCCACCTGCCCTCAATGCTCACAGCTGTGCTTGAGCAGTAAACCTGGAGCAGAGGCCAAACGCCTGGGGATGTCTCCGAAACACAGCAGCAGGCAGGCAGGCAGGCAGGCAGGCAGCACTGTGCGGGGAGGCCCAGGCCAGGGCCAGGCCCGCCCCTGCGCCGGCAGGCTGGCTCGGGGAGGAATGTGGTCACGCAGGGCGGAGACCCAGGAGCAGTGGTCGGTCGGCCAGTCTTTCTCCCTGACGTAAGCTGGGGAAGGCAGGAGGACTCACCCCTGGAATGGAGGGAGAGCCTGTGGAATGTCCCTGGGGGGTGGGAGCAGGGACCGCGGGCCTGGGCGGTGCCACGGCGCAAGTGTGTCATTCCCAGCTGTGGGGTCACACAGCAGGCAGGGGAATCTGGGCCACTGTGAGTTCTTCTTCCGGGGTGCAAGGGGGGAGGCGGCACGCAGCATCCATTCCCCTGCAGCCTCTTAGGGGGCACTGACCCATTGAGAAGGGCCGCAAGGGGCAGCGTCCAGCCTGGGAGGGGGCTGCCCCAGAGTTCCTGGGGCACAGCAGGGTGGGGGGTCCCCAGGGTCTGGCCGGGGAGCTGGGGATGCCAGGCCACACCAAGTTTGTGAGAAGCAGGACTCGCCTCCCCAAGGAAGGACCCCGGTACCAGGCAACTGGCTTTGAATGAATTAAGCCAGTCCAGTGGAGGGGAGGGAGACAGGGGGAGAGAGACAGAAAGAGATGTCTGCCCCGCCCAGCACCGCCCCTGGCTCTGAGCAAAGGGGGTTGGGGTGCTCCCAAGGGTCTGGGGGCGGCAGAAGGCCTCGAGGGTGGCCAGCGACGCCTACTCTCAGCCTCCTGGACAGGACAGGCCCTCAAGTCCCCGGGCCAGCCCTGAGAGGCCTCGCAGACAAAGGATGGCTGGGTGGGAGGGGACGCTCGGCCAGGGTGCTGACCGGGGGGCGCGAGGGGCCCGCAGAGGGGGCGCCCGCGCCGGGCCCGGGCCCAGCCCTACCTGTTGAGGAAGGCGTTGCCGAAGGCGTTAAGTTTGCGGAAGGGGCGTCGCGGGTCGACGACGAGCGCGTTGCCCGGCACCACGCCCTCGGTGGGGCCGTGCATGACGGCGATGAACGAGTCGGTGGTGGGCTCGGGCCCGATGCGCATCCCCGGGAAGTCCTGCTCGATCAGGTGCCGGATAAAGGTGGTCTTGCCCGTGCTGTACTGGCCCACGAGCAGCACCATGGGCTTGTTGTCGAAGTCCGCGTCCTCGAGCGCGGGCGAGTGGAACTCGTGGAAGCGGTAGTGCTCCTCGAGCGGCAGCAGCTTCTGAGCGTACAGCTGCCGCAGCCCCTCGGCCACCGTCTGGAACAGCTCCGGCTCCTTCTTACGACGCGCATCCTTGCTGACCCAGCTGAACATGCTGCCGGACGCGGAGCTGCCAGAGGCTGCGGGAACCGAGCGGTGGCTGAGAGGCCTGGGGTCGGGGAACGACAAGGGGCCGGGCCGAGCCGGCGGCGGGAGGCGGGAGCTGCCCGCACTGCGCAGGCGCCCTCTGCCGAGTGGAGCGCGCGCCTCGCCGCGCGGCGCCCTTTATACTGGGCAAGCCGGCGCCGGCGCAGTGGGCGCCGCGAAGGACTGACAGGGGGAGGGCGGAACTACTCGAGGTCCCGCCCCCAGCTCCGTGCCACGTCCTCCCCCTCCGCGCCTCCCATTGGCTGCCTTTGCCAAATCCCGCGAGTGTGTGTGTGTGTGTGTGTGTGTGTGTGTGTGTGGGTGGGTGGGTGGGTGGGTGGGTGGAGCGGCTGAGGCTGCCATGGCAACCGCACCTGCTTCGCCTCGCCCCTCGCGGAAGTGCTGCGGTCGGGAACGCGGAAAGTGGGGGTCCGGCGCTAGGACCCCTTGTCCGGCCATCCAGCACCCCAGCTCCTGCCACAGGGCTCCGCCAGGAACCCAGTCAGAAGCCTGGCATCCCTGGCCGGTCCTCCCACCGACTATGTCCCCTCAGGCATGGACGGGGTGGGGGCCACCTGGGTGGTGGCGCCCCTCGCCCTGTCATTATCATCACTGGGAGAGGAAAAGATGGCAGAGAGGTAGGGGAGTCCACCGGAAGACATCGGGGACACAGAAGGACACGTGCGGAGAAGGGGCAGCCTCGCCCAGGGAGGCTGCAGCTGGGGCAGGGGGCACCAGGCGAGAAAAAAAAAGGAAGTTGAGGCCCTCTGGCTACTCGAATTTTTTGTTTTTTTAAAGGAAGTGAAATCGGAAATTCCCCGTGTGCGGAAGAGGGGATGTGTGGGGCAACAATGAAATCTTGTGGGAACTTGGGGGAAATTCAAAAACCCAAATGCTTCCGCTTTCCTCTCGGGAAGAGGCCAGCCCCAGTGACCGTCTTCCACTCGGCCCCGCAGCCCTGTTCCCTTACCCGTTGCTGGCTCTTGGTTGCAGCTCATGCCCCCGCCATGGTCCCTGGCCCCCACTTTGTCCTCCTGGGACGTCTGGGCCGCTGAGAGCTGCCCCCCCATGATGTCAGAGCTTGGAGGGGCTGCAATTGTTAGGTAACCAAGATCAGGAACCCCAAGTGCAGCAGGTGGGGGTGGGGCGTGAACACAAACTCTCCTCCTGTCCAGGCTCCTGTCTCCCCTTGTGGGAGCTGCAAGCCCAGGCGGGGTGGGGTGCATGGTGGTAGGGAGGGTGGACGGGCAGAAAGTGGCTGGGAGGAACAGCAGTGCATGGAGGGTGCGTCAGGCAGGATGGGGGGCGGGGAACAGGTGGGGGAGAGGTTCGGTGTTGAATTAAATGCTCTTTGCACGGTCTCCCTCACTGCTGGGTGACATGGGTGGTTCCCACCCCCCCAGTCTTCTTCAGCCTCCCCCACCCCATGCCCTGCTTGCATTACAGTGTCAGCAGTCACAGTCCTCCTCAGAAACCACACGGTTTTTTGATCTTCTTCTTGCAAGGTGGAGTGTGGGGGAGGGGTGTCCTTGTCCAGCAGTGACCATGCCAACTGGTGACCAGGAATCTCCTCCGGCCAGCCCAATCCACACTTGCTGGGTCTGTCTGAGAAGCCTGAGGGTTTGTCTGCGACACACACAGCTAGGAGGGGTCCACACTTGCTGGGTCTGTCTGAGAAGCCAGAGGGTTTGTCTGAGACACATTGACACAGCTAGGAGGGGTCCACACTTCCTGGGTCTGTCAGAAGCCAGAGGGTTTGTCTGCGACACACTCACACAGCTAGGAGGGGTCCACACTTCCTGGGTCTGTCAGAAGCCAGAGGGTTTGTCTGCGACACACTCACACAGCTAGGAGGGGTCCACACTTCCTGGGTCTGTCTGAGAAGCCAGAGGGTTTGTCTGCCACACACTCACACAGCTAGGAGGGTCTGCCCTGGAGACTGGGTTGGACTGGGGGGAAGTGCCCGGAGCCCGGGGATCTTAAATGAGGTGGTTGTTTGGAGTGCATTGAATGAATGCCGCCTCTGGCCAGGCTGGGCTTGGCTGCGCCAGGCCGGGCTGGGCCCCGGAAGCTCTCACCCGCCTTGCTTTGCACAGCTCCCCAGAGCCCTTGTGTGCTGGGAAAGCCAGCGCAGAAACTGGAAAACAGAATGTTCCAGGGTTATTTATAAATGGAACCAAGCCCCTGTGCATAGGCAGGGGGCCACAGGGGCCACTTGACATTTCCCAAGGAGCTGGCTGTAGCCACCTTCTCACTGGGATGGGGGTGTGGGGGTGAAGGGGGACTCAGGCACTGGGACTCAGCCCCCCATCCCCTGCCACCTGCGGTGTCACCAAGTGGGTCCCCATGGGACCTGGACAGTGTGAAAAGGTCCCCTCTGTATTCTTGGTGAGAAAGTTTTTGTAACGTGAGTGGGCTGATTTCACTTTTGCTTTCTCTGCAGTTTGTCCGCCCAGTTCCAGGGTCTAAATATTTCCGTTTTGGGAGGTCAGACCCCTCCCCCATTCCCAGTGGTTTCCGCTTCCGCTCAAGAGCACCTGTGCACCCTGCCTGTGGGGGAGGGGAGGGACATGAAGATGGCTCCCTTCGCTGGCCGGCAGAGGTGTCCCACCCCCTTACAGGGATCAGCTGCATCTTGCCACAGCCAGACAAGTGTCTTCAAGGTCCCTAAAGGCAGCATCACGAAAAGAACAAGAGAGAGTTTGTCTCCAAATATGGCAGACAACAGGGGCTGGAGAAGCCAGAAACACCAGACTTCTTGCTGGGAGAGCAGGGCTTGGTTCTTGCAATCAGGTTTGACCAAAAGCAAGTCGAGGACTGGGGAATCTTCCTTCCCATGACGGCCTGCTCTGCAAAGAAGATCTCTCGTAGCAGCAACAGTGACTATGGCCTTGAGTTGACCCCAGGAGAAAGTTGCTGTGCTCCAGAGACTTACGCAAGGTGCTGGCAGCCTGGACACAGCCCAGCTCACAGACAGCACAGTTAGGGTCCCCACTGCTGGCCTAACCCGGCACCTTGTGGTGCCTGCATACCAAACGGGCACTGGTTCAAGTCCAGGCTGTTCTACTCCTGATCCAGCTCCCTGCTGATGGCCTGGGAAAGTGGTACAGGGTAGCTCAAGTCCTTGGGGGACCCCTCTGCTGCTCTGCAGTTTGGGGAAGGTGGGACTGCTTGTGTTCATAAGGTGGGGACGCCCACGGTAATGCAGGGTTGTCTTCTAAGCACCTATGTTGGTGGAAATGGTAGCTGAGGGCTGCTTGCAGGAGGCCACGCTGCCACGCCTCTCAGCATGTAGCTGTGCCCTTTGGCCTCCAGCTCCACACCCTGCAGAAGCTGCCAAGTCAGGAGCTGTCATCATTTTGGGGGCCTGTGGCCCACATTGTGCAGCCTTGTACAGCTCCTTAGCAAGGCCTGGGTCCCTCTCACCCCTCTGGATGCCTGAGTGTACCAGTGAGGCACCTGCCCGAGTGGCTACTGCCTGCACTCCAGGTGTCGGGGCGGAGGAGGGGGGACTCTCAGTGAGTACCTGTTCACATCCCGTCCCGTGGCCTCTGCCTCACCATGGCCACAGGGGCTGGGGCCGGAATCCGTGCCTCCCTGTGGGTCTCCCTCCCTCAGGCACCACAGAGCCCAGCCCCTCTCACCTCTGTCCTCCAGGGAGGATCAAGTGACCCAGCTCCTCCCTTCCCTTCTCCCAGAATGCAAATCTCTGCTCAGGGTCCCTGGGAGTGGCCCACTGGGGCCTGTGCTACCGTGCTGCCACTCCCGGTGCTGAGGCCTCGCCAGGCACTGGTAACGGCTCTGCTTTTCCTGGAAGTCCTTGCAAAGACTTTGTGGTCATCAGCAGGGAGAGCTCAGAGGCTGGAACCTTCAGGGGACTCCATTGTGGGAAAGCGGAAGTCAAAGATAAGTTTATTGTAAAGATTAACTTGTTTGACAAACAGTGACAGAGGAGTGAGGTCTTCCATCCGTGGGTTCACTCCCTAAATAGCCACAACGGCCAGGCTGGGCCAGACAGCGATGCCAGGAGCCAGGAGCTTCCTCCAGGTCTCCCACGTGGGTGCAGGGTCCCAAGGCTCTGCGCCATCCTGCACTGTTTTCGCAGGCCACAGGCAGGGAGCTGGATGGGAAGTGGAGCAGCCAGATAGGCTGGTGCCACAAGCAATGACTCTAGCCGTACTATGCCAGTGTTTTGGTCCGGAAGATGTTTATTTTGAAGCAAAAGCATTGTAGAATTCTGTGCATAGATTTTTTTTTTCATAAAGTGCATTAAAAATAAACTTTTTATTTGGAAGTCACAGTTACAGAGGGAGTAGTGAAGATCACCATCTGTTGGTTCACTTCCCAGCCAGGAGCCAAGTGACAGGGGCCCAAACACGTGAGCCACCTTCCACTGTCTTTCACAGGTGGATTAGCAGGAAGCTGGCCTGGACATGGAGCAGCCAGGGATGGCAGCATCGTGGGCAGTGGCTTTGCCTGCTACACCATACCACCCCATGACTTGAAGTCCCTGGATGCTTCCATGCTGAGAGAATTACCTGCTGTGATAAGTGGAAGTGATGGGGGTGGGGAAGAGGAGGAGGACCAGGGACGGCCATTTAGATAAGTGGGAACAAAGTCTATTACATTGGTACAACCCACCACTGGTCAGCAGGGGACCCTTGCCAGGACGGGCAGCCGTTGGGGAAGGGCAAAGGACATGAGGGCAACCACGTAGAGGTCAGGGTCACAGGGCACTCTGCAGAGCCTTTCTCGGATCCCAGGGACTGTCAGACGATACACACACGTCTCAGACATGTCACAAAGACAAGCCTGGGACTGCCACACGCTATCTGCTGGACACAGCGATGTCCCGGGCTGCATGGTCAGAGCTGGCTCCGTGCGCAGCAGGAGGCGCCCCCTGGTGGCCCTGCGCTCTCCAGCGCCCACCACCTGCGGGGGGTGGGCGTGGGGAGGGCTTGCCCTCAAGTCTGCCTCTTCCACAGCAGGCCGAGGCTGCACACCTCCACTGCGCCCTCCCTTCTACAGACTTCCAGGAGGCATGATCCCTGTCACCACCCAGGGGTCACACCTGGGCAGGAATGATGATGGCAAGGTAGACCCTGCTTAAGCATCAGTGTGCACATATTAAGTGTGCTAGTGTCAGAGGCTATGGAAATAGACAGTAGCTGCCACTCCTGGGACCACCTGCTGATGGTCAGGTTAACACCTCTAGGTGTGGGGGGCAGGGTTGGAGGGCTTCTCATGGGACCTGGGGAGTGGGACAGGGTCAGCCTAGAGGAATGGGGTGAGGTCCAGGCTAGGGAAGAGAAGCACAGAGCAGCCAGGCCAGAGGCAGTGGACACATGTCACCCCCAAACTTCACCATCCCAGGAAGTTGAGAGTCCAGTGCCTTGCCATCCAGCACCCACGATGAGTGGAAAGCTGGGCTGGGAGAGGATGAGTAAGTCATGGACTTTGTTCCCAAGGAGGCCAGGGTGAGATAAGTACCCTGGGTTCCTTAACTGTGCGGAACAAGATAAGGAGGGTGGGAGAGGCCCACCCAGCCTGCCTGGGGCCAGTGCACAGGGAGCAGGTCTCCCGGGGGGAGGGGGTTGCTGATGGGCTGGGGCTAAGGAGCAGCCAGGGTAATGGGAGGGAGGTTGCCTGCGGGAAGTACAGGAGATGGCTGCTAGGGTCCTGAGAAGGAAGGTCCCACTTGCTCTGCACAGCAGCTCACTCCCTCTGAGCCGTAGTCCTCTCCCAGACACGGTGGGGACAGTCACCTTGCCAGGTTGCCCAAGGAGTTCCAAGTGCCGTGTGACCTGGAGAGTTCGGCTACCAGCCCTGTTGTTAGGCAACCTGGACTTCATTCTCAAGGAAAAGAGGAGAGGCAGACAACAGAGCTTCCATAGCTGCCTGCACGTGGGTGGCAGGGAGCCATCACCCCCTACACACACACACACACACACACACATACACTCCCAGGGTGTGCATGAGCAGGAAGCAGGAATGGGGAGAGCAGCTGGGGTCTGAACCTCGGTGCTCAGATAGGGGACACTGGTGCATCTGTTTTAGAAATTTGGGGGGCCAAACTTCCTTGCGTCTCTAGTTTTAGAAATTTTGTTGTTAGCCTTAAAAACCTTTTTGTTCAAATGGAGGTTTCTCCACTAGCCCATTGTGGGCCAGGGCCATGATGGGTGGACCTGTGTCCCCACCTGGGAGGTGTGGGGGTGGGGAGCTAGGCCAATGAAGCATGTGGCTTCCAAGGCAGGTGAGCCTGGCCGGAAATAGCAGGGTGCAGCCCAGGAGGTGGGGGTCCCTGTCCTCAGTGGAGGACTCAGGCATGAAAACTGGCTGAGAGCAAGTGTGTGTTGCCTTGGGACCTGGAGCACAGGACACACGCCACGCTCAGGGGAAGCATGGGGCCAGCAGGGGGGCAGCGGCAGGTGTGGCGGAGTCCCATGGGCTTCAGGCAGCAAAAGCTTAGGGCTTACAGTCAGTAAGCAGTGAGTCCTGCCCAAAAGCTAGGGTGTCCCAAAAGCCCCAAAAGCTAGTGGACAGCCTGGACAGAGCATAGAGATAGGGCAGAGCACTGGCAGGATGGGCAGTTCAGGGCCACAAGAGGACAAGGAAGAGGGCAAGAACGAAGGGAGGTGCCCACCCCGGCCTGTCCCCACCCATGCAGGTGCTGGCGGCTGGCATTGAGGCGAACATACCTGTGACCTATGCAATTGGCAGCCAGAGGGCAGATGGGGCACTGGCTGTCAATTCATAGGTCAGAGCCCTGTGCACTCGGTCTCACCGCCCGCGACAGCCCACCCGCCCGTGGCAGGCGCCCTGGCAGCCGCCTCTCCTCCTCCGTGGGTTCCAGCTCCCACCCCAGATAACAGCAGCCCCACTGGAAAGAGCTGAGCATTCCACATGGAGTTGCTGTTACAGGGGGTGGGAGCTAACTGGAGGCCTGGGGTCCGTCTCTGGATCTGGTGGTGGTGGGGGCCTTGGATCCCCAGTCCTCTCGGCCCCAGATGCACGTCTTCTTACGGCGAGGTTCCTTATCCAGCAGTGCCCCTCCACCCTGACTGCCGTGCTGCTTCCTGGGCGAAGTCCAAGTTCAACCCCAAATCGGCCTCATAAAAGCCGGGAGTGGCTCCCTGCTTTACAGCCTGGTAGCTTTTGCCCACCCCGACCCCCACACCCTGTCCCCAGTGGCCCCGCATTTCCTCCTTTCTTATCCACCCAGAGCAGGGGGCCCCAGCTCTGCTCTTGCCCTTTTCCCACTCTCAGTGGCTGCCAGTACCCCCTGGGAGGTGGCAGATGGCAGGAGGGGAGAGAGCAGGAGGAAGACAGGCTGAGAGAAAGATGGAGGGGCAGACCTGTGTGAGAAGCAGGTGCCTCGGAGGCCTGGGGGCTCAGGGACCTTGAGCGAGGGGCTTGGCCTCTGAGCTGCTGTGGCTTCCTCCCATGGTGCCCCTGGCTGCCTTGGAACCTGGGACGTGGCCCTGCTGTGCTGTGCCAGAAGGAGTCGGCCGGTGACTGGGGTCTCCCACACTAAGTCACCCGCCCAGCCAAGCTCTGACCCCAGAGGTATCGTGACAGGTGCCAATTGGCCTTCCAGGAGAGAAGGGAGCCTTGGGTCATGCTTCCCTCTGCTGCTGGGCCAGAGAGACCCAGAAGTCACAGGGGAGGCCATGGGGGGGGGGCGGTCTGAGTAACCCTGGTTGCCACCCTGAAGTGGCATCCCCCTTGGGGTGCTTGCAAAGGAGACTACAGCAGGGAACTCAACCCCACCTTCAGAACCCTACACCCTTCCCAGAGGCCAGAGACAGGCCTGGGGTACGTGGTGGAAGGTGGCCACAGCTGGCCACTCATTCTGACTCCCGAGAACCTGTGGCTCTGGCTGCCTTAGCCCATGGCTGAAGGAGCTTGCAGAGGGCTGCCCAGGGGGCTGCCGGGGACCCTTCTCTTTTTCCTAAGAGCCAGTGACGCTGCAGCAAGAAGCTAGGGCTAGCACGAGCCCCCAGGCGAGGGTCTTACCTTGGTGCTTGGCTGGCCCCCGAGGGCACAGGAGGAAGTGGGCACCCTGTGGGCCCCAGCGCTTTTTGAGCCGTTGACCCAGCCCCTAGCCAGTTAATGATTAGCCCACTGCCGTCAATACCCATCTGAGTGCGGTTCGAAGGGCAGGGAACCCTGGACTGTGCCCCACCCTGCCAGGGCACGTCCAGGAAGCTCCAGGCAGGGGCCTGCCGGTCCCTCCTGGTGCCATCAGACCCCGGACATGGGCCATTTGTGCCCTCGAGGTCGCACTTGGTGGAACCACTCCCGGTGGCCCCCAGGGGCAGGGCTCTGGAGCACCTGGGCCTCCAAGAGGTGGGGAGACCCTTGTAAATGCGAGAAGTCTGCAGGCAGCCCAGCCAGGTGAGGGGCAAACCCGCAGTGCTGTGGTGAGGACTGGAGTGGGGATGGGGTGTGCTGAGAACCCCTGGCTTCTTCACTCACTCACTCCCATCTCAGCCCTCATGCCAGGTCAGGACAGCACTGTGGGCCTGGAGCTGGGAGCCCATGGCACAGACCTGGTCACCCCTCGCACAGATGGTGACTTCCCCTGGGCCCAGCTCTCCTGGGAAGAGGGACAAGCCTGGGGCAGGAAGTGCCTGGTTGGGTGGCCAGCTGGAGGCGGTGGGGCCCCCTGGTGGTGAAAGCAAGGAGCCACAGTCAATGCTGAGGGTGCAGCTGACCCTTAGGGTCCCTGGAGACACACGAGGGTCAGGTGGCTGGTGGTGGGCACAGTTTATTCCACTTCCTGCAGACACCGGCCCACACACTCAAGGAGCGTAAAAATACACTGAACACAAGGTGTCTGTCCCCCTTCCTCCTCCCACGGTGCAGACAGACATTTGGCTGAATGGGGTCTGGTCCGGGGGTCCGGTCCTGGGGCAGGGCCCAGGGGAAAAGTGCACAGATAGGTTGACGCCACCCCACGGGGCCCTGACCCTTCACAGTGGCTGTTCCCCGGAGGGTCCAGGCCTCACCCAGTGGTCTCTCAAGGGAGGCCCTGGAGCTGGCAGCACCACGGCGGGGTGGGGGAGGGGAGGGCACAGTGGGCAGGCAGGGGGGAGGGCGAGCAGCAGCACCCCCCGCCAGGCTCTGGCCACCCCCCGCCTCAGTCTTGGGTCTCTGAGCGCCACTTGAGGGCGTGGTGTTTGTGGGCATCTGGTAGAATCTGGTTGCGCATGCCCCCCAGCAGGCTGGATGTGGCTTCCGTAGCCACGATGAGTGGCTTCACAACCGTTGGAGGCAGCTGGCGGATCACACCCCCCACAGCGCCTGTCAGCCCCTTCTGCTCGTGGCCCCGTGATGCCACGTCACAGATCGTCTGTGCTGTGTCCAGGATGCCCTGTGAGGTTGGAGGGCAGAGGTCAGCCGGGCTTCCAGGGAGGGCATGGGTTGGGCTATAAGGGGGTGGGAGGGAGCCCCCTCACCTCTCGAACCGTGTCGTAGGCCTTGGCCACGCCCTCCCGGAGGTCAGCCGGCTGCTGGTCCTTACGCAGCCTGCGGGCTGACCGCTTGTCCTGCAGGGAGCGGGAGATGGGTGCCGCCGGCGACAGGATGTCATACACGGTCTCCGCTGTGGCCTGGGGCAGGGAGCAGCGCGTGAGGACCTGGCCTGGGCAGGCACACGGCCCAGGAGCCCCCCAGCCCCGAGCTGCCCTGTCCCCAGCACTGCGGGAATTTCAGGCAGAAACGATGACCCAGGGGGACTTTCCTGCAGCCCAGGCCCTCTTCCGCTGACCACCACGTGTGGGCCAGCTCCTGCCTCGGGCTCACTGAGCTGCCTGCCCCTCCTGCTCCATCCCAGGCTTCCCGGCCTAGAGGCAGCCCTAGCACAGGCCCATGAGCCACTGGCGAGCCGGCCGGAGCCGGCCCTTCCTGCTGCCCACAGCGCCTCACACCGCCCCCCCCCCCACTGCACCTTCCAGTTCTCTGCCCCTGGGGGACTGTATTCTCTCCCTACAGCTTCCTCATGGCGCCCCGCCCCCCACCCCAGGAGGCCTGAACTTGCAACAGACAAGGCCATGACCACCCTCCGCCTCCTGGCTGCTGGCTCATAAACAGCTCCTGGCTTCCCAGGGGCAATCTGGGCCTCATGGCCCCAACAAACCAGGCCCGGGCTCTGGGTCCCTGCTGACCCTCTGGGGAGCCGGCCAGGTACATCCCTGCCAAGGTATCACAGTCCCTATGGGTCAAAGGGACCCAGCCCTGGCAATTCACCCCTGCAGAACCCAGCTAGCCACCATCCTGGAGCCCCGACAACAGACCTGGCCAGAGGCTTACCTGGATGGCCTGCACCAGCCGGTTGCTAAGCTCCAGGGCGGCAGAGGCCGTGGACGAGCCGAAGGAGGCAGCCCCTCGCTGCAGCCCCCGCATGAGACGCCCATCCTTCCGGTACTGCTCGATGGGCAGCCACAGCAGGTCCCGGAAGCCTTGGACTACAGGGGTTGGGAGTTTGGGGGTGGGGGTCAGAGAGGTTCAGGTGCCCTGCCCTGCTTATCTCCTCCCCCTGCTCCCTGGGACGGTCCCAGGAACTGCTGCCCTCTGCCCACCCCCACCATCTGGTCCACTCACAGAGCTGAACAACCGAGTGCATGGGGCCCACGCCCCCCAGCAGGCCGGGCAGCTGGTTCTTGCGAATGTCCTGCAGCCACTCATTGAGGGCATAACCCAGCACCTTGTCCACACCCAGAAGCCTAGGGGGGAGGAGAGGGGTGGGGGGAATGACCAGGAGGCCCAAGAACCCTTGTGGCAAGAGCAGTGGGCATCCTGCTGGGCCTGCCCTGCCGTGTGCAGAGCAGAAGGGGTCCCCTGAGGACACCCTGAGGGGGTGACAACTGGCCCAGGCCACACATCTGGTGAAGGGCATAGTATGCGCTGGGTTGGGGGCTGCGGGGGACTCACCCGTGCCGGCAGCAGAGCCGTTTTAGCTTCAACTCGGAGCAGTTGAGCTGGGCCAGGCCAATGAGGAGGCCAGCAAAGGTGCCCTGGGTTATGGGGAGATGGCGGCTCAGGTTTGTGGGGTGCACACCAGCCAGCCCAGGGGAGCCACTGGGGACCACTCTATGTGAGGTGGGTGGCAGCAGCCACTGGCCTTTCCCTCCGGCCCCCACCACCCTGTCCCAAGGCGCTGTTTACCACTTGGTCCACGGTCACGTGCTTGCCGTGGTAATCCAGCCAGATGGGCACCTCGGATATAAAGCGGAACTCCCTGGGGGAAGGAGAATAAGGCCTTGGTCACTGCCCCGGGGGTTCTGGAAGCCCGCAGCCCGGCCCAGGCCCCAGCCAGCAGCCCTACCGAAAGTAGATGGGCTGTTGCTCAGGTGAAGGTGAGCCGTGGCCACTGCCCGCGGCCTCCTGCGTGCCATCCACCTCCACGCCCACGCCCGCGGGTTGTCCTTCCTGGGGGCTGCTGGGCTGGCCTCGGGTATCAGGGCGAGCTGATGAGGGGAAGTGACGGTCAGAGTAAAAATGGTGGTGGGAAAGGCTGGGAGATCAGACTGCCCATCCGTGCCCTGGCCTGACCTCTCTCACCATCAGCAGAGCTCTCCCCAGGCACCATGGGGGTGATGCCAGCTGCTAGGCTGGTAAAGAAGTCTTTGAGGAAGAAGAGGGCATCCTGCAGGGACAATGGGGAAGTGGTGAGACTCGCAGGCGTGCCCACACACTGCAGGGGGGCAGAGGAAGTCCCCAGGTTCCCCCTCACCTGGTCCACGTTGAGTCGCAAGGGCATCAGTGAGACACGCAGGCAGCATTCGGGCCCACCCACACTGCTGGTGGGGGCGACGTGCAGTGCTTTGATGGTCAGCTGGGGACAGAGGGCCAGTGCTGGGTTGAGCGCCCCACCAGCCCTGCTGTGGCACCTGCCGGCCCCCCTCCCCCCAGGGCACATGGCTCATGCCGCTGGACTATACCATGTTGGAGTGCGCGCGCCGTGGCATGCGCTCGCTGGTGTGAAGGTACAGGAATTTGTTGATCTTGGAGGAGGCCAGCCGGTCGCGCACCTCAAGCTCCTGGACGATGAAGACTTGGCGTGACAACGGCCGCTCCTCCAGCTCCTGGCCAGGCATCGCAGGCCCCGAGGGGGCTGTAGCCGGCTCCTCAGGGTACACCTCATGCTGGAAGCTGACCTGGGGTGGTGGGCAGAGGGAAGAGCTGGCCCTGATCTCTGCTCTGTGCAACCTTCCCCGTCCCCACCCCACACCTGGCTGCAGCCTTGATGCCTGCCCCCATGGGTACCCCTACCCACTATGTGGAACTTCATTTGGCAACACTAAACTCTTCCCTTCCTGCCTCACCTCATCCTTGGCCCTTGAGTGCACCCTATTTTCCTGTGTCTTTTTGTATGTTCTCCCTACAAATTCCTCACCTTGACTTGCCTGCCCTGCCTCCAGGCCCACCTGCAGCTCTCCCTGCCCAGGGAGCTGGGCTGTCACCAGGCCCTGGAGGCGACACACGAAGCCCAGGTGCTGCTTTTAAGTCCCATGCCCCCACAGTGTCCCTCCCCTTCTTGCTCTCCCTGGGTGACACACAGGCCTGGCTTTCCCCACCACCTCAAGCCGGCCTCGGCTCCTTGCTGCTGGTCCAGGAGGCCTGGGTGCCCGTGTCCCGCGCCCACCTTGCTGAGCTGTATCTCCATGAGCACGTGATGCTGCCGCCCACTGCCGCCCTGCGTGCGCCACGTGTTCTGGGGCCGGTTGTGGCCAGAACAGCGGGATGGGGAGCTCCTGTGGCCCGCCAAGCCAGCTCTTGCCCTAGGAAGAAGAGATGGGGGGACCTGAGTTCTCAGCGGACCCCTTTCCTTGCCTCAGACCAGCAGCTCAGAGCCTGCAAGGCGCGGCATCTGTTCCCTGCCCAGCCCCTTCCCCCCATCCTCAGCTGTCCCCTGCACCCTCTGGTTACCTGTGGCCGGGATGGGGGCCGAAGTCCTGGCCTCCATAGAGGTGCCAGACCAGGGAGAGCTCGCGCAGCACCACACGGCTGCTGGGCACGGGGAAGTGGGCGGGTGCTCGCAGCAGGTCCGTGCTGCCCAGCGGCCGTGAGAAGTGCCCATCCTGGACGACAATGGGGCCCGGATGCAGCTGTGTCACCACGGGCTCCCCATCTCGAGGCTGCCAGGGATCAAGGGAAAAGGAGGAGGCTGTGAAGGGGGCACCGAGGCTGCCCTGGCCCACCCTGGCATCTCCCTTCCCACCTTCTCTCTTTGATGTAAGATAGCTTTCTTGGGGCACCACCCCAGCTACATATCTGGGAGGGAGGCACTGAGAGCTCCCAGGGACCACCTCTTACACCTGGGTCTGCCCCACCCTCACTGGCCACACACCGCAATGCCCAGGCCTGGAGCATCCAGGATGCAGAACTCATCGCTGTCCACTGTGTCCGCTTGCCCCTCCTCTTCTGTTTCATCTTCCTTTACCTCAGGCTGGGACCCAAAGCTGCCAGGACAGGTCCCGGCAGGTGGTGAAGGGGGCTGGGTCCCATTCCGCTCCCCTGGGAACAAGTAGACGGAGACGGGCGAGGCCTGGAACAGGGCACTACCTGCAGGAGAGCAAGAGTGGCTGGTGTGGGGACATGCCTGCTGGGGGCACTTGGCTATGCCTGCCATCCCCGGCTGGTGCACTGCACCTGCAGGCTGGGCCAGTTCCCGCAGGCTGCGCTCCGTGTCCAGGAGGGCGTCGGCCAAGTCCCGCTGGTTGATGAGGGCCGTCTCCACTGGGGGGCACAGGGGCAGGGAGGCTGGGCTCTCGGAGAGCTGGGCCAAAGAGATGAATGGGCAGGTCATGAGGCAGGGCAGGCAGGCCCTCCACCAGGGGCTTCCCCCAAAACCAGGACCCCCAAGGGCCACGGCTGGGGAGGGGGCCTGGCCCAGTTCTGGCAGTGCCTGGCCAGGCTCACCTGTACCTTCTGACCGGCGATCTCCGTGGGGCTGGGGGGCCGGGGTGGGGGGTGCAGGTCGCCCGCGCTCAGTACATACTGCAGCAGACTGACCAGCAGGGCGCACGAGTCGGCGCAGCTGTGCACATGCAGCACGTTGTTGGAGCAGCGCAGCTCGAATAGCGGCTGGCTCTGTGGGCAGCGGGGTAAGTGGGCACAGGTCACAGAGAGGAAGAAGGCTGGGCCCAGGGCCCCCTGAGGTGGGAAGAGGCAGGGGCATCCCCCACTCTGCCCTCTTGTTCTGTGCATTCTCCAGAAGTGGGACGCCACCACCCCAGCCCCCCGCCGCCAACTCCCTGGCAGCCTGGGACGCCTCCTCTACCCTCCCCAGAGCAGGCCAAGTCCTCAGGCCTTGCCCTGACTACACTGTACTGCCCCCTGTTGGCAGGGCTGAGATCCCGCATTTATGCTGCCAGCAACAAGGGCTGGAGTGGGCTGGCATGGGGTGAGATTCGGGGAGCCCGCCACTCTACCTACCAATTTCCCCTCGGTGCTACCCTTCCAGGTTTTGATCACAAGTTCCAGCAGGTCCACGTCCAGGACGCAGACGTAATCTGAAACAGAAGAGGCAAGAGAGAATTCCTCTGGGCTTCCCATCCCCCACTCCGGCCCTGTCTCGTCACTGGGTGGAGAGTGAGGAGGAAGGCTGTGGGTGCCGCCTGCCAGCCCTCAGAGGGGTCCTACCCACCTCGCCGCAGATCCGGGCTCTCCACATCACACTTGTCTGACAGGTACAAGGCCGAGTCGTCAAGGATAAACCTGGTGGGGTACAGGGCTAAGAGGGGCCCCGGGAGCCACTGCAGGCCTTGGGGTGGCTCCTGAGGAGCTGCGGGGACCTCTCTGGCTCCATGGGGACAGCAGGTGGGGGAGGGGAAAGGGAAGAGGGAGGAAGAGGAGGAGGGTGAAGGCCTTGGGCTTCCTGGCTCTGCTACCTCATTTGGTTTGGGCCCTGAGGCAGCCCTGGGGCTGTCTTCCACCCCCATACTTATTCTTTCATGTAAGTCCTTATCCTAAACTGTAAAGTAATAAAACTCCTCCAAGGTATTTGAGTAGAATAATAACAAGAAAGCTAAAGCCCTCTAATCTCTCTAATCCCAAATTCTGAGAACATTAGCGTGCCATGCCTCTTCCTGGCTGTCCTTAGAGTGAGCTTGCTGACAGGTGGGTAAATTCTGTGTCTGCTTTTTGGGGGGAGAGCAGGGGATGGGGGGTGTTTTGTTCTGATATCTTGGCTTTTACCCTCCCACCTGGCTCACAGCTGCACCTGCCTAGGTTTAATACTAGATGGCGATGCCAGGCCCTGGGGCCAATGGCACCACCCTCAGCCTCCTGCTCTGTCCATGCCCTGGAAGCGGGACCGGGCCCTCTCACCTGAGCAGAAAGGTGGAGGTGTCCATGATGATGTTGCTGGACAGGGTGAACGATTCAGCGGTGACGAGGACTCGCACGGGGAGGTACAGAGGCCTGGGGAGGAACACTCAGACGGTGGTGGGCTCCTCTCAGCAGCGGGCGGGCTCCCTCCGCCCTTCCCCTGACCGGCCCTGCCCGGGTACCTGTAGTCCACGGCGCAGGAGAACAGGTGCGTGTGCAGGATGGTGATGACCGTCGGGGGCAGATAGCCGAGCACAGGGTCGTCCAGCACATCCAGGAACTCCAGCAGCTGGGGAGGCCACAGGTGAGGTGGTGAGCCTTGCCTGCCACACCCTCAGCCAGGGGCTCTGATGCGCTCGCCCTCCCTGGCTCACCTGTGAGTGCCAGCTCTGTTCAGGCAGAGCCATGTAGTGGCGCAGGGTGGCTCTGTGAAGTCGCAGAGTCACCAGAAACTCCTGGGGGTAAGGTCGGTGTTGGGGGGCAGTCAGGACAGTGGCAATCCCCACCCTGAACACTAGGGGCGCAGCTGCCCCCTCCCACTCCCAGAAGCCAGCAGACATGCAATACCTTGACATTGCGTTGGGGATCTAGCTGGATGCGCACAGCCGTGGACAGCATGTGGGGGCCCTGGCCCTGACGGCCTGAGGCACCCTGCTCAATCACCCCTTCTTCCGAGGGGTAGATGGTGGGGGCCAGCTGGGCCGGGGGAGGGGAGGTGGGCAGCTCCAGGTGACCAGGCAGCACATAGTCATCAACGACCGCTGGGGAGGCATCGTGTGAACGCACGCCAAGCTGCCCTCCCCACGGTGACACCCCAGGTCCCTAGTGGGTCCCGGCCAACAGCCTTGCCCTCCCTTGCTGTGCTGCCCTAGGTCCCTGGTGGGTTCCTCCCTGGCCCCAGACCCGCAGCGGCCCAGGGCCCCCGCCCTCACACCTCGGTGGTACAGCGTGGCCTTTTCGGCTTCCAGACAGAAGTAGCCAAGCCCGGACTGGCCGTGGTACTGCGACACGTTGAAAATGGTGCCTTGCTCCACGTCCAGCACCAGCTCCCCATGTGCCGCCTCCAGCCGCCCGCCGCTCTCATCCTGCAGAGAGCCGGGCCTGGCTTCATTGGTGCTCACCAGCTTGCACCTCCTCCCCACCCCCAGGGGAGAAGTGGGTGCTTGTTTTCCAAAAAGGAAAATAATTCCTGCCCCGTCTGTCTCCCTGTAACCGAACAAGGCGCCCTCTGCCCTTGACACACGAGTGCCCCTATGCGGCTGCTGGGTGCAGTGGGATGGGTGGGCGCTGGCCTGGCTCCCCTCCCCCACGCCAGCAAGGGCTCCCCTGCCCAGGGGTGCCCTCACCTTGGCCTCACACAGGGCTGTTACACGCCCCTTCAGCACCGTCACGAGGGTAGACAGGGCACTCTGGGAGCGAGCAGGGCCTGAGGGCTCAGCAGCTGGCGGCTGCTGGGGGGCTCCCGAGGAGGCCCCCACAGAGAAGAAGGGGGCTTCCTCATCGTCCGAGTCTGAGTCTGGGGTGAGACCAGGGTGGGTGGAGGTGGGGCCTGGGAAAGCTGGCCCAGCCTCCACTTCCCTCGGGGTCCCAGGATCCTCCCTGCCCACTGTCTGCCCGGCATGGGCTGTCCTGCATACCCAGCTTGAAGGCCGACTTGCACATCTTGAAGGTGTCTTGCCAGGAGCTGGAAGAGGGGCTGGGGCAGCCACGGGGCTGGGCAGCGGGGCAGGGGGTGGGGAACAAGGCCGCAGGCTCCCACATGAGCAGGTCATTGTTGATCCTGAGGTGGAGGGACAGAAGGGTGGGTAGAGGCTGGCAGAGGTGATGGGGGGCAGGCCTGCCCACCCCCTGCGGCCCGGGGCTGGACCCGCTCACAGCCCCACCAAGCAGGTTTCTACCTGTTGTAGATGCTCTCATAGGCCTCCTTGCTGGGCAGGAAGACGTGGGCGCTGGGCAGGGTCACTTCCAGGGTGCAGCGGGACATTGCGAGGGTGCGACTCTGGAACGTTCTCATCTCCTCAGCGTCCCCCGGGATCACCATCTGCGGGGAGGGGGGGCGTGGAGACAGGGGCTCAGCAGGGAAGGCAACACAGACCAACGCCTGGGGAGGGGACAAGCTGGGCCTCACCTCCTCTGTCTCGTACATGGTCCTCTTGGAGGAGAAGGGAGAAGGCTCTGGTTCACGGAGCTCGCAGGGGCTCTCAGTGGACAGCTCCAGGTCCTCCCCCTTGTCCGTGGCTGCCTCCCACTGTGTGCTGCTGGCCTGGGGGTTCAAGGTCACCACTACCCTGCCAGGACATAGGACTGTCACACCTGGCCCCCGCCTGGCCTCCTGCCACCCTTCTCAGGAGCACCTCCCCTTGCCAACTTACTGGGGCAGGAAGTACTTGCGCCCGGTGCTCTTGGGGTCCAGGACTTTGGAGACTCGCAGACAGGGGACAGGTGGTTTCTCTCCATCTTCGTATATACCTGGATTTGGGGGGGTGCTCTGGTCGGCCCTGGGGCTCCCACACAACCGTGTGGCACTGGCAGACAGGCTCGCCATTGCCCACTGCCTGGGGACAGGCAATGCTTCGTAGTCTTCAGGGGAGAGTCCAGGCCAGGGCCTTGTACAGCTGGGACCCAGCCTGTTCCATATCCAAGCCTGCCTCCCCTCCCCTCCCAGGGCTCTCACCGTGCAAGTCGGAACAGGTGAGCTCCAGGCGTGTGGGCTCTGGAGGGCCGGGCCCACTGCTAAGCTCTGAGCGGAACTGGGGCTCAGCCAGCTCCAAGCGCAGCTGCTCAGGCCGCACGGCCCGGCCCGACCAGGGGTCCCTCTCGGGCCGCAGGTCAGCAATGGGGAAGTGGAGGCGCAGCGTGGCCCGAGGTGCTGACAGCCGGAACACTGTCTGCTGTTCCATCTGCGGGGGCTCCGTCTGCACAAGGGCCGGGGGTCAGAGCTGCCTCTAGGGGCTCTGTGCCCTTCCCACCCCGGTCTGGCTTGGCCTGGCCTGCTCACCAGCAGGCTGGAGGCGGCAGCTGGTGGCTCAGGGGGTGTGGTGGCCAGTCGCAGCAGGGCAGTGAGCCGGTCCAGGGCCCCAAGTTCCAGGTCCGACTGGAAATCGTCCAGGTCCAAGGCCAGCTCTGAGTGGCAATGGCAGGTTACAGAGCGCCGGGGCCGGCTCTGAGAATCAGCAGGACATGCTTTGCTTCAGCAGGGTGGCCCAGGCAGCGAGAGAAGGGGCTCCCCTGGGCAAAACACAACCTGGATCCCTCCTGGGGGGACAAAAGCTAGGGCAGAAGGCCAGGAGGGGTCTGGGGACCCCTTCCCCCATGCACTCTGAAGCCACCCTGAATCCTGAATCCAGAGACCCAGCAGGAGTGTACACCAGCTGGAGCATAAGGTGGGGGGCAGAATGGGACCAGTGAAACCTGGGGAGCACCCCCAGCCCTGAGGTCCAGAGCAGAGGCTGGGTTACCTTGGGCACACGGCGCAGGGTCTGTGTGTGGCGTAGGTGAGCAGAAGGCCGCGCTGAGGCCTGGGAGCCCAGTTTGCTGGGAAAGCCCAGGATCTGGGGTGGGAGATGGGGGAAGTGCAGAACAGAATCAGGCCGGCCCCCATGTGCCAGGACCCCTCCCCCGACCCGGGACCCTGCCCGCACCTCTGTGTACTCGGGCTCTGAAGCGCCCCTGGGCCACAGGCATTCCAACACCTCCAGCTGCCCAAAGTGCATGTCCGTGCTGTTTGTCCGGCGGCCTCGGCTGCCTGTCCGCAGCTCCCAGGTCAGCTGCACGGCAGCACCTGTCAGCCTGCGGGGGGAGAGCAGGACGGGGCATCAGACAGTGTGCTTAGAGGGACAGGGTGGGAAGTGGGGGTGGCTCCTGTCCTGTCTAGCTCCGGGCTCGCACCGGACGTGGCTGCAGGGACAAGCCCTTTGGAAGCGTGGCCGCAAGTAGTGGAAGTCACGGGAGCCAACGGGCCCATCCTTGGCAGCATCGAACTCAGTAAAAAAGTGGGTAGCGAGGTCAGGTGGTCCGGAAGACGGGGCAGCGGTCTGCAGCAGGGTCAGGGTCAGGCCCCCCAAAGTCATCTTCAGCAGTGAGTCGGGGCGCATGGTGTCAGGGAGAGGCGTGGTGGCAGCAGTGGCAGCTGTCTTGCCTGAGGGGACAGAAGGCGTTCACTGCACCCCCACTCCATCCATCGAGTGCCCAGCTACCCCCGGGGGTAGGGCTGGCTGCAAGCCTGCAGCCAGAAGGCTCTTGGGGGAGTTGGACCAGCTTCATGTGCCAGGCCTCCCCTTGCCCAGTGACAGGACCCCCAGCAAGCCCAAGCAGCAAGCAAAGCACACAGCCCAGCAAAGCATGGGCTCACTCTGCCCTAGAGGTGCCTGGACTCACCGGCCCGGGAGGCCTGGACAGACGCCCGGCGGGAAGCCACATGGCTGTGCACAGAGGAGCTCAGGTCCACGTCGGAGAGAGAGAGCTCAGACACGGCCGAGGCCACGCTGCTCGTGAGGCCGGCCATGGAGAAGAAGAGGTCTGGAGGGGGCGAGGGGACAGGACGTAAGGGGCAGCCGGGCTCAGCTCCCAGGGACTCCAGCCACCCGTGCTTCGCCCCCACACTCACCAGTGCTTTCTAGGTTGAGGAGGGGGTTGCTGAGGGGGTCTGGGCTGAGGGGCTCGGCCACAGTGCCTGCCTGCAGCTGCTGGTTCAGATCCTGCTCAATGAGCCACAGGTCTTCCGCACCCAGCGGCCGGCTCTTGTTCAGCTTGTCGGCCAGGCCATCGGCGTCTGCAGCAGGGTACCATTCAGCCAGGTCTGGGCCAGCCCTCCCTCTCTGGCCAGCGCCCCTCCGCACTGGGCTGTCCACAGGCCTCACCTGTCAGGCTCATGGCGCTGAGCAGTTCCTGAAGCTGCTGGAGCTGCTGCGGTGTCAGGAGCAGGTGCAGGCAGCCCAGCTGTCCTGCCACCTCCAACTAGGGGACCGAGCGGGCAGTATGGAGCTGATGTTTGCAGCAGGCCCCTCTCTGGGCTGCCACCCACCTGCCCATACCATCCCGGGAAGGCAGCGGGTAGTCACTTGCTGGGCCAAGCCCTACTGTGAATTTAGCCTGGCAACCCAGCCAGGCATCTCAGGCAGCCCCACTGGATACCCTTTCCTGCCTGCAGATGGGGCACACTCCTCCCTGTTCCAGGGGCACCTAGGGACTCACCTTGGGGCCTGGGAAGGCCTCATTCTGTTTTAGCTTCACCACCAGTTCCATGTACCCTGAGCAGCTGCCGATCTGCACGGGGGGCTCTGGCGGGTCCTCCTGTGAGGTGCACAGATAACCGGGGGTTGATGTGAAGGGCTGGCAGGGGGCTGAGAGCTCAGGGATCCCCAAGGCACAACAGGGGCTGCAGGGGTGACATGTGGGGAACCCACCTGGGACTGCAGCTCCTCCAAGTGCAGGCGGACGCCAGCCAGCTGTAGCAGCTTGTGCAGGAAGGCGGGCGGCTGGTGCACGTCCACTGGTGGCGCCTGGCTTGGGTCCCGCACAGCCTCATCGCAGTACTCTAGTCTGGGGCAGTGGAGGGGTCAGTCAGGTTTTGGCCTGGGGAGCCCCAGGCCTGGGAGCCCACTCGCCATACCGTGCTCTATTCTAGAGGCATAGGTCTGTCATCCTAGCTCCTTGGCTCCAACCAGCCCTAGAGGAGTGCGGGACAGGGCCGGAAGTCCTTCCTACAGCTTCCACGCAACCCTTGTCTTCACGTCAGCCCACCCCTACCTTTGCACGTGGACCTCCACAGCCACCCCTCGTGGCCTGTCCCCCGGCGAGTGCTCCACTCTCACCACTGTATCCAAAAAGGTCACTTTGATCCTCCGCAGCACTGGGGAAGGAGGATGGGGAGGGTTCACGTCAGGGGGAGCAGGATGAGATGCTACCTGCTGCCTAGCAGGGGGTCTTAATGCCGCCTGGGGGCCACGTACGGAGGAGTGGGGAGCTGGAGGGGGGCCGGGCTCACCAGTCTCAATGGTCTGGGCAAACATCTCCAGCCCCTCGAGGGGCTGCGGGGCCTCGGAGGGCTCTGGCAGCCCATCCCGCAGACACTCCTGAGCCAGCTGCAGGCTGGAGGTCATGCAGGAGGCCCAGCTCTGGGAGTCAGCAGCCACTGGCCCTGTGGGGGGAAGCACAAGTAGGTCTCGGGGCACGCACAGGTGGCTGCCAGGGCCCAGGCACAGCCCACTGGCCTTGCCCTGTCCTGTTCCCTCACCTGGGCTCTGGCGGGGCTGCAGGGTGAGCTGGAGGCCAGCCACGCGCACCGTGCAGTGGTCGGTGAGCAGGGCAGCCCAGGGCACGGCTACTTCGATGGAGCCCACGAAGCCTTCCACCAGCTCCAGCGGCGACTCCATGGACTCCAGCACCTCATTCACCGACTGTGGACACAAAAGGGGGTGCACATTCGGCACAATGTCAGCTCCCAACCCCTGCTGCCTGTCAGTTGCGGTCATCCTGCCAGGAGGATGCCCCAGGTGCTGCCAGTGGCTGCACATGAAGCCTGCCAAGGCCCCTGCCCCCTCTGCCCATGCGGCTTCCTATCCTGGTCCCTTAAGACCATCTGCTGAGCGCCTGCTCCATGTGGATCCCAAGGCTTTAGGGGTAAACCAAACATCCACACCCTCACACTCCCAGGGCCTGTCCAGGTCATGGCCAGGGAATGCACGAAGATCAGGGTGAAGCAGGCCCTGACCCAGTGACCCAGCCTTGGCAGACAGAGGGATGGCATGGGGGGGGCATGCTCCAGTCACAGCAGGGATGTGCCCAACTCTGTCACCTGCCAGCCTGGGGGCTCCTGGAGGGCACCCAGCCCACCTGACTCCTCCCTGTGACCCTTCCAGACACCCTAGGGAGACAACCTCTGCCAGCCTCAGTGTCACACCTGTCACATCCAGCAGCCAAGACCCCAAAGGAGGAAAACCAGTTCCGTGTCCAGAGGCCGACAGACGGGCGAACTGAGGCCTCCTCCCCCCACTGGAAGGCACAGACCACCCACTACTGGGAGGTGCACCCTCAACCCCACCAAGGCCTGGCTATCCTCTCACACCCACAAAGTGTACAAAGCAGCCAGGCCTCTGGCTTCTGAGCTGGCAGGGTGCACCCAGCACCAGCCCCAGCACTGCTCTTGAGGTCAGCTGAGCAGTGTCAGGGTCCCTCACGGTCGTGGACCCAGCCAGTTCAGCATCTCCCACCCTTTCCCCCCTAGCTGGAGACCCTCCACCCTTCGCTGAGAGCCTCCCCTCCAGGCTGTGATGCTGCCTGCCTCCCTCAGTCCTGAACCCAAACACCCGTGGGTCGCCCCACTGTCCCCCAAACAGGAAGTAGACGCCAGCAGCCCTGACACTCACGCCCGCGGTGTTGATCAACACGGCCGGCCCCGCTGACGCTGCCTTGTTGACATCCACATCCGGAGGCGAACCCCACCCACCGCAGGCCCCGGGGGTCAGGAGGTCAGGCAGGTCGGCCACAGGTGGCCTCCCCCTCGGCACCTGACAGCCGCCCTGCCGTGGGGGGACCCCCAGCGCTCCAAGCTGCCGCCCCACCCTCTCCGTCACCCCGACTTCTCGGCTCAGCCAGCAAACTCGGATGCGAAGATGCTGGTGTTCTCCACACCGCTGACGCCCTGACACCCACTCCCCGGCTCCGCTTCCCCCGTGCAGACACGGCGGGACCCCAGCCCAGGAGGCGCCCCCTGACGCCTACACTTTGCCCAGTCCCCTCTCCAGTTCCGGACAACTGCTCCCCTCTCTCTCTCTCCCGGATTCCGGCCCCGACACCTCACCCAGGTCTCCAGGTGGATGTCCCGCAGGGCAACGCTGCCCCGGTACAGATCGAGGCTGAGCTGGTCGAGACTGAGGTGTTCTTGGAAGAAGTGCCCCAGATAGTGGTGCAGCAAGTAGCGGCAGACCCGCTCTTTCACACAGTTGGACCATGGCCACAGCCATCGTGACATCTCGGAGACCGCCGGGCCCGGGCCGCCTCCGCTTGCCTGCCCGCCGGCCCGCGGGTGATCCTTTCCCGGCGGCGCTGTTCACTAGAGCCCCCGGCTCGCCCCGCCGCTTCTCTCAGCACCAGGCCGCGCCCCCGGACGCGCGGCCACGCCCCCCACGCTCGCTACCATTGGCTACGGCCGAGGGCGAGGGCTGTTGATTGGCTTCGGGGGGCGGGGCTTTGTAGAGCGAAAAAGAGACTGGGCTCTAGGCATGAAATAGGGCTCACAGCTAGGATATACGCTTGCGCAGAAGGACTGTGTGGGAGGACCTTTAACCTCCCTCCCACAGGTTCGGGGAAGGCTGTTGCTGAGGGGGCCGGTCCCACCAAGGAACGCGCACGCGCCTATTCGTCGGCCTCCTTTCGGGGGTTGGGCGGGATTTAAAGGGACAGAGTCCCATCGAACGTGAGGGAAACCTTGGGGGAGGGTGTGCTGGATGAGATTGGCAGCAGAAACATGTGAGAACAATTACGTGAATAAATATTTGTGTTTCATAAAGCTCCCCACCATGCTCTGCTGACGGCCCTCTAAGATGGGGAGTATTGTCATCACCTTACAGGTAAGAAAATAGACGCATAAAGGTTGTTCAGCGCCGGGAGCGTCACCAAGGAACGCATTAACCTCCTTCTCTGTGGATAGCTGGGGGGCTGAATGATTCTTGTGATTGTAAGCAGTGGATTACAATCAAAAGAATCAACACTGCCTGGGGCCCGATGTGGTGACTCAACAGGCTTATCCCCCACCTGCTGGAGCTGGGCTCCCACAAGGGTGCCAGTTCATGTCCCAGCTGCCCAACTTCTGATCTTGATGCCTGCTTATGGCAGGGGAGAGCAGTAAAGGATCGCCCAAGCGCTTAGGCCCTGTCATCCTCATGGAGGATCTGGAAGAAGTTCCTGGCCTCTGGCTCTGGATTGGTGGAGCTCTTGGCCATTGCGGCCATTTGGGGAGTGAACTCGTGGATGGAAGATCTTTCTGTCTCTCCTTTCCGTAAATCCATCTTTCAAATAAAAGTTAAAAATTTAAAAATGCAGAATTCCAGGCTTCACACCAGACCTACTAAGTTAGTTTCTCATTAAAACAGTGAACATTTTGTGCCCGGCCGCATGGCCTAGCGGCTAAAGTCCTCGCCCTGATTGTGCCAGGATCCCATATGGGTGCTGGTTCTAGTCCCAGCAGCTCTGCTTCCCATCCGGCTCCCTGCCTGTGGCCTGGGAAAGCAGTTGAGGACGGCCCAAAGCCTTAGGACCCTGCACCCATGTGGGAGACCCAGAAGGAGCTCCTGGCTTCAGGTCAGCTTAGCTCCAGCTTTTGCAGCCACTTGGGGAGTGAAAAAACAGACAAAAGATCTTTCTTTTAGTATTTCTCTTTAAATCTGCCTATCCACTAAAAACAGATGTGTTTTTTTTTTAAAAGAATGAATATTTCCTGTCACGTGGAAATTGTATGATATTCATATTGCAGCATCAAGGAACTTGGAGTTTTAGTGGCACCCTGCTGTGCCCCTCCAGGATGCAGCGCTGGTGACCCCCAGCTATTTACAGAGAGGAGAGACAGAGATCTTACACCCACTGGTTCACTCCCTAACTGGCTGCAACAACCAGAGCCGAGCAGGTCTGAAACTAGAAACCAGAAATTTCTGAGTCTCCACATGAGCATGAGGACCCAAGGACTTGGGCCATCCTTAACTGCTTTCCTAGGCCACAGGCAGGGAGCTGGATGGAAAATTGGACAGACAGGATGTGAACCGGTGCTCATATGGGATCTTGGCTTATGTGAGGTGAGGAGTTGAACCACTAGGCTACTGCGCTGGGCCCCCACATTTCTCCATTTTGTTAAGCACAGTGGTATGCTCTCCTTCCCAAGAACAGTTCCTATGAGTCCCCTTTGGGCTTGTGCCATCTGGAATGCCAGCATCTGATGTTCCTTGCTACTGTCCAGGAGGCACGGGTGGAGTGCCTGGCTCCTGGCTTTGGCTTGTATCAGTTCTGGAGCACGTGGCCGTTTGGAGAGTGAAGCAGCAGATGTTAGACTCGTGTGCTCACTCTGTCTCTCCACGCTTGCAAATCAATACATCTGATACCATAAAATGACGGGCCAGCATTGTGGTGGAGTAAGTAAAGTTGCTGCCATGATGTTGGCATCCTATTTGTGTGCCAGTTTGAGTGCAGCTGCTCTCCTTTGATCCAACTCGCTGCTTGTGTCTGGGAAGGCTGCAGAGTATGCTCCAACGCCTTGGGCTCCTGCACCCATATGGGGGTCCCAGACCAAGCGCCTAGCACCCAGCTCTGGATCCAGTCCCAGCTCTGGCCACTGCAACCATTTGGGCAGTGAACCAGTGGATAGAAGATCTTTCTGTCTACTTCTGTAAATCTGTCTTTCAAATAAAATGAAAAATAAAAATGGCGGTTCTCAGGCCTTATATCAGACCTATTAAGCCAGATTCCCAATAAAAGAATGAACATTTCCTGCCAGATGGAAATTGTATGAACTCCACATTTGAGTGCCCAGGTGGGTAGGGTCTTTGTGGAACCCCACGGTGCTGGCCATCCCAAGACCCTCTATCACTGGCACAACTCCACTGCCCTGTGGCCTTGGGGGAGTGGAACGATGAACTGCCTGGAGCAGGAGCCCCACGTGCAGGTAGCAGGCAGGAACCTGCCTCCCAGGGTCAGCCCTGGAGGAGCTTGGAGGAGCGCGGCTTTCTTGGGGAGGGAACCCGTGCAGCCCTTGGGAGGCACGACTGGCCTTTTGGGTGCTGGTACCTCCTGGGCATTTGGTGACACAAAGGCTTTGGGAGAGAAGGTGATATAGGGCCTCCTGCAGGGCTGTGTCTGAGATGTAATGCCAAGTGCTGCTCTAGACCCAGCAGCCCTGGCCAGGACGGGAGCGCACGGCGTTTCTGAGCAGCTCAAGCAAGGCAGCAGGTGAGACTGGGACAGGAAAGGAGGGGCCGGGCTCCTAAGGGAGGGGCCCAATGCCTAAGGGGTGGGCTGGAGAGGCCCTCAGAGACGCCCCCTTCCGCCCTGCCCTAGGGATACACACTCCTCAAGTCTCCTCAGTTGAACCTTTGGAAGAGGTGGGTGGGATCATGGGAGGCGGCCTGGGGGCCACGGCTTTTTCTTGATCATAAATGACTTTGAGTAGTCTTCGATTTACCAAACAGAAGTTGATTAGTAAAGCAAAGTTCTTGGTTATCCCCACCCTCCTTCATGGGCTAAATATCACACTCAGCTTGCCCTGTTGTCTGTTTTTTGTTTTAAGATGTATCTAGTTGAAAGGCAGAGTTACAGAGAGGCAGTGAGAGAGGAAGGTGTTCCATCTGGTGGTCCACCCCCAAATGGCTACAACATCTGAGTTTGGACCAGGCCAAAGGAGAAACCTGGAATTCCATCTGGACGTCCACATGGACGGCAGAACTTGGGCCATCTTCTGCTGCCCCTCCCGACCCCTAGTGCATCATAGGGAGCTAGAGGGGAAGCAGAGTAGTGGGGATTTGAACCAGCATTCATATGGGACGAGGGCATCTTAGTTGGCGGCTTAACCTGTTGCTACACCACAACGCTAGCCCCGGGCTGACTTCATGTCATTCGCATATATGCCCAGGTGTGATACTGTCCACCACATCCCAACAACAGTGCTTAAGGGTGGGAATGGCATTGTGCTGCCTATAATGCTAACATCTGACAATCCCTTATCAGAGCACCAGTTTGAGTCCCGGCTGCTCCACCTCTGATCCAGCTCCCTGCTAATATGCCTGAGGAAGCAGCAGGAAGCAGCTAGTTGGGCCCTGTCATCATAGGGGAGGCAGAGACGGAGTTCCTGGCTCCTGGCTTTGCCTGGACCAGCCTGGCCACGTGGCCGTCTGTGGAACGAAGCAGCAGATGCTAGACCGATGCTGGGCTCACTTTCTCTGCTCACAAATAAATAAATCTGACAACATAAAATGAAGCGGGGCCAACATGTGTTGTTGTGGGCAAAGTCTCTGCCTATGACGTTGGCACCCATGTGGGTGCCAGTTAGAGCCCCAGCTGCTCTACTTCTCCTCCGCTCCCTCTCAGTGCACCTGGGCATCCATGTGGAGACCTAGAAGCAGCTCTGGCTTCTGGCTTTGGATTGGCGTAACTCCAGCCGTTGCGCCAATTGGAGAGTGAACCGGTAGATGACAAATTTCTTTCCCTCTCTTCTGTCTCTAACTCTGCCTTCAAATAAATTAATCTTAACCAAAAAATACTCCTGGGCCCAGCGTGATAGATCAGTAGCTAAATCCTTGTCTTGCACGTGTTGGAATCCCACATGGGTGCCGGTTTGTTTAGACTAGACAAAGCGGTAACACGTATTGACATATGTGAGGGCCTAGTGTGGGAACAGGTTGACTAAGTTGCAACCTGTATGGGTATGCATGAGAGACCTTGGGACACAGGCTGGGCCAGACTGGGCTGCAGCAGAGGCTGGCTTGTGTAAAAACCGTGGCTGGAATCAGGCCTGGTGGAGGTCATTGAGGGTCACCCTGACTAGGCTGTGGCACTTGCTGGTATGTGTGATGGCCACGTTTGTGGCAGGCTTGCTGGGCATCCATTGGTCCATGTGAGAGATGAAGTTGGGCTGGAAATGACCAGGCAGCTGCGTACACAGCATGTTGCTGGTGCAACGAGTGTTGGCTGGTGTGGGAGACAGAACAAACCTGACCCTACACTCTGAATCACACAGAAATCAAGTCTGAGGTCACCCCAGGTCAGGTTTCTTGGGGGGCTCCCAAACTAGAATGTTGAACTTAGACTCCAGACACAGGGAAAATCACAAGATATGTGGTTCAACCTTGGAATGCTTGTATCAGGACCGGGCCTCCTCTCTTGCTGATGTCTGTGCGGTGGACAGCATGCCCAGATGTACACAGGGGATATGACGGCCAGCTCATCTAGGCCAACAGAAGATGCCGGGTGCTTCGTCAGAGGACAGAAAGCAGAACAGGTTGGATCACTCTCCTGGCCAAGCTTTGCAGTGTGTTCCTGGGTCTGTGGATGCGCGGAGGTGGACCTGATCAGCCAATAGACTGTTATGGGGTGTGAGTAAGAACACGCCAGACATATCTAAGGTTTATTAAGGAGTCTTTATTAACCAAGTTTGGTGATAATAGAGCACACTAGAAACAGCAAATCACAAGTCCATGTGGCAATTCAACCAATCATAACCAACCAAACATGATCCAACCAATCATAATCCAACCAATCATAATCCAACCAATCATAACCAACCAAACAGAACCCCAAGAGGAACAAATGGTCATTACCCTTAAGTTCATTCGTGAAGCTGAAGACCTACGTCCCAGCTTCCCCAGCAATGTTATCCTAAGAGACAGTGCAATGAATAACCTGGACACACTTACAAAGCTGCAGACATTCACCTTTCCCTGGCTTCTCTGCCCACATTCCATCACTGCTAGGCCTCACCTCTCCTGGAACTCCTGAACAGCACACAAAGCAGAAATAACACTGCTATATCCATTGTCCCATCTAAGCAGTACACAGGGACCGTGCTCAGGGGATCGCCTGTCCTGGTCAGCCGAGAGTTGAGGTGCCAGAGCATCTTAAGTACCTGAACAGAAGAGTGAGCCCTGGCTTCAGGAGCCTTTCAAAGGGACTTGTGAGGGGAGTGGCTACACAACAATGCAATACTGCCCCCTCTCAGTTGATAGGTGAGTCACAGGTGGGCAGGAGTGAATACCTAGGTGGTGGGGGTGAGTGGCTGAGGACAGAATTAATATTCCATTGCTGTTAGGTCCCACCTTCAAGACAGGATAGGGCACACAGCCTCATTCCATTCGCCCACTGTCAATGGGTGCTGGCTCTCTCTGGCTGTACTCCATAACATAGAAGACCTTGGAAAGATTTTCTCAACCCTGGTGCAAAAAAGTGCACAGCGTCTCAGACCTATCAAAACTACTTAAGTGGGGCCCGGTGCAATAGCATAGCAGTTAAAGTTCTCACCTTGAACACGCTGGGATCCCAAATGGTCACCGGTTCTAATCCTGGCGGCCCCATCCAGCTTCCCATCCAGTGCCCTGCCTGTGGCCTGGGAATACAATTGAGGACAGCCCAAAGCTTTGGGAACCTGCACCTGCGTGGAAGACCCAGAAGAAGCTCCTGGCTTCAGATTGGCTCAGCTCCACCCATTGTGGTCACTTGGGGAGTGAACCATCAGACAGAAAATCTTCATCTCTGTCTCTCCTCCTCTCTGTATATCTGACTTTCCAATAAAAATAAATAAATCTTAAAAAATAAATAAATAAATCTTTAAAAAAAACCCACGGAAGTAACACCCTATAAACACTCTTCCCCCGGTGTCACTAAGGTGTCCTCAGTGACCACCCCTATCCCCAGGTGCTGATGTGTGATTGATGGAGTGTGGTGACCCCTCCCCACTTCCTCTACAGGGGGGAAAAAAAAAGCAGAAGAAAGAAAGAAGCCAAAACATTTTTCCTACCCACATTCACCCATTCCTGACCCTACCCACTCTAATCAGAGGCCTACACGGGCTTATATCCCTCTCAACCATGTAAACAATGCGAAGAAGAAAATAAAGCATTTTAAAAAGACACACACAATATATAATTTAACCAGAAAAAAAAAAGAGTTTTCTTTTCTCCATCACTAACATTTTTTTTTTTAAGATTTATTTTTATTATTTTTTCATTGGAAAGGCGGATATACAGAGAGGAGAGACAGAGAGGAAGATCTTCCGTCCGATGATTCACTCCCCAAGTGAGCGCAACGGGCCGATGCTATGCCGATCTGAAGCCAGGAGCCTCTTCCGGGTCTCCCACGCGGGTGCAGGGTCCCAAAGCTTTGGGCCGTCCTCGACTGCTTTCCCAGGCCACAGGCAGGGAGCTGGAAGGGAAGCGGGGCTGCTGGGATTAGAACCGGCGCCCATATGGGATCCCGGGCGTGCAAGGCAAGGACCTTTAACCACTTGCGCCACCGCGCCGGGCCCCATCACTAACATTTTTTAAAATAAGGATTTATGTGTTTGAAAGGCAAGAGTTGTAGAGAAAGAGAGAAACCTTTGATCCACTGTTCACTCTCCACATGGCTGTGCTAGTGCTTGGGCTGGGCCAGCGGTTTCATCAAGTCTCCCACGTGGACGCAGTGGTCCACGGGCTTAACCATCTCCTGTTGTGTTCCCAGGAGCATCAGCAGGGAGCTGGCCCAGCAGTGAAGCGGCTGGGACTCAAGCTGGTGCCCACAGAGGATACCAGCTTTGCAGCTGACATCTTTACCCATTATGCCACAACACTAGCCCCACCAGTGTGTCTGACAGGGATCAGGTGACAATCTCATTGTGAGTTTCATGTGACAGTGAGTGACATTAAGTACTTCAAAAATTTTTTATTTGAAAGACTTTACAGAGAAGGTAAGAGGGGAAGACATGGAGACATTTTCTATCCTCTGGTTTATTCCCCAAGTATGTGGGGACAGAGCCGAGTTGGTCTGAAGCTGGGAGTAGGAACTTCTTCCTGGTCTCCCACATGGGTGCAGCGTTTCAAGGATGAGGGCCATCTTCTACTGACGAAGCGATAGTGTAGTGGTTAAAGTCCTCACCTTGCACGCACCAAGATCCCATATGGTTGCCGGTTCTAATCCTGGCAGCTCCACTTCCTATCTAGCTCCCTGCCTGTGGCCTGGGAAAGCAGTTGAGGACAGTCACAGCCCAATGCTTTGGGACCCTGCACCCATGTGGGAGACCTGGAGGAAGTTCCTGGCTCCTGGCTGCAGATTGGCACAGCACCAGCCGTTGTACTCACTTGGGGAGTGAATCATTGGATGGAAGATCTTTCTCTCTTTCTTCCTCTCTGTTTATCTGACTTTGCAATAAAAATAAATAAATCTTTAAAAAAAGGTGGCTTTTATTTTTATTGGAAAGGAAGATTTACAAAGAGAAGGAGAAACAGAGAGAAAGATCTGCCATCTGCTGGTTCACTCCCCAAGTGGCCACAACAGAGCCAATATGAAGCCAGGAGCTAGGACCTTTCCCCGGGTATCTCACACGGTGCAGGGTCCCAAGGCTTTGCTTTCTGCTGCTTTCTCAGGCCACAAGTAGGCAGCTGGATGGGAAGTGGAGTAGCCTGGACATGAACCAGTGTACATATTGGATCCTGGAGCATGCTTGGTGAGGATTTAGCACTAGGCTATCGTGCTGGGCTGGGGACCCAGATGCTCGAGGCATCACCTGCTGCCTGCCAGGGTGTGTGCTGGAGCAGAGCTGGGACTTGCACCTAAGCACTTTGTTACGTGATGCAAGTGTCCCACACTGGGGCTAACCTGCTAAGCCGAATGCCTGTCCAGCTATGGCTTAAAAAAAAAAAAATTATTAAAGTGCTCTATTCGGCAGTAGAAATGCTAAAATTGGAGCGATACGGAGAAAATGAGCATGGCCCCTGTGCAAGGTTAACACACAAATTCGTGAAGCGTTCCATATTTTAAAAAATCGATTTATTAAAGGTGAGGAGGGTAACAGATCCACACACACCTCTGGTTCCGATTAGAACCTAACAGGGCTTGCAGGGGTGGGGGGAGAAGTGGGTGAGATAAATGTTGCAGCTTTCCCTGCTGTGTCCAAGAAAGAGGAGGGAGAAGGGAGGGGTGAGAGGACGCACCTTGCTGTCGCACTGCAGCGGTGAGACAGTCGTTTGAGGTCCTGATGTTGTGGAGAATGTCCCGAAGGGGTTACTTGGATAGGCTTCATTGTTTGGAGAAATTGTCGACTTAATTCAATCAGAGTTGATCAATTCTTTCTGGCCTTTTCTACCTCAGTGAACCCACAGACCTACGCGCTTGTTATAGAGCTTGGCCTGGAGTGTTGTTCAACCTGTCCTTTCCATCCTTTGATGATGCACTTGAAGTTTTCTGTTGACTTAAATGAGCTGGCTGTCTTGTCTTTCACGTTCATCTGGGTGTGGTCTGCATTCTTGCACAAGATTCAGTCACTGAGGTGGTCCAGTCCTAAAACTTGTGCTCCAGGGTTGGACCAAATGTCTATATGGTTTTACCTTGATGCCAGAATGCAAGGGTTTAGTTAGGGAGCCACCAAGAAAACTCCCAGACCTTGCTTTTGTGTGTGACACCAGCAAATGCATGTACCAGTGGGGGCAGCTGCCTGGTCAGTCCCATGCCCATCCCTGGCTCTCGCATGAACCGGAGGGTGCAGCAGCCTAGCTCAGCCCAGCCTGCCCCTAGATCCAGTTCTCATGTGTAATGGTAGGTGTTGTGGCCTAGCAGGGTCATCCTCCAAGATCGCCTCCCAGGTCCACTCCCAGCCCCAGTTCCTGTATGTTCTGGCAGGTGCTGTGGCCTAGTCAGGTGATTCCAAAGAACCCTACTAGACCTGGCCCCAAACGTGGCTCTCAGGAGCACTGAGCATTGGTGAGTGCTGTGACCTAACCTGGCCCAGTCTGTCTGCCCCCAGCCCTGGCTTTTGTGTGAATGAGTGCTTTGGCTTGATGCTGGGGTCCGTGCAGTAGATGTGGGGAACATGAGGGGGTGAAGAGTGTTCCATTGCAGGCAGGGCCGCGAGGAATTTCCCGCAGGGCCCACCCGGCGGATGTCTCTACAACCACCTGAATGCAACTCCATCTTTTGCATGGACACTGGACCGCCCTGCGGAAGAATTCTAATCCATCCTGACATTTGCTACTGCGAGGTTAACCTTTTGCTCAGCCTGAACTTGGAGGTCAATGTCTTGCAAATGGGCCCTATTATCTTAACTGTCCCCATTGAACCTATGCTAATCAAGGGACCTGTGTTTAGGCTTTCATTCTTTCCTTGACCTTTAAGCTCTCCTTTTCTTTGTGATACAAGATTGAGTTATAGGATAAGAATCCTAGCAGGAACTTCTATTGTTTCTAAGTAAAACTAATGGCAGAATTATCCTTAGAAATATCCATTTGTTCATGACGTAAAAAGTCTGAGCCAGAATTTGACTGATTTTGTATAAATAAAGCGGACAGCTTTCCTGCATTGTCCATTATGATCATGAAGTCCTAGTGGTCCGTCTCTTTCTTTCCTCTTTACGCCTCATCCACGCACCCTTCGCGAGTTCCGAACTCAGCTGGAGCTGGACTCCGGCAAGTGGCGCCCAACGTGAGGGCTCGACGAAGGTAAGTCTTTTCTTTCTCTTTGCGGCGTGGATAGGACTTCACCCAGGGTGCTGCAGGCCCCCTGACAGAAGGTCAGGTTAGGAGGGGTGAATAGTCAGAACTTATATTGAGAAGTTTTGTACCCTCTGTACTGTAAAAATGGGCCAGAGCGATTCTAGTGAAAGAAGTTTATATGCTGATATTATTAAACATACCTTACATAGGAAGGGCATTAAAGTTAGCAAGAAGCAATTATTAGAATTTTTACAATTTGTACAAAAAGTTAGCCCGTGGTTCATTGAGCAGGGCACTTTAGAATTAAACACATGGGACCAGGTAGGAAATGATATGAAAAGGTGGTATCGGAGTAATGGACGAGTGGGCATGCCATCCTCGGCGTATGCCATTTGGAATGTTTTACGGCAGGCACTAGATGTGGGACCTGAGCCTTATCCCACGCCTTCAGCTCAGCAGGGAGAACATGCTCTTCTTCTTGATCCTCAGAAGGGAGGCTTAGGCCTTAGTTATAGCTCAATGGAAAATGTCTGTACTGAAGATAATGTAAAATATTGTAAAACTGATCAGGAAAGTTTAACAGATGAGGAAGAAGATTTTTTAAAACCAGAAATATTTAGATCAGGAGTTAGAGATTGTGAAAAGGGGCAAATGGCTGAGTTACATGATAAGCCTTCAAGGTATTCTGCTAAGCCTTGTGAGCCCCTTCCAGCTAGACCAGATCCAGCAAAGGTTGGCTTTAGAGGGGCAATGCAGCAGGCGCATAAGGAAGGTGATTTTTTCTGTTTTCCTGTTGTTTATGAATGGGATGAACCTGAATGGGAGCCGTTGCCTTATAAGCTTATTAAAGAACTTAAGCATGCTGTCTCTGACTACGGGCCAAACTCCCCGTATACTATGGCAATAGTGGAGAGCCTAGCAGCAAAGTGGATGACTCCATATGATTGGTTTCAGATTGCCAAGGCTTGCCTCACAGGAGGAAACTTCCTTTTGTGGAAAATGGAATATGAGGAATTAGCTAAGGCAGAAGTAAAGTCTCAGGGATCTGTGAGGTGTGGCAAACCTTCTTTTACCCTAGACATGCTTTTAGGACAGGGCACTCATCTTGGCGTTTCAGAACAACTTACTCTGCCTAAGGAGACCTTACAGCTTATCTCCTCCCTGGCACTAGGAGCATGGAGACGCCTGCCATCTCCAGATCAAAAGTCTTCAAATTTTGTAAATGTTAAGCAGAAGCCTGAGGAGCCTTTTGAAGAGTTTTTAGCTAGACTCACCGAGGCAGTGAGCCGGACAGTAATTAACAATACAGCTACAGATCTCATAGTTAAACAGCTAGCTTTTGAAAATGCTACTCCAACTTGCCAGACCTTAATTCAGCCAGTGAGAAGGACAGGAGATTTGTCAGACTATGTTCGAGCTTGTGCTGAAGTAACTCCATCTTACATACAAGGGTTAACTATTGCTGCAGCTCTTCAAGGTCAAACTGCCACTCAGATTTTAAAGAACATAAGAGGCAATCAAAGAAATAGAAAAAGAAACAATTGCTATTCTTGTGGTGGAGTAGGGCATTTCAGCCACAGCTGTCCTGTTAGAAAATTATCCCAAAATTTCAAACAGGAAAAAACTTATATGGACACTCCTAATCCTAATTTAAATATTCCTCGCACTGTCTGTCCACGGTGTGAGAAGGGATTTCATTGGCAAAAGGCTTGTCAGTCTAAATTCCACAAGAATGGAACAGTTCTATTGCCTCAAAGTCGATCTAGATTGAGTAATCAGTCTGTACAGGGTCAGATGCAGGGAAACGGGAGGCGGACCCTGTCCTGGGCCCCCCAAGTAATGGGGTCATGTATGGATATTGTCTCTGAAAGGTACAAAACTAAAATATCAAGCGCTGCATTAAGCAATGGGTTAAAGCAAAATAGATTTAAATGTCATGCTAAATGTTTTAATGGTGGGAAGCCCAGACACCTTCCAAAATCATGCCGAGCAGCAGCATCTCTTTTAGCTCAAAAATGTGGCACTAATACTGCTAAGGATCAATGCCCTAAGATAAATTCTAAATGTCACAGAGGTGTACATTGGGCAAAAGTATGTAAATGTAAATCTAAAATTGATCATGATGGCCAGCAGCTGTGGTCAGGAAACTCCTGGCGGGGCCAGTCTCGGGCCCTAAAGAATCAGAGATTTAAAAGACAGCAATATTTTACCCAAGCTGTGCCTATAGAAGAGTAACAGACTTAAAACCTGATATTGATTGTGGAAATGCTAATTAAAAGTTGGTATCTTCCTTGGCAATTAATTATTCTACCTACTGTTCATATCCCAACTGTATGTTTGTGACAACAAGGGCCTTTAGAGTGGCTGCATCTCCTTTCCATGTATAAAAAGGTTATTACTCCTTATTGTGCTTTGGTCTCCACCTTAATTATTAAGAGATATCATAGGAATAGGAGCCTTTTTGCAAAGATGTAAATTAAATAATTGTTCCTTATAGCTTTTAACAGCTTAGTTATCTAATATCCAAGGATGAGACCTGACAAATAGCACTCTTCACCCTTGTAGGTACAATTTGATAACACTTAGCTAAAAATCTCCTTCTTGTTAGGTCATCCAGTTATATTTCAAAAGATTTGTTCCTTAACTTTTTCCTTAACCTGCTTCTTTAGTCTTTACAGATGGGTCATCTAACAAAATAGTTTCTCTAATCAGATTTTGAAAATATCCTTACTGGCCAATGGAAAGGACCCAATTTCCTCTTAAAATTTGGAGGAGGGAGTGCTTTCATTTTTCCATAGGTCATGGACTTGCTCACGTGGATTCCAGATCGACTGATTAGGCATCCTTGTCCAGTTTACATTTTCCACCCGCCTGCCATTTCGCAGCAGCAAGCATCCTCTACAGAAGTTCCTCCTCCTGCTCAGCAATTTTAGGGTTAAACTCTCTTCTCTCCAGCAGGTACAATCTCTCCCTGACCTCCTCCCCTTCCACTCTGTTAGGATACTCAGCCCACAGGTGCAGTTTCTCCAGCACGTTTTACTTTTTTCCCCCTTTGTCAAGCCTGGTACCCCCAATCTTTTTTAGCCAAGAGCAGAGTGGTAGGAGATAAACTAAACTGGGTCCACAGAAGAATACCTAGCCTCTTGTACTTTATAAAACAATGTTTTTTTTCATAATTAACATCTCTCTTTTAACTCTAGTAAGTTTTTATTTTGAATTTTATGAATATAACTCTTAGGGTATTGTTTAAGGCATTCCTTTAAATGTGTAACATTTACACCAACATAAACTGGAATCAAAGCAACATCTAATCCACTGTTAAATTTTTTCCA